TTCCTTTAAGAAAAGTTTAATATCCATATTTGCTATAGTTAAGGACATATCTGTAAAAGAAGGCATATCTGGCAATCTTGGGCTCATCTGAAAGGGCACATGATCCTCGATCCCTTGATGTAAGTTTCATATACATACTTGCTACAGTTAGGAAAAGATCTGCAAGAGAAGGCAGGAGGTCTTGTGCTACTGCTTGCTAGTTTAATGCAATTCTTCCCATGTTACCACGTTACATCTCGTCTTCCTGGGCATAGTTGACTCCTTGTATTGGGGCATAAAAGAGCTCTAAATTGTCCAAGGCTGGTAACTGTGGTCACATCTGAAAGATCTGCAAAAGAAGGCAGGAGTTCCTCTGCTACTGCTTGCTGGTTTAGTTTTCCTCTGTTACCATATTAAATTTTGTCTTCCCGCACATAATTGACTCATTGTATTGGGGCATAAAAGAGCTCAAAATCATCCATATCTGGCAATCTTGGTCTCAATTCAAAGGGCACATGATCCTCTTTCCTTTAAGGAAAGTTTAATATCCATATTTGCTATAGTTAAGGACATATCTGCAAAAGAAGGCATATCTGGCAATCTTGATCTCATCTGAAAGGGCACATTATCCTCGATTTATTGATATAAGTTTCATATCCATATTGGCTACAGTTAGGGGAAGATCTGCAAAAGAAAGCAGGAGTTCCTGTGCTACTGCTTGCTAGTTACAACGTTAAATTTTGTCTTCCCGCGCATAGTTGACTCCTTGTATTCGAGCATAAAAGAGCTCGAAAGTGTCTCTATCTGGCAAGTTTGGTCTCATCTGAAAAGGGGACATGATCCTCTTTCAAACAAGGAAAGCTTCATGTCCATATTTGCTATATAGTTAAGGAAATATCTGCAAAAGAAGGCAGAAGTTCTTGTGCTACTGCTTGCCATTTTCGTGTATTTCTGTCTCTGTGTACACGTTTCAGGTCGTCTTCCCACGCATAGTTGACTCCTTGTATTGGCTCACAAAAGAGCTCAAAATTTTCAAAATCTTGTAAACTTGGTCTCATCTGAGAAGGGGAAATGATCTACAATCCTTTGATGTAAGTTTGATATCCATATTTGCTAAAGTTAGGGAAATATCTGCAAAGGAAGGCAGGAGTTATTGTGCTACTGCTTGCTAGATTTGTGTGATTCTGCCTTTGTGTACATGTGTCAGGTCGTCTTCCTGCGCATAGTTGACTCCTTGCTTTAGGGCATAAAGAGGTCCAAATTATCCATATCTGGCAATCTTGGTCTGATCTGAAAGGGCGCATGATCCTCAACCCATTGATGTAAGTTTCATATTCATATTTGCTATTATAGTTAGGGAAATATCAGCAAAAGAATTCAAGAGTTCTTGTCCTACTGCTTGCTAGTTTTGTGTAGTTCTGCCTTTGTTTATACGTTTCAGGTCGTCTCCCTGCGCATAGGTGACTCCTTGTATTGGGGCATAAAAGAGCTCAAAATTGTCTACATCTGGTATTCTTGGTCTCATCTGAAAGAGCACATGATCCTCCTTCCAGTAAGGAAAGTTCCATATCCATATCTGCTCTATTTAGGGAAATAGATGCAAAAGAAGGCAGGAGTTCTTGTCCTACTGGTTGCTAGTTTTGTGTAGTTTTGCTTTGTTCACACATTTCAGGTCGTCTTCCCGCCCGTAGTTGACTCCTTGTATTGTAGCATAAAACAGCTCAAAATTGTCCATACCTGGTAATCTTGGTCTGATATGAACGGGCACATGATCTTCAATCCTTTGATGTACGTTTCATAGCCATATTTGGTATAGTTTGGGAAATATCTGCAAAAGAAGGCAGGATCTCTTGTCCTAGTGCTTGCTAGTTTTGTGTTGTTCTGCCTTTGTTTACACGTTTCAGGTCGTCTTCCAGCGCAGAGTTGACTCCTCGTCGTGGGGCATAAAAGAGCTCAGAATTGTCCATATCTGGTGATCTTGGTCTGATATGAACGGGCACATGATCTTCGATCCTTTGATGTAAGTTTCATAGCCATATTTGGTATAGTTTGGGAAATATATTCCAAAAAAGGCAGGAGTTCTCGTCTTACTGCTTGCTAGTTTCGTGCAATTCGAGATCTGTTTACACGTTACATGCCGTCTTCCTGCGCATAGTTTGCTCATGTATTGGAGCATATAGAAGCTAAAGATTGTTCGAATCTGGCAATTTTTTGTCCAATCCTAAGGGGCACATGATCCTCTATACATTGATTTAAGTTTCATATCTGCACTGGGTTTAATAAGGGATATATCGTTAGAAGAAGGCAGGAGTTCTTGTGCTACTGCTTGCTAGTTTTATGCAATTCTTGATCTGTTTACACGTTACATGTTGTCTTCCCGCTCATAGTTGACTTCTTTGGGGGGGGCATAAAAAGAGCTCAAAATTGTTCAAATTTGGTAATCTTGGTCTCATCTGAAAGGGCACATGATCCTCTATACACCGATTTAAGATTCATATCCACATTTGCTGTAGTCAGGAAAATTTCTGCAAAAGAAGGCAGGAGTTCTTGTCCTACTGCTTGCTAGTTTTGTGCAATTCTTCTTCCTTTTTTAATACGTTACAAGTCATCTTCCCGCACCTAGTTAGCTTCACACAGTGGAGCATAAAAGACTTGGCATATGTCCAAATATGGCAATTTTCGTGTCATCTGAAAGGGCAAGAGATACTCTATCCATTGATGTCAGTTTCATATCCATATTTGCTGTAGTTATTGAAATGTTTTTAAAAGAAGGCAGGAGTTTTTGTCCTACCGCTTGCTAGTTTTATGCAATTCTGCGCAATTCTTACATTTTACGAGTCGTCTTTCCGAGCATAGTTAGCTCCATATAATGGAGTATAAAAGACTTGAAAATTGTCCAAATCTGGTAATCTTGGTCTGAAATGAAAGGGCACATTATCCTCCTTCCATTGATGTTAGGTCATATTCATACTTGCTGTACTTAGGGAAATATCTTAAGAAAATGGAATCAGTTCTTGTCCTACTGCATGGTAGTTTGGTGCAATTCTTCCTCTGAGTTTATACGTTACAAGTTGTCTTCTTGCGCATAGTAGCCTCCATATATTGGAGCCTATAGAATCTGGAAATTGTCCAAATATGGCAATCGTAGTCTCATCTGAAAGGGAAGATAATCCTTTTCCTTTGATGTAAGTTTTATATCCATATTTGTGGTAGTTAGGGAAATATGTGCAAAAGGAGGCAGGAGTTCTTTTCCTACTGCTTGCCACTTTTGTTTAGATCTTCCATTGTTTACACTTAAAAAGTCCAGCGCATAGTTGGCTCCATAATAATGGAACATAAAAGATCTGAACATTGTCCTAATTTTGCAGTCTTGGTCTCATCTGATAGGGCACGTGATCCTCCTTCCTTTGATGTACGTTTCATATCCACATTTGCTGTAGTTAGGAAATTAACGCAAAAGCGGGTTTAAAGGAAACATCAGTGGTTATGCAGTTCAAACTATTTTTTTATTTATTTATTTATTTATCTATTCATTTACAATATTTAAAATAAGATCTTTACACTCATTTGTATTGGAAGTGAAAAGAAGGTATAGTTTTGGTTCTTAGAAAATAACGTGTGGCGCTCTTATTACGTTGCCGTACAAGATACTCTTTGTCAAGAGAATAACGTACGGCAAAAAAATCAGTCCTTCAAAAATGACCCGACCATGCTTTGAAGAACTTGTCCAAAACAAGTACTTTGTGAATCTAAGTACATGTACTTGTATAAAGTGGAACAAATTTTCAAAAAGATTTTGTTTGACTTGTATGTATTACGTCTTTGTCATTAATGCCGAATGAAATATTATTATTATAGTCCGAGGTGAAATTCTTTTCACTTTGGTGATATTCACGGCTGGCGAGGAACTCTCACCGCATGGAGCTACAAGCCCAGCTCCATACTCACGGTAATTAATTAATATACATGGCGGCGGCGCCGCCCCGGCTCGCTCGCGCTCGCGCTCCAGGCCCGCCGCTGTAGTCGGACTTATTCGGAAACACCGTTCCCGCCACCAAAAGATTATGCATGTAAGATCCGCCCATGGTACAGCTAGTGGTTGTGCAATAAACATCAGTGGGAACGAATGGGGGATGCCGTTTGTCTGTTACGTCCCAATTAGATTTGCTGTCCCGACTTTGTTCAGTGCCAGGGTTGTCCGTGCCCAACTTTGGTCAGAGAAAGTGCGAGAAAAGGGGACATACATGTACTATAAGCAAGCAATAACTTGAACAATTTCCAATCATGCAAGCGGTTTTGAAAACAAAGCAAAAGGAACCACAGTACTGTATATGACGAAGTGTCTGATTAAAGAAATATAAATGCGCAGATGTAGATCCATTAAGTTCCAGTAAAGTTCTCCCTCATCTTTGGAAGAGCTGAGAGAACTTAATTGATAAGGCAGCCTTGAGGTTAACAAACACATTGCGCTCACTCGGTCAAGGCACCATTAATTCAGGCAAGCGTCTTGGATGGTCTTATCTGGAACAACCTTTCTATTCTTAGACTCATAAAAGATTTTCCATCAGCATTTTTAACACAACCTTAAAGATCATGTGGTAAATTTCTCTCCGGGTGTTTCATTTATTTTTTTAATGTACAGCAAATCAAGTCTTCGTCCACAGGTTTCTTTTTTGTCTTTTTAAAACCAGTTTCGCAAGTTCTACAGCATTAGGATGTAATCAAAAGCTGACATATCTACAGTATGTATGTACATGTACATGAGCAGTGTTCGATTACATTTTCAATAGCTGCTTTGAAATTCTTTAACATTTTTATGTAGTGGACTACTCGCATGACGTTTAGCATTTGTTATTTATTTCTGTGTGTACTTTGTATTTTAGTTGTACTTTAATTTATTTTTGGAGCTTGGATGCGAGGGTTCCTTTGGAAAGCCATTAAATAACCTAAGTTGGGCCAACTTTAGTTCGCGTCGAACAAAGTTGGGCCAGTGAACAAAATTGGGACGACGAAGAACTGGTTCCCGCCAACATTCGCGTTTAACTTACCGCACGTGTGCAGAGACGGAAACCAGCCACGGAGATTTCACATGTTCTAGAAAATTCAAAATGGGCGACACAACTGCGTAAGTTTTAACAAAACACGTTCCTTTTTATGTATTTGTCTTTGGTGAGATATGAGATTATAGCCTTATAGATGTTAGGCCTACAGATACAAGTTGATGCAAAATTGAAAAATTGATTTTTCTTCGGGTTTGTGCTTTAGTATTTGAAGCAGCTTTGTCATTGTACAAAGGAACGATATGTTCGTGTTTTTCCGACATCATCTTGCTTTTGAAAACAACATGGAAAAAGTCCCAGTTTCCATATATGTACAACACTTGATGCCCCTGTGTACAAAACTATGATGAGACTTGTCTGAGAAAGCCTAGGCCTAATTGTGTTCTAAGTAAATGCTGAAGAATTTTTGTAGCAAGCCTAAATTTCACTTGTACTTAGGACATGTTAATTGCTAGCCCCGGACTCCCTTGCCTTCGTATCCTAGGCCCCACAGCGGTCCATTCAAAAAGTGGGGACTCTGCGAAAATCCCATCTATGAAATCCCATTTGCGTATATGGATCACTAACCCGGCATGCCCGGGGTCTGGACAACTCAACCGTTTAGCAACTGGACTTCGGACAACTCGACCATTGAGACAACTAGACTGTCTGTTTGTGTAAGGCAGAGACAAGACGTCTGTTGAGACAAGTTGTCCGTTGGGACACTCTTCGCTCAGCCCAGTCGTCTACTTAGGCCACGGTGTGAGATAATATACATGTACATGATGCACATGTATGCATTTATGATGGGATGGAATTTCGTATGTACTGTAGATATAGACAAGCCTAATTTCTGAGGTACATGTACTGGTATTTATAAAAATGGTGGCTGTCGTTAGTCAATCTGCGCAATCAACCGATCTTGCACCCGCGCTTCAAGTATATGGCCCGTATGCATTACAGTCGTTTTCCTAGTTCCGGATCACTTGAAATAAAAACCTACCTCCTTGGTGTTTTCCTTCAGTTCTACATTGTCAGGCAGGTTCTGGTTTAAAGTGAAATGTAAACTTCTTGTTGAACAAAACTTGCTTTCAGAAAGTTTTGGCCAGAATTCTGATCCGCACTTTGACGTTTTGGAACGGTAACTGGAAAACAATGAATAGTCTAGGGCATTATATGTCACTCACTGTGAGAGATCCCAAATCCTTTTTTCATAGTCAACAATCATATAAACTCTTGTATCTAATGTCTGTTTAATCATGACTTTCAAAGTTGCATTTTGTTTAAAAACTGAATGCATATTGTTTCCTAGTTTTGGATCATGCATTAAGTGCATGCACGCAATATAATGTGCAAGCTCATCTCGCTATACAGACGTTGCAGAAATGTAGGTGATGTACATGTAATGGGTTCGTCAATGGATGCAGCATCGTTGATGGCTCGCGCTGTGCTGCTCAAAAAGTTGAGTCAAAATTTACAAAACATCCGATTTTTTTTAATTCGTGTACATTGTCCCTGGTACCTATCATCAACGCATCAACAATAGTTTCTCCAGTTGTCAGTGACCTCTATACATGACCAATATAATTAACATACAATTTGTACTTGGAACCAGATACAAAAACCGATACCGCGTCGATAGATTGGTGCAATCCGGTTCATAAGTGACTTCGTTGTACCACTGATCGCAAGCCCCTCATTGGACAATCATGCCGGGTGAGTGAGTAGGGAACGGGAACCAGTCTACCCACAAACCGTTATCACCCCACATGATAGCGGTTGATAGAAACGTCTTGGTGGGCCAACCTTCTTAAGTCAAAAACCTGCTTTATTTTTTAATTTTTTTTCCACATATTTCATGGGCTAGTAAAAATCTCTGGGGGCTAGTAAAAATCACAATTTACTAGCCCGGCGGGCTACTGTCAGAAAACTAAAGGGCAAGCCCTGCACTTGCGTGGTTACTTTCCAGAAACCAATCCCAAACGAGAAAAGTTTCACCACTTTCGTCGATCCTGTACTATCCGAATTAAAGTTTAAAATTTGAAACTGATTTGGTGGCAACTGTGTTACCGGTACATGTATTTCTATCACACAACTTGCAGGTGGACGGTGACCACATTTCACCGGAGTTCGAGGATTTTTGTAGAGCTGCAATCTGACTGAATAATTTCACGATCTTGAACTGGGAAAACGACTGTATTACGTGAAGAGATCTCACTGGTCGAGTTGTCTTTCTGTCAAAGTCGAAGTCAAAGTCCGCAACTCGGATTTCATAGAAGTCATTTTCGCCGAGTCCACACTTTTTGAATGGACGGCTGTGGGGCTTAGGATAACTGGCCCCCAGTCTGGGGCTAGTTAATTGTATTATCAGTCATGTCAGTGGTTAGCATGGTTAGGCCTAGGCCAGGAATAAATTGGAAAAAGTACAGACAAGCGGCAAGATTAGATTTGTAACAGGTCACCACAAAAAAGTCAAGTGTTAGGCAGTTACGTATATGCAGCAAAAATCGTCAATGGGCAACCCTTAAACACCGTAGATTCGCAACATTTTATTGTTCCATTCATAAAGAAATTGCTGTCAACAGCCCATATTACATGTATATCACCCAATAGTCCGAGTGGCATCAGTTCAACTCGGACCCAAACCAACTCGGATCCATGCCAACTCAGACCCATAACCAATTTTGAAGTTGGACCCACGACAACTTGGACCCAACCTGTGTCAACTCTGGCCCACCGAGCCTTAGATTGCTCTGGATAGTAAATGAAATGGGCAAAGCCTGACAGTGACAGCTCGAGCAGGGAGGCTTTCGGCATGGATCCCAAAATATTAGTGCTTCTATAGATTTTCCAGTTCTAAGATGATTTCTGCCCTCTTAACAATTCTTTTAAGCAGTACCTGTACCCTGTACACTCTTAAAGAATTTTGTCTGAGATTAGTAAAGCATTTTCACATTCCAATGGAATTAAAACATTGCTTATTCGGGCATCAGAAAATATCATTTCAATGAAGCCTACTTCTGACAATTGTTGGTACAGTTAATGTCCTAGTTTCTAAAAAGCTGTGGGATCTCTCAATCATTCAAACGCATTCATGGTGCTTGCATGTACTGTGTACATGTACAGGGATTTAACCAAGCACGTGGTACTGACTCACAAAAGGCGGCAAGTTCATTTGGCATCCCTTGACTGTGGCAGGGTTACAGATCACCACTGCTGAGACCGAAGAGAAAAAACGCCTAATTAGTCCTAATCCAATTAACATGCAATTTGAGAAGAAACAACTGCAGGGGTACATCACCGAATTACATGTATAAACAATTTGAAAGAGGAAATTTCTCTTCCCTTCCCTCATGTGAGTACATGTAAATCCAATCATTGGAATCTCCGATTCTCACTTGATCCTAAGCCGGGCGCATTAGACAGTGTAAGGACTGTTTTGGAGGTGAATTCCTGTGCTTTTCATACGGGGTATAACCGTATAAGCATTGTTTAGTAAAGTTTTATCCAGTTATATAGAAACTCTTTCCAAGCAATACACTTAACAATGCTTTTTTTTGGCTAATTCTGCAACTAGTAACATGTCTATTATGATTTACTATTTAGTTCATACAGTCATGACCATGATGACAATAATTGCTTTTAGTATTGCTATCAGCATGATCAGTTGTACATGTATGTTTCCTTTCAACAATAAAAAACAGGCTAAGGCCTTCACATCCTTGATTGCGTAGTTGCCAGGTTTTCTCTTTTGTCAAGTCTGATTGGTTTTTACAGTCAGCAGGTTAGTGGCGTGAATAAGGGACCTGGCGACTATAATGCCATCCATTAGACCCGTAAACAGGGCCTTTTTGATGTGTATACTCCTGTCTCGATACTGGGGGCTAGGATAACTCGACTGAGCATTGTCCATGTTGTTTGCCAACTCGACTCAGGACATCTCGATCATTGACCAGTGGGACAATTCGACCTTCTGTGCCTCAAACATGTCAAATGGACAGACAACTCGACTGTAGGGACACATTGTCCATTGAGACAAGTTGACTCGTAATGAATGCGCTTATGCTGTACAGTTGCATTGCCCACACCTTTACTCAAAAGTTTAAAAAAGGACTGGGGGACCACACCAGCAGACTAGCAACTGATCATCAGGAGACAACTGTGCATAGCGGACAATGCGCCACATTGCCGTTGCGACCACACACCGCACGCTGGTTTAGCGGCCAATGCACTGTTCACCAGTACTGTTCATGCTGCATCACTGGGTCCCTATGCGTGCCATGCCCGGTGATTCGAGTCACAATGTAATGCGACACATACAAATTTGCAATCTGTGTTAAATGCCCCAAACCTCATCCTTCATGTCATGCATGTTTTCGCCTTGCATGGTTCAGTTGTCTTAACGGAAGACTTGATAAAGAGTCGAGTTGTCCCACTGGTTGAGTTGTCTCAACGTCAAGTTGTTCCGAGTCGAGTTTATAAATGGTCAAGTTGTCTGACAACCGATACTGGGCCTGGCTTGGGATATGAGCCCCGAGATGGACCAAGAGAAGAAGCAATTTTCTCAGCAACGAAGGCTCCTTTGGTCAGAACTGCACTTCACTGGTTCACAAGCGAAATGAACACTCTTGGTTCCTTTCAACCAATGAGGGGGTGCTTTTGCTCAAGACAGGTGGGAAGTGCAGGTGACGTTTTTCTGACATCTACCAGGTTTTGTGAACTGAAATTTTGCCAGGATGCTCACAACTTGCCCCTTTGTTTGAAATAGAGAAAGTAAAAAAGTGTGCTGATTGCAGTTTGAATGGGGTGCAAACAAGATACAAATCAAAATCAAAAAGTTATGGAGAAATCCCAGGTTAACTGAAAAATGATCACGGGTGCCTGGTTTTTACGTTGCAGTGTGGAGAAGCTGCACCCGCCCACCAAGTGGGCCCAGAGGGCAGACACAATCTTCATCACAGTCTCAGTAGAGGACATTGAGAAGGAGAAGCAGGAGCTGAAGGTTGACGACGACAGATTCTTCTTCCACTGTAAAGGGGGCCACGAGCACCATGTATACGAGCTCGACATTAAGTTTTACAAAGAGGTGGAAAGCAGTGTGAGTACTTAAAGACTTTTCTGGCCTCAGTGCCCTTCAGGGCCCAGTGTCGTAGAGATGCTAGCTGTAGCAGAATAGGACCTAGTGTTATACATGTAGAGATTCTAAGCATGGAATACTGGTTAGCAGAATTAGGTGCTGAATAGAAGTCAGTGGGAACCACGTGGGTGAGATTTGTCACAATTTTTCCCTGATTTCAGGATTTTTTGTTCCTCAGAATTTTGCCTGGTTTCAGGATTTTTCAGACAAACCGTTTTATGTCTAGAAAATCCTGAGTTCATCAAGGTATTATGAGATACACCACTATTAAAGGAGTATTTTAAGACCCCATTAGGCAGACAAGAAATGTACATGTACATCACAGACTCTATGCTGCTGTGGGGCCCTCGAACCTCTGGTGATTAGTCTGTGGATATTTCCCTCTCCTGTTTCACTCCTGGAACCAGTCCCACTCGGGGTGTTCTACTCTCTCACCATTCAAATGTAATCACAGAAAAAGGTAAACCATTAATGGTATTTTGCTGTGGGGGTTTTGTCCGATTAGCTTGTGGTCTGACAAATACTACCGTACCACAGGTTGGAAAATTTCTGGTGTCTGACCGATAGAAAAACAAAGTTTTGGAAGTAAAATACATCTGTGGGAAAGGATTTGATACCTGTACAAGTTTGAGTCAGTTGGCACACATGCAAGGATGTCGTAAGACTGCAAAAAACTTCTCACCGGTTTGGATAACACTCTTTTTGTCTTTATCACGGGCAGAGTTTAAGGTTAAATCGAACGGACAGGGAGCTCACCTTTGCACTGAAGAAAAAAGAACCAGGCACCCCTTTTTGGCCAAGGCTGCACGAAACATCAGTCAAGGTGAGTTTGTCTCTGACAACGCCCCCTAGATTTAGGAATATTCATTTTTTTATTTTTTTTTTTTATTTTTTCTTTCTGTGAAATGCCTGACCAAGGCCCTTAGCATTGAAAACACAAAATTGTTGCCAGTTATTTGGACTCCGTCTTGGATTGTTCCGGTAGTGTGCACATTATGCGGCACGTGTACGTTTGCAGTTAATGCGGTGTAAAATCCAGTGGTTTAACGGCAGTACTCGCTGTTTACATGAAGTCACATTTAGAAATGATTTGGATTACCCGGATTGAATGTACATGTGTGTACATATATACATTTAACATCATTAAAACTGAATTTCCCAAGACTATTTTTGTACAGTACATGTACGTGTATGTTCTTGTAGCACCTTTCATTTCTGGTATTCAAAGTGGTGTGAATTGCTTTCCACATGCATGAATCTGTATTGTTACACAGTGTGAAATCCATAGTTTGCATATTCTGCTGCATGTGCAAACAGCAGTTTCAATTTCATTTAGAACTGAGCATGCGCAATAATTGTCAAATTTGTGAATAAGTCTGGTGGACAGGTTAAACTTGAGTATTTTCGAAGCATACTATTTATACAGTATTGTCTGAGATTAAATACGTAACCCCATTGGCACCCTACCTGTAGCTTTTCCTTAATTAAAAAAAGGTATCCAGAGCAAATATTCTGTGTCCGTCATAACAACCTTTCTTCTATGTCTACATGTAATTGAGTGATTCTGAACTGAAAGTCATGGACATACATTTACCGTTACATGTACATGTACACCTACTATAGTCCCTGTTTTGTGTAATCAAAAAATTCTTTGTCTGTACTTGCCTGAACCCTGTATTGCACATGATTAGGTACTAGGGTAATTCCCCTCGAGCCTTGAGACTTGCGCAACAGGAAAACACCAATTGTCACTGACCCTGCCTCACAAAAATGTCAAGCCACCCTTCATGTTCATGCCCTTGAGTAATGGATTGTACATGTACACTGTACCTGTGCATTTATAGGAGTGGCCTTCAGTTTCTCATGTTTGCTTTGACAGACTTGAATTCTACCCATTGCTGCATTTCTTTGCTTATTATTGTACAATTGTTTGGATTCACATGTCGTTGTTTTGTGATTTGTGTGGTGTTATTCACTTTTCCAATATTTTATTTATTACCTATTCATTTTTAGTCACTCTTATATTTTCTTAATATCCCCTTCCTTTGCTTTTTGGTTGGACTTTTTGATATCTTATTACATTTTATCTGCTTGTATTGTAAATCAGACATTGTTAGTCTTCAGACTTGATCAGTTTTAAAATAAATCGTACATGTAAGTAGTGAATGAATAGTAAGATTGAAACTGTGCACACATGTAATATTAGTTTGACACTCTGTCATCAGAATGTTCATATTTGCTTTATACTGTATACTGATGGCAGAAACATGTACATGTATGTACTTTATCTGTCATGTGTCTGTAAGGGATTTGCAAATATACATGTACATGTACCTGTCGATTTGTTCGAACTGTTTATTTTTTAGCTTGTTTATTTCTTGGAGATTCAGTGACTGAAAAGAATGCTCTATCAATCTTTTAAGTCAGAGTGCCACAGAGGTGGTCCCCTGCCCCCCAAAAAACCTACACCTTTTTCTTTCCAAATTCACTTCTATGGATATATGTACATGCATGTACAAAGACATTAAAATCTCAACATTTCCCAACTTCAACTTTTCTGTTGAGTGAAGAGTCCCAGGCCTTGAAAATTCAGCAAATTGGAACATAAAGTTGTGTTTCCTCCACTGTTACTTCACTGTACCATAAATGCATTCAGTGTTAACGGTGGGCAGTTGAACCTTTTTCAATACAAACACTGTCAATACAATATCCTGCTTATAACAAGGAAATTTGTGGGTCCCAATCTTTTGTTCTTGATTGTTTTCATTTCTAATAATACAAGGTTCCTGTTACAAGGTATCATAATCTGCCAAGTCCAAAGGACCTCTTATGAATGAAGTTTGACTGTATTTTCTTCACCCTTCAGCAACACTGGCTGAAAGTAGATTTCAGCAGATGGAAAGACGAAGATGATTCCGACATAGAAGAAGATGGAAGTTTTGAAGATGTAAGTTCTTGGGTCTTGTGTATAATAAAAGTACAGTAGAACAGATTTCACTGTTTCTCACTAAAATGTGATCGTTTTTTATTGTGAATACCCAAAATGTGCATTAGCAGATTCTAAAAGGCATCAAGCCACATGTACATCGTACCTCATACAATTGAAAAACAGAAATCAAATGCGTTTTCAAGGAGTGCAGCAGAAAAATGTTATTGCATAGACTCTTTAATCCTTACCCCCTGGAAAATCACCAAGGGTAGATGACTCAGTACTACAAAATACTATGTAAAAGTCTGAGTCTGAAGGACCAAGTGCTACAAATTACTACTTCTGGCTAGGTCACTTCCATTATTACTCAGAGAGAAAACTGTAAATTCGTATATCCATAGTGCCACAGCACTGTATGGCATGTTGTCTCATCTATTGTATTTTATGGCTTCAGAGATCAGTAAGGTCATGTACTCATGCAAGCCACAGGACTGTATGTTACATTTTACTACAAAGTAGTACATGTATATGTATTTTGTAGCTTTCAGGGAGGTCAGGGTTAATGCAACTGCTCCTGTTTGATTTTTTTTTACTCTGCTCAGATGATGAGAAAGATGGGAGGTGGTGTGCCCCAAGATGACCTAGAAGGTCTCAACGATGAAGAAGACAGTGATGATGGAGGTAATATCAGATGAATGTGTCATTTGTTTTTCTCTCTCTGATTATCAAATCTCACTACCGAATTTTGTCGTCTGTTTTTGAAATGAATTCAGAAGTACAAAAGTGCAATTAAATTATCATCAATCCACAAAAAAAAGAGAAGACCCATCCTACCTCCTCTCCCTGTGGTCTTGAAGAAATATGAATTGTGACTCAACATAAAGTAGGTTGCAAGTCTCCAAAGCTGGCTTTGGGTTAGAGACGTTTAAAAGAATCTTGCAAGATGGAAATCCATTTAGAGACTGAAAACATTTTCACTGAAATAGTGTCCACTTTCAGCAGGATGCCACAGCGAGTGATATGTTGAAACAAAGAGCTTAATTTCCCCTAGTAGAACCTTACATGTACATGTAAGTACTGGAAAAAATGGGGCTTCAAGACTCGCTGTGTGTGGTTGAGTCACATTTGGATCCAGTGTGTCCTGATATTTTTGTATTTTCCGTAAACGTCGTAGCTTCATCTGTTAACCTTACGCTTTTTTCCCCCCCAACTCAGAGTTGCCAGATTTAGAGTAGATTCCAGGACGAAAGTGAAAAACAAAGCAGTCAAGTGTCGAGACCAAGGGGAGCCCTCCAGCCAGTCTAATCAACTCTGACCTGCCATCAGCAGCTGCGACTGATATGATCACCGTATCGACCACACCTCTGTGGCAATGTCTCAGGAGGGCTAAAAGTTCCGTTAACCCTTTGACTCTCCAGATGCTTGGTATCTGGGTCCCTCCCCCTTCCCGCTTTACATGTAGGTGAAGTGTCCATCGCAGTGGGTTTCTCAGCTCAATGCCTGACTGTTTGGGTTTTGGATTGAAGGAGTTCCTAAGGCCTTCTCCAAACTTCGGCTTTGCTTCATTGTATCTTTGGCTCTGCTTCCCCTTTTGTTCAGGAAGCATTCAGGAGTATTATTATATAAAGTGATTAAAGACACTATAGACCTAGGCCCCTTGCCCACTCTCATATTTCTTAAAATAATTGAACTGAAGTTGGGTCCCCATGTAACTGTTCTAGACGTGTTCAGCCGAAGCTGGAACAAAGCCAAGGTTTGGTAAACCTGTTATTTCTGTGTTTTTGTACTTATTCTACCGTTTAGGTTCAACAAAGTTTGAAATGTCACATTTTGACATAAAATAGCTCTGTCCTGTGATGAAAACAGAAAAGTGAGAGGCACCATTCGAATTTATGCTTTGAACATTAATGTACAAGAACTACATTTACCATAGCCTTGACATCAAATGGATTATACAAAGATTATGGGATTTTCACACCTTGCATATACTTTGCTGATTTCTAATCAGTAATCCCCATATCACATTACTTGTTTTTTCCATAACCAGTGCTTGTTTTAAAGGTCCATTTAATAGTATGCAGGCGCTCCGTAGTGTGTTAAACTGTAACAGCCTTTAAGTACCACTGGCATCACACAGAATCCTGTAATGAAAGTCCACATTGATATTAAATCAGATTGATTATTCCTGGAAAGGGTTCCTTTTGTTCTGAGTAAGTGAAATGATCCAAATTTACCCACCGTTGAATATTGTTGCCTTGAGCACAGTCATTCGGTAAAAAAATCGCACCAACAAAATTTATAGCCGTTGCAAGTTTAGTCAGTCTGCCCGTTGTAAGCTACATGTAGTCCAACAAACTCTTACCAGGCATTTCCCCTGGGTCACATGTACATTATGATTTTTTTTCTAACTTTTATTTTTTTTCGTTCGTAATCATTAGATACATGCATTGTAAAGAAAATAACTGAAAACTGATTCACGTATGTTTTGAGTCGCCGTTGTAAGAACGTTTCCACACAACTACAGGTACTCATGGGACATTTGTGTTTTCATCAATTGCATTTGTTAACATTAGTGAACGAAGTCGGAAATGGTACAGAATAATCTGGAGAACCCATCACTGTAGAAGCTATTTACACTCATTCAAGTATTCTAAAACATGAATCGTGCTCTCATTTGGGCAAGATGCAGCACTCTGTTGGTTGAGGAGGTACCTCGCGCATGTATCTCATGAGCTTAATAGCGCCATACCAGCCTGACGGGGACCCTTAAAAAACTTGAAAAAGTTGGCCTGAAAACTAAAATGAAAAGTCACAGAAATAACACCTTAGGGTGTCTGCAAAATCATTTGAAATTGGAGGGATTGAGGACTGTTAGGGGTAAGATGGCACAATGGTTGTTTTTGATGTGCTGCCTTTGATTTATCATAGAGTAATTGTAATTTCACAGGCTCCTTGTCTATAATAACGGCTATGCCAGTCTTCCAGTCCATAACGCCAAACAACTGTTCTCTGCGAAATGGCAGTACATGTCGTGGAAATTGTCACACGCTACTGTTGGATAGTCTTGGAAGTCATGGAATTTGGTTGAGGATTTCTGTGGAAACGCTGCCTGAAAGCGGCCAAAATTTCATAATAAAGTACAGTTTTTTGAGCTGGTATGCAGATCTCTTTTGGCTGGGCAATTTGTTTGTGTTAAGCACAACTCAGCAGAGAACCAGCCAAAGGCTGTATACACACTGCATAACTTTTTAGCCAGTAACCGGTATTTGCTCAGCAGATATCTTGTATGCTAAGCAGATTATTGTGCGTGCTCTCACACTGTGGGCATTGCACGTGATAGGAAAAAAATGACAGTGGAACAATAAAAATTAAAATGTTGGGTTTCATCCTAGGGTACTTCTCATTAGCTGTGGTTGCATCCAAATCAGGGCGAGGTCAATGTCTTTGCCAAACTGACATCCATAGGCACATGCTGCAAACAGCCATAGCTCCGGAAAGCCCATTTCAGACACAATTTAAATCCCCCGCCCCATCGCAGACCTTTCAATGATGAAGAAAACATTTGTTCACACTTTTCAAGTTGTGTACTTGAGCTTATGGGATGGGGTTTGAACTTGGAACCTACTGCAAGCTTTTCTTGCCCAAGGTTGGATAGGTTGGACAGCTCTAGCGAAGAAAACCCAAATTTCTGACAGAAGTAATTCGGTGGTTCTGGGCCGCTCAGTTTCTGGTCGAGTCGTAAATAATTATTAGAGCACTATCTCCCACCTGCAGGACACATCAAAGTTTGCACAGAAACCTGTGGAAAACCCAATTTATTTGTGTTTGTATTCTATGTGTCTTCAAAGCCAATGCATATGCCAAAAATCTACAGCACGCCATCAGAGACTTGGCGTTACACTTTGCACTTACTAAAAATCATAAATTCATGTCGATGCCTAGCAGATGAATTTTGCTGAGCCTTTTTGATGAGTCATCACACTAATCTCTGTACAATCTCTAGGCAAATCTGCTCTGCGAATTGAAACGACTGCGCGGCCATCTCGGGATATTCAATGCGATAGCATTTTCCAAGTCACCGGCTTTAGCAACGTGCATGAATGCACTTAATGACCGGACTGAAGTTGGAGGCCATTGTACTGAATATCCTAAGATGGCCGCGCAGTCACTACAATTATTCAGAATGTGTTCCATCTTCATTATGTTCTGCAAAAAAGCACATTCAAAATGCCTGTGCTCAGGACAGCATTGGGGTATCTCCACACAGGCAAATAAGAAATTAACGCTCTACAAATTTAAAAGTAAGATTGTGGCTTGAGTTCGGTTTTGTCCCATCTTAAAACTGGATTTGACCTCTTTAAAATGCCAAGATGTACAAAGAAGTTAAAAGTTCTGCACTCAACACATTGCCAAAGCTATGTACAGACATGACAGAATGCATGTGTATGGATGTAGCTTCGGTCTTACAATAGAAAAATCACTGCATTTCTTCATGTTCTTTGGCCAGTGCATAATTCCAAGTAAATGTTGTGTTATAAGTTTCCATCCAAGTGTATACATTGTTCTTGCAAACCAATAACTCTGTATGATTTGCATTCATTAAAACCATCTTCATTTGATACACTTGCCGGCTGCCTTGTTAATCTGTTATCTGGTCCACATGTCATCAGTTATAGTTTTCCAATTTCCAGGTTCTGTTAAAACACGGTGTGTAGTAGGTGTCGCATTTTTACCCCTGGATGCCATCCGTGTACCTCATTTTGATAAAATTCATTTTTGAAGAAAATGTGCCCAACATGTTATAGACTTAATGGAGGGTGGTGCAACCATACCCACGCAAATGAGAAAAAGCACCGAAAGAAATACACTGTTTCTATACTTCCATGTAGAATACGTGACTGGATTTATGAGCCTTGAGCTGGACCAAGAGAGGGTGCAATTTTCCTAGCAACGGAGGTTCCTTTGGTTGGAACCAATGTAAGTTGGCAAACAAAACACAGATAATGGGCAGTTTTTCATACAGCCGTGTATATTCATTACAAATGTGCATTAGAAAGGGACTTGAAATAAAACTACAAGTATAAGATTTGTACTATGTAGGGTCATGATCGACACAGCACTGACACGGGCTTGTACAAAGAGATGTTACTACGTACGTTGGATAATGGCAGCATTTTTGAAATGAAACCGCTTGCTAAGTTGCCACGACGCACAAAACTATCATATATTAAAAGCCTTGTTGAGCCATCAAGCTTTGGTGGAAAATAAAAGATCCACTTTCTGCTGGCAGGAATTCTGTTTGAAACCAGTTAACGGGCACCATCTTTACCACTATGAAACAAATTGTTTACGAGAAAACTTAAATGAATGCAGTACAAAAACTCTGTAGAGGGGACCAGTAAAAGTTAGTCTGTTCACGGTATTTCCCTGATAGTTTCAAACTTTTGCCATGTCTTGAGCACTGCCCAACCAGTTCACGTGCTTCAGTGAGGGGGCTGTATTGACGGACAGAGAAGAGAGTGATTTCTATCTATTTGGCCCCCAAAACCCAGAAACTTTTATGGACTGTCTCACTTGGGGCAAGTTTGAGCATGAACTATAGTTTGGCCTCTGATTAATTATACACATGCACAGTACCATCACACTCAACCGACCTCAGCCAAACTGTTTTGCAAAAGCGCATAGTTACAACTCTGACAGTGTTCATGGACAATGACATCTTGTACAATTATTTTCATGTGCATAGTTTCTTCTATATTGATAAATTAATCAGCTATTGATAGTGAGCGATGCAACCATACCCTAGGGACCTGGTTTTAAATAATTGAGTAGATGGTCCAAGCCATCCCGATGGGTGACTTTGGTCCAACTATGATTAACATTTACTGTTGGTAGAACTTGCCCTAGAACACTGCAAAAGCCAACTTCATCGATTACTCTCAAAGTGTGGCAACTTACAGTTAGTCAAGGCAGAATTGCATCACTGACCTTTATACACCGACTGGATAGCACATGTAGTTTGAGAGCTGAAGTCACTAGGCCCCATGTTGGCAGACCCAACATTTGATGATGCATATGATTTAAGGCCTGTTTGTTTCCACTGAATCCTGGTCTCATGGAGTCAGTTGTTGGTTCACCAACAATGGATCTGCCCAATGGATTGAGCAAACCAAATGTAGTATTGGAAGTACTAATTGGGATCTGAATCTGTGTGAAACAAACAAGGCCCAGAATGTCAGTGGGAGTCTCAAGATCTCTTCTACACTTGCCTGTTCTTATACATCATGGCCATATTTGTTTCATATGGATGATCGCGATCCCAGAGCTGGTTCGCACTATCCAGGCCAGTTCTGCTTTCAGCGAACCAACAACAGATCATTGATAGTGATCCAGCCCTAAGACTGTCACACTACAATATTATCTTGTACGCTAGGGGTATTTGGGTAAAAATAATTCCTTTATCTTTAACCAACAAATTCTCCAAACTGCTTGGAAAACTTGGAAAACCTTGATGTACACTATGCTGTGTCAAATGTAATGGTAGCCACCTTTGGCTTCATTTGAGTTCCAGTGGCTTCATTTGTGCAGGGCGTTCGCTATCCAATGAGTATGCAGATCTCTCTTCTTGTATTCAACGATGGCAGTGGTCCCTTCGCTGGTGGGTGAAAAAGTCTGGCTCCTGAACTCAAGTTAGCTTGCGTGGATGGACAGGGTATCACAACCTGTGGGCTTTTCTCGACCCTGTGTTTCTCTTTTTTCTCCCAGTGACGATTTTCCAATCGTCCTGTTTCCAGCATCTTTCTCACCTTTTCCCATCCATCTTCTGTTGGAAAAAGACCAAGGAATGTAAAATGCTGCAAACTGCTGGCTCATTAAAGCGACCTAAAGTATACAAATCAAAAAGCTTAAAAGGCAGAATCCGAGCAAATCCTACCAGAATCTTTTAATCTCTTTAAAATAAATAGAAATGTCACATTTGCTAGCTTTATCCCAAAAAAGAACTATGGGAAAAAAACCTGGCCTGGCCTGTTAAAATAGCAAGAGCATGCGTGGAGTGTCTGCCATAAAAAAACTAGAGAAGGGTTTTGAAATGCAAAGCCAGCTTACACTGCTGGTCCATTCTTTGAAAGTACTGTTTCAGAATTTACAAATTCGGTTTGGGGCAATGCAACCATTCAAAAAATGAAGCCAGAGGCTGGCTAACTGAGCAACTATGCTGATGTATGACGCAGGGAATGTCCCTTTTGTGAGTACATGTAGGTGAGATTCTGATAAGAACTGGTAGACTCAACACCATCCATTCCACATCACTCCCTACACCGTGTAGGCCCTCAAATTTCATCTGACTGAATGACGGCCTCACCTGAATGGCAAAGTCCTTCTCTTGCAGCATGAACTTGAGCGTGGCCTGGGTTAGTGCCCGGGTCAGCTCCATGGCCATCTTGGCATCGTCCTCGCTCTGAACCATGGTGTCCGACTGCAACAACCAAATCACAGTGCGGTAGTTGAGAGCATCACAGGAGCAGTCTCCAGACCAGGCAAAATACCACTAAAAACACCATTCACAAGACCAGTCACCAGACCAGTAAAAAGACCAGTCAACAAAATTTTGCTAACACCATTCAAAAGATCATTCACAAGACCAGTCACAAGATCAGTCACCAGACCAGAAAAAAGACCACCCCTTCATCCAAAAGACTGTTCCCAAGACCAGGCACAAAAACTAGTCTCCTGAAACTCCAGAAAATTTGACCAGTAACTCACCAATGATTCTAGCAGTGTTTCCACTGAGACTCCTTCCATTTTGGCTTGACTTATTCTGTTGCTGTTGTCATTGGTCTGAAAAGAAATAAAAAGAAGAAGTTCCAAAAACTGTCCTGAACGGACTTACACTGGTAAGTCTCTTCGAGCTCAGTGGTCAAGACATCTTCACCAGTAAGCAGCAGGTCTTGGCTTCGAGTCCAACCCAAAAAGCACACAAATATTTAAGTTTCTCTCCAACAATCTATCAGACATGTCAGACAGCCCTCTGCTCTCAGAGGGTATTTAGCTGGCAGACTGGCCCAATATTACACCAAAAGATGATGGAATACAACAAACATTTTTGTTTGACAATTTAACAATGACATTTATCAATGCTTAACTCACTAGAGTGATTTACTAGGACCCTTCCCTCATCCTTGTATATCCAATTACCATACAGTAACCTGTGCACATAAACAGTTGGACTGTCTAATCCCTCATAAAGTGCAGTGAATTTTCTGGTACAGAACTCATCCTAACATGTTCTAACAGATTCCTACAAGATCTGATGTTGGACATTGGCTGGTTGGGGATCGTAGGGTTAGGAAAAGGGTTGACCAAGAAATGTCGATGGTGCTCTGCTGCTCTCACATGAAAGTCAGGGAGGGACATATGGCATCCATGCACACATTTACATGTACATGTATGTGCAAATAGTTTGTTGTACAGCACCTCCAATTTTCAACTGAATGGCAACAAACACGACCAATTTTGGACCGAACGGGCACAAGTAAACCAATTTCAATGTGTGCTGGCAAAAATAATTTCCTATTGAATAGGTAAAACAACTATTTTCCAACTGAATGGGCACAAGCATAAACAATTTTCAACCAAATGAGCACAAGTTCAATCAATTTTCGGCATAATGGATACAATGTATAATGGATACAAACTCTTAGCATCTTTGTGAGACAGGAGCGAACCAGGGCTTGGGCACAAAGCCAAAACGAAGCTCAAGTCTTTCTACAGTGTTATACCTGGTTACTTTCTTGTGAGGAAGGGCGATCGCCAAACCGACGTCTGTACTCTTGAGCAATGAAGATGTCACTGCAATAAAATCGCAGCTGCTCCTCTGTCAGCGGAGATAAATCAGCTGGCAACCTGCAGATGCAGTCAGAAAACAATACTCTCATGAGTCTTTGTTAACAGTGGAAACCTTCCACCAACATAATTTAACAGTTAATCCTTACGACAAGCTTGTGAAAAAACTGGCGCACTTTCTCAGGAGGGACTCAAAACCACAACTTTTTTGGACAATGCTGCGTATATCGTGTTCATAAATATACCGCTTCATCAGGGGAATGGCACAAATTCCAGAAATTCAGTTCCTTTTTTTTTCTGTGTCCAGGTCACATCTGACATATGATGTTGTGAGTTCAGAACACGTTTCTCTAATTTCCAAGAGTGATGAATTAATAATGCACATTACCTGCCAAACAAATAGTAATAGTTTGAAATAAATTCCACTGATATTTACATGCCAAATAACACAGGTCAGATGTAACAGGGGCACAAAAATGTCACACTTTTGGATCCCTAATTTCTGGAATTACCCATATACAGATATCATCTTCACAGGAAAATTATATCTGTGTATTCAACTCCATTATTCATGCAGTGTGCAAATTTTCTCTACAGAGTGTATGGAAATCCAAATTTCTTCAAACTAGGGTCTGCCCTTTTGATGCCATGGTCTTCTTTTTTTCTACAAGTGGCTGCTAAAACTGGTACAAAAGTAAAAGAATAATTCCCTAAGTGTTAAAACTTCCACGCAGCTATCAGAACTCAAGATAATAACACACGTACTACTAACCTAAAATGAAATTAAAATCCTATATAAAATCAATGAAACAAATCTCCAATATGAATGAATTGGAGCCAAAAATCCAAAACCAACTAAAGGGTAATATTTCTACAAACAGAACAATGGTCACCCAGACAAGTTGTAGGCAGAATGAGAGTAGTCTAAATGATGCAGCATACGTATGTTGCACGAAACTTGTCAAAAATGTCAAAAATGCAGGCAGTATAGGAAATTATATCTTATGATAGAGACACCCATGGAGTGTCGGGCATTTTGAGGCAGCATCCATGTAGGTAGTGCCTTATGCAGGGACGTACAGGTGAAAAGGGTTGGGATCAATCAGAGAAACAGTGAAGAATTATGCAACTCCGACTTACCGGTTTTGGTTTGAAGTTGGAAGGGTTTCCTTGGGAGGTAGGCGTGTCACATCTAGGGCCGTCGGGGGCGGAGATGCTGACCATGGGGTTAACCGCTTCACAGACTGCGGCAAGAGGTGGTGATCACTGGGCGCTGGGGGCACTGGGAGGGGTTTGTCCCAATGACGTGGACCAGGATGGCAGACGGGTAATGAGTGGGTCCTGAGGCTGTCGCCCGGGGGTGAGGCACGGGGGTCGTAGCTGCGTGACGGGCGGTCCGGGATTGTTCTTCTGTTAGACCGCTGGTGGGAGTGGGTTCTTGAGGGGGTAGCCCAACTGCCTCTCTCAGGGGTGCTCTCCGAGGGTTGGCGGGGATCCACATGCCTGTAAGGGGACCTAGGGATGGATGGATACTCTAGTAGATTGGGGCGTTTTCGACCTGGGTGGTCAACATTCCCTCGGTCCTCTGGCTCCATGCCAAGTGGCAGATCAACCACTGGATTATCAGGATCACCTGCAACCAATATCGTTACAGATACCGCATTAAAAAAAAAAAATGCACTTTTTTTCCACAACTACTAACGTAGATTGTAATCTTTCATGACCAAGGCTGTTGGCCCATTTCGTGTCCGTTGTATATTTTGACCGATTTTGTATATGGTGTCCAGGTCTAAAATGGATTTGCAGCATACAAAAGCACACACGTCTGAAAAGTTACATGTAGCAACCATTTTTGACAACAACTGGAGTTGGCTGGTTTCTATACATTTTGCAATTTGCCATGTGCTCCGCCTTCTCTTAAAAATTCTTTAGAGGGTATGAATGTATATACATGTACCAAGCAGAGGTTCTCTGAAATCAGGACTTAAATTTGGTGTTCCTGAAGACACAGGCCCTACAGTGAGCAGGACTCTGACAAGTCATTAGCCTCAAATCACCTGCAATCAAAGAAAGTTGCAAAGTCGCATGTGGAAAATCCCTTGGGTGTAATTGCTGATTCTCATACCAATGACAAATTACCTACAGAAAATGCACTGGCCTGTATGAGAGGTCTTGGTTTGGATGGGGGAAGGGGCAGTGTGTATGGCTCTTGCCTGATCTGTAGGAAAAAAGTTTCCTGTGACTTTTGAGCAACGTTATATAATACAAACAATTGTTGAAGACTACATTACCCAACAAGTGAAAATAAAGTTACATTTCTGAGATTTCCCCACGGCTTCTGTCAATTTGTACAAATATCTGAGAGTCTGCACAACCTGGAAGTGGGATACAAAATTCTGTAACTTGTCAAGGTTTCTTTTAAGCTGCGGGGTGGGCAGAAGGGGGCATGGGACAGCACACAAGTGATTACTTAGGCTGACGCTCCCAGCTTGCTAGGATGCAGTCTCGAGTGTTGTTTCTGTTCACCTCCGGGCGGAGGGGTAGTGTAAGACAATGGGGACAGGAGGGGTAGTAGGTACTCACTTTCGTAGTTCTCTATGCCATAGTCTTCTGTGCCATCACCGTCAACCTCCTTCTCGTTATACAGTCGGATCTGCATCTCGCCAGGCCCGTCCCGCTTGGCAGCGACCTTGATGATGCCGTTGAGCAGGGCTGACAGGTCGCTGCCCGGCCGACGCTTCAGTTGTCCATTCTTGCTATAGACAGTGGCAATGCTGGCATACTGGTCGGCTAGATCGGGCTTGAGCTTTCTCTGTGGCGTGGAAATAAAACAAGCCGGAATTGCAATGCAGCAGGGTTCCCTGCAATTACTCACTTGCCATCGGGGTTGTTCCATGTCACACCTAGGAACAGCATTTTTTTTGGGTTGTTGTTGTAAATGTTGTAAATCCTGACCGCTCATTGAACAGGATATTGCAACCACACTCCTGAACCAAGTCGAACTTCACAAATACTGACCCTACCACATTTCTTATTGCATCAGCATTTTTCTAAACAACAAAACAATGTCATGAAGTGACATTTGCAACTTTCATCTATGTGATGCGGGTTCGAATCCGGCCGAGGCCAACATGTGGATGATGTTTCAACCCCAACTAGACTGGTTGAGTTTTTTCCAAAAAAAAAAACAGCTGTAACTTTTTTCAGAAAAATTACTGTACATGTTTAGAAGCACTTGTTCTTCTCGAAATATTTTTTAATGTGAGATACAGCATTTTACAATAATAGGAGTGCTGAACATCTAGACAAGAAATCGGAGCTGACAATATAGGCCTTCCTGTGGCTGCGGCCAAGGACGTGCTCGTAGACGCTTGTGGAACGCAGGTCCTTCTTGTCACACAAGCTGCACTCATATAGGTCCTCGCTCTCGTCCTGGTCTGGAACCACAACTCGAGTTACGAAGTCAAGGCCTGGAGTAGCACACACAAGAGGAAAAGGGCAAGTGCTGTTACATGCGAGGCCAGATCCAGAAACAAATTTTTGCAGCGGCAAAACATAAATATTTGTGTACGTGTACACCGGTAGCAGCTCGACAAATGACATACAGTCGTTGACACCCAGCTTAGACCATACAGTTCGAATTAAGTTTGTCAATTTTCAGGCGTGTAAACTGCTGTTGCTGTTTAAAGACCAAAATGGTGTATCCAAGTTTAACAAGGTAACATGTGCACTGGACATCCTACATGTAGATCACAAACATGACAAACCTGAATGGACAATAGACAGATAGACCTCTTCACTGATGACGTCGCACAATGTGGTGCTCAGTGAACCACAGATCCTCCACTGGCTCCATAGGAAAGTGAACATGTCAACAATGACTGACGTCATCAATTCACTGGCCTATCTTACAAATGTCTGGCCGATGTAGTTTTTCTGGCTTGTGCAGGAGGGGGGGCGAACCTTGGAAGGCTTAAGACGAGGGCATTACCTATCAATGGTGTCTCCTCTTGGTTGTGGCTGCTCGGAATGGGTCCTTCCTTTTCAAATCTTGACCGCAATTTTTTGTCCAGCCTTCGGCGCATAATGGTACCCTCTACATATATGAAAGAAAAAAACCCTATTATTGTTGAGTGCATAATTTCAAATAGTTTCTTTACATGAATTAACCCAAAGAGTCCAAAATTGTCCAATTTGACAAGAGACTAACAAACATCTAACACCAGATTTCACAAGAGTCTTAAGTTTATACAATTTTTACAATTTAGTCTTGGCTTCGTAAGTTTTCATCCAGGCTAGAAGAAATGTTAACACATAAACAGTGATAAGCACAAGCAAAATACAGTAAATGTAATATATATGTATGTATGACTGTGATTACCTCCTTTCTCTACTTTAGCTTCATTCTGCAAAAAGATTCAAGAAAAAAGAGAGAGTAAATCTCATGCATTTGTCCATCTCAATGAGCAAGTCAGGTGAACAAAATGAAAAGTCTCTGCCATTTATAGGCCTCTTTTGGAAGGCATAGAATGGAAATATTTCCTCAACAACAACCCTCACCATGAAAAAATAGCACGTATGGGGGAGGGGCAATACAGGGAATATTTCTTTCAGCTTCATATTCCCAATGTGTAGTACAGGATATCTCAAATCTCAAACAATGAGCCCTGTTCAGTTCTGGAATTGCCCTTTGCAAGGGATAGTTGAAAGCAAGGTTGTACTGGCCTTTTTCAGCTTCTTCAATTGAATGAAGTGTAGCTGCTATGAATTATTCTTAGGCAAATTTTTCTGCAAATTTGTACACTTTTCCAAAGTACACATGAAAACTACATAACCCTATCAGGTTAAATACACTGAAAAGTGACTTGTTTGAAGATCAGAAAAGATTCCCCCATGCTTTTTCACACAACTGGGGACGCTGTTCCTGTGATGTGTTCCAGAGAAGACATACGGTACATATACATGTACATGTAGTTCAGGGCTTAGGTTTTACTGTTCAAATAACAGTATGAACCCAGAGTTTACTCACTTAACATTTCTGGGAAACGATTACTCACTTGCATATTGCTATGTTCTTCCACAACAATGAATTACCCCAAAAAAGCATATTTTGGCCAGCATAATCTAAAAAAATGCAAGAGTGTTTTACACATCAACTAATGAAACACTGAGGTTTTTCTTCCTGCTATGACATCACACTTCACAGTACTGCTCATGAATATGAAAATCTAATTAGCATTAGGAAGTGCAATCCGGTTTGTAAGTGACTTCGTCCTAAAGGCGGACGCGCCATGATCTGCAGGCTCCCATTGGACGATCACTGAAGTTGCAACTTCCGGTTCCATGGTTCCATGTAAACAGTGATCAATGCATGAAACGCTGTGTGCAGTGCCTGTGCAGTGGGCGTGGTTTAAACTGAAGTGACATCACACTTACGAACCAGATAGCCTTTAAACTAGTGAAACAGACCACCGTACATGAGATTAACTGAGACACACAGCTCCAATTTGGTGGCTTGTTCTCAATCCATTGCAGCTACCTCTAATGACTCTTTGTCCCATTCGTACATGTATCCTCTGAGGAAAAACTGCACAATCTTTGTTTAATGAACTAAACAGGAAAATCAGTTGCTATCTGTGGATGGAAACTATGGTACATGTATGTGGGAAAACATTATCCATAGATAATGGGTAACAAAGGAAAAATGCTGTCATACACTGTACCAGTTTGTGCTTGGCTCCATTTATGTGCATCCTGAGGTTGACCGGTCCACTACAGACAACATCACACAACTGTGAAAGACGAAAGACAAAGAGGAGTAGAGCAAGCATACACGTAGTAATAAAAAAGTATTAGAAGTATAATTCGCAGGAGACATTCATTAACAACTTATCTGGAGACATAAGGCCTACATGTACATGCTTTGTCAGTGCAAAAATCCTGATTCATACCAGGCTTCAAGATCAGGCTAATCATTTGTTGGCATGTACAGTACATGTACATGTAGGATTGTTCCATAAATTTTTCCATCATTAGCACTTCCAGTAACTAATAAACCACACTATACATGTGCATGTACATGTATGTAATTACGGCATGTGGAAAATTATAATTTATATGATGATACAGGAATGTATACAGGCTCATAAAATTTTAATGTTAATTAAGTATGCTGAACGTGGAAACTTAGTTTTACAGCATACATGTACATGTACATGTTATTGGTTGGGCAGACAAACTTCTCAGTTTTGCTCCTGCAGTATCTGAGCAAAACTTGGCGATATGTGTGGCTGTGTTTTTTGACTGATGAAAGACTCACCTCACAGTAACATCCGTCCCCGATTTCCTCAGGTAGTTTCCTTGGTTTTGGACATGTTGGAGGGGCACTTTTGGCTTTCTTTTTGGTGGTTCCTCCGACGAGCTCGTATGTCCCGTTCGGTTTCCTCTTCACAGGCTCCTTGGTGACTGGATGAAGGATGATGTCAGGGTCATTTGTCTTCTCTGTAGCTTCCGCCGGGTCTGGGGGAGCATTCAGGCGGGGCTCAGCCAGCAGCTCGGGCTTCTCCGCCATGCCGGGGTCACTGTCAGCACAGCTGAACTTGGTGACACCCAGTGGTTTAGGCTCGTTGCTGTCGATGTGCAGGACTTTGGTTGAAAATGGGGGGCCGTAGGTAGAGCCACTCCTGGGTGGAGTGTTCTCCCTCCATCGAGTTCCACTCCTACGGCGGTCAGGCTGTGGGCGTGGTCCTTGGTTTAAATGAACCTGTGGCTGCTGGTTGCTCGGTCCAACTTTGGACGGACCGGCATCCATCCTCCCATCATGCACATGACTAGCTGGATGATTTTCGTAAACTGGTGGCGTGGCTGCACTGGAATTCGGCGGCCAATTTGGGCTACGGTTGAAGGCAGGATTTGGTCCCTCATTTTGCTGGTATCCGTGGGTTTCAGTGACTGATGGATACTGAGAGCCAAACAGATACGCCTGGCCGGCTGGCCCTGCAGACGGCTCCTGGTGATAGGGCTGCTGGGCCTCATTGCCAAACATGTATTCCTCAATGTTAAAGGTTGTGGTCGGACCAAAGTCGTCAGAAGAAACTCTTTGATGGTACGATGATGGGTCACCTGGCCCATGGCCCTGCCAGAAGGGCTCATGCAGTGGTCTTCGATAACTCATGATAGTGATGACAGGTTAACACGTTCACGTTAATGTATCATACAACTGAGAGAGAAATTTGTCACAAAGGATGTATTTTTAATTTTAAAAAGTTTAAATAGTCATTTGGCTCTAACCTCGTCTATCTGAAAAATTGGGGCCATCCACTTTTTGTTACTAAGTACATTTAGGACCATTTTTTTCTCCTTCCCCCTGCTGGAGGCTAACCATTTTTTTCCTATAAATTCCAGTTATTTTAGGGTTAGTCTGAAATTACAATAGAGAAAACATGACAATTTTAGCTTCACTTTTGATTTTTTTTTTTAAGGAAAACATACCAGTACATGTACGTGTAGGCCATCATGGCAACAACCCCCATGGCAACAACACAGGCCAAGTTAGTCCCTTCCATAACTCAAACGTTATTCTTTACTATACTGTTTAGTGTTTTATTGTGTTACATGTACTTGATCATGTTGGAACATGTACATGTAGGTCTGATACACTGTAGGTCTACATGTATCGTGGAGTAACCTTAATTTACACATACAAAGATTTGCGCTTCCAACTTTCTCGTTGTGAAACGTTTCACCAAAATTATGCACTGGCGTTAATTTACTGTCAGTGATCGATCGTCACTTCGACATTTTTGTTTTTGCAGGTATCGGTACTTGTATGTGCAAATGAAAGCATTTCCAGGGAGAAGTCGGGAAAATTGTCAATAGAGCATAAATTTTTCCTCTGCAGACTAAATACGAAAATAAACCGGTTGAAATTGTCTAGAAAAGGGATAAATGATTGCCGTTCATTCACAATCAATGTTGGATGTCCGATACAGGCACTAATGACGACTTTGATTAACTTTTGCGAAATGAGAGCATCATCAAAAATACGGAGCCTGAAAAGTACTGCGCACCTGGTATTTTGAGATTCCCATTGGCGATGACAGCTAGGCAGATTTGGTGATATTGTATTGTGTGACTTTTATCAGAAATACACACAGATAGAGAAGTTTTGTAATAATATCTAGACAGATAAATACATGTTCATGTAATTCATTTTAATTCTAATTACATGTATGATTCAAAGAATAAAAATTCATGCCTCACTGTAACTTCAAATTAAATTGAAAAAAATTATAAAATGAAAAAGGGAAAGTGATGGGACGTCAAGCTATTGTGAATAAGAGGTTTTTGTCATAATTAATGCAAATACATATAACCATTCCTCATTCAATAGACATTAACTGGCAGGTTTTTCAGAAGTAGGACCTACACGTACATAATATACATGTACTGTATGTAGGGCATTACCGATACCCCATAAAATGATGTTTGCAACATTCGTGCATGAATTATGGTGAGTACAAAAATGTACATGTAGCCTAGGTTTTACTACAGCCGATCCAACTTGTTTGCAGACAGCATTGTTCCTGTTGTAGTACATGTAAATGTCAGGTCGCATTTTCAATGGCTCAAAACACGGGAGGGGCCAAAACTGTGCAGATTTGCAAGGAAACTTACCACATCTCAAGAAATCCCTGAGCACTCACATCACACGCAGCGCTACTAATAAAAAAATAAAAGTGCTACTAATAGTACTACTATACTATAGCGAAGATCAGTATTGAAGCATGTCACTTGAGGGCGCTATTTATAGCCTCTACGGTTGCAGTGCAGCGCAGGCAAGTTTAATAACTGAAACTGCCTTAGCCAACCGTTGATACCTGAACTTCAAAAAGTTTGGAAAAAAACTCACGAGTTTCACAGGCGTTCAAGACGCACATCAAATTGAAGTCAATGTTATGGTTTTTAATTTTCTGTTCAAATTTACATTCCTTAACTGATGACTTTTGAAGATATTGTTTTCCACCCTTATATGCCCGTGAAGCCCCTTTCCATTTTAAAATACGGATGATACACCTCTCGAAATTTCTTGCACTGATTTCTTCCAAATCTCGCTCAGACACAAGCTGATATTCTCTTTGCTCCCCTAGACCTGTATTTTCTGCAAATCCTCAAGTTATTTTGCCACAAAATGTTCTATTTCGTAGAGAGTTTGAGTTCACACAAGTAGGATTTAGCCAACTTATAGCCTGCGCCCTTGTAAGCAGACGGCGCATCTAGGGCGCAAACCAGTGTAGCTGCCATATAGACAAGAATGACTGAACCACCTACTTCAAAAATCAGTAAAAATACAAGTTTCTCAGGCGTTCAAGACTCATATAAATCTAAAGCTAACTCCTCACCTTTCATTTTCCTTTCAATTTTCACCGAAGCGGCGAGTTTTGAAAATGTTTCTACACTGAGAAAAAATCACCCCACAGTCATGAGGTCATCAGGCCCATCGCCAAGGAAAATTGACAGCCCATCTTCACTCTTTTGCCGAATCATGATTTGGAAGGGCCCGTTTCAGAGATGCAAGCTGGCAATCCTAGGCCTGCTGGTAGATTCCACCCCGGTCCCACCTCTTGACAAACCCCCCACCTGCAGTTCACGGCCACAAAAATGCTGTACTAGCAGAGAAAGTGAATTGTGATTTTGTTCGGCCAGGTATTTCTGGGCCTATTTGCTGGCGCAACTCTAGGTGCGTGAGCACGGTGGTCAAGCATCTCACAGCCTAGAACTTTCTTAATTTTAGGGGGCATGATGTGGCCACAGAAACTATATACGGGTGCCAAACTTTAAGTTTCTGGAGGCAGGCCTAATATATAAACATAACATGGTTTCAGGTTAGACAGTCGATGTTAGTTCTTCGAGGTGCTGGGTGTTGACAAACTATCTAGTAGTTCCCGAGGCGAAGCCGAGGGAACTGTCATCTCCCAATACTGAGGGTAGACTGTCCAACCGAAATAAGCCATGTTAAGTTTGTTTTACTACACACCATGCATAGGCCTACATATTTTTTTAATGATATCTGAAAATAAAAAAAACACCATTAATTTAATTCCAAGAACTTTTATTTTGTTCCTAAGCTCGAAACATTAACACTTCATCCTTTTCAATTTACATTCACTTTACACGCAAGAATGCATGCAGATGAAACCACGCGTGCACAGTACATCTGTGCACGGTCAGTTCCTGGATTTGCTGCTACTGCGCATGCGTTTATATCTGTCGCCCGGAGAATCCGGGCGACAAAACGAACTACCAAACAATTGCACTTGATACAGCACGACATACATGTTATGCTTTTATGTTTATATGCTTATTGTAAACAAATATTATTTAGTGGTGGCAATTAAGTTCCAGGATGCTTTGAAAGTGCAACGTCCAGCAGGCCTAATGACTTCTCGGCAAAACTATCAGGTTGTCTTTATTTTGTGCACAGATTTTCACTTATTTGGGGTGATGTTTCTTTGTATAATGCCATGTCCATAATCAAACGTCTTTCCAAAATATTGATGTACGGTATATATCTCTGAAAAAGAGCTCTACTCTTTTTAGTAATTCAAGTATCACCAATCAGTGATTAGTATTCAGTATCTGATGCAGCATCCCCCCCCCTTTCCAAATATCCATGGTTAGGAAATTTTGTGATTTATACGTCATCTGCACTTCTCAATCCCCCAGTCCCAAATTTAAACCACTGCTGAAGCAGATATAAATCACTAACCTGGCCCCAATAATGCACTGAAGATGTGAGTGAGCCAATTAACAATTTACACAGTTGCAGGTGTACAAACGCGGAGCTAACGTCACCTGGATTTAATTCCAATTGTGGGACTTGAGGGCGAAGTCGTGTTCTCTAAGTTTAATTAGGTACTAAAGTCCAACCCGCAGGTTTTATGTTTGTTTCTGAATTAATTCGTCGGAAAGCTGTCGTACTAATATGGTGTTACTGACAAATGTATTTTGCTTATGTTTCATGTCCATAACACGTTTCCTTTGTCGAGACCTTTCCTGCTACTCTGGTAGCTCTGAGCAGTCAGACTTCATTGAGTTAACGGCTTCAACTCTTGACGTTTGACTTGTCGCCTGCAGCGGTACAGAAGAGCCAGAAATGCCAACAGGCGGAAGCCAACGAATAGGATGGCTAGGCAACATAGATCCATTAGGAAATGACTCTGGGGAAAAAAGAGAACATCAAAGCGTAGGCCTTAAACTGTTTTGTTTAACTCCCCAGTTTAGTGTATCTCGACGAGCAGAATTAGAAGCTATTAATGCTATTAATGCGGCGATACAAAGCTCGTGGACAGGTGGTACGCGCGTTAAGTGCATCTTCGACCAAGAAGGTATCGTGAGTTGCCAAATGCACGCACGCGTCAAGCTGAAGAATGTGCGGGGTGCGGTGCCACCACAGTTATGGCTTCTAATCTGATTAGTGTATAACGTGTGTACCACAGTGTATACCACTTCATGCTGTGTTCCTTTAAATGTATACTTTGTTTTTATTTTGTTTCTCGTTGCCTTGAATTTGAAACACATTTTCGTTTCAAAGGGGAAATTAAAGTAAGAAAGTTCACGTGCCAAATACCTCACTAAACGAGAGCGTTTCCAACACCATCTGGCCGTCGTCAACACACGGCGTGGTCCAGTTCACTGGGCACTCTGAAACAGAGATGTTTCATCGTGATCATGTGCGACATGATCACGAAATAATGTAAACTGGTTTTGCGTTACTGCTCAATCGATTGATTCCTTTCGTAATAAATCTGCAAATTGTCGTATCGATAAAGCTCTGTAAAATATTCTGATGATTTGTTGGAATTTCATACTCGACCCAAACTACAGCTTTGTTTGCAAATTTGTTTTCAGTAGTCGTACCAATGTCGTCTATCTGTGACCACTCGTTGATGAGCAATGCCTCGAAGCCAAAACGAAACCAAGACAGGTAGGAGAACCACCCCAGCCAGACGGGGATGTCTCTAAGGGAACAACAAAAAAGGAAGGAATTGCAATTAAACTTTCTTAACAATCACACGGTGCTCAGAGTAAATTGTTATCAATTTCTATTTTAGACAGAAACCATGACGGCAGCATTAGGATAGATATTGTCATCCAGCGTCACGTTGTACTTGATTAGCAGCTATCGCTCGGAACCGCTCCCCTGTCCTCAGGCAACTGTGAACTTTCTTATATCTCCCGCTGACAGAGTTTGCTTCCCCAACGAGAGGAGGCCACCTTGCGTGCATTACGATCATATCAGGCAAAAATTTATAGCATTATACCTAAAAAGACTCGTTTCAAGAGCTGGATCAGTTCACAACTTCCCTCCCCCCCTATTTAAAAAAAAACCGCAGGTTTCCTCTGTTCCGGGTGATATTTCTGAAACTTTATTGTGCAATATAAAATCATTAATTATCAAATCAGCCTTGTGCGAGAACAGAATGTCAGATTTTCTCAAACTTGGTGAGAACACGACTGCAAATCAGTACTCAACAACAATTCTGAAGGCTCAGCGCGATGAAAAAAAAACTACACTGTAAAGACAAAAAGAGAACATTTTGAGAGGGGAGGACGCATCCCCCCTGGGTTAAACCAATCAAAGGCAATTTTGGACGGCCTCTTTTTGGACCTGGCCCATGGTCAAGAAACTGCAAGTTACAAAACTTCTCTTAAAGAGATAAAAAACTTTGTAAGATAGGAACAACTGAAATATGTAATTTTTAAAATTTTATTCAGCATAAAATTTGACTTGTACTTACCCAACATTGATGAAAAGGCCGCCCAACAACATGAAGGCGAAAGCGAACGGAGGTGCGATCGCCAGTGCCATGGAGACGGTACGGCTGACAGAAGATAAGAAATACGCTTACGGAAAAAAAGAGAAAAGAATTGTTAGCCAGCAGTTAAATACATAATTAAATCAATTAAGTGGTGAAAAGTAAAATAATATTAACATGTTTTGAGATTATACCAAAGGAAATAGCTGTGCCGGTGGACAGGCAAATTACCAAGCAGGCTGTGAAGAAATTTACGGCAGCCGGATACAGACCTGTGGAGTAAATAAGTTTCAAAAACTGGTGACAAGTGAGAGCAATATAAACTGTTTTCGCTGATTTGCTCGCTTTCTGTTGCAAATATGTCTCAGCAAACGTAATGTGCCCACTATGCAGTCGTATGCAGTCGGTGCATCTATATAATATTATGAACCTATGAGGAATCAACTGTTACGTTGAATAGAAATTCTCCTTTTTTTAATTCACAAAAAAGCTTAAATATGACTTTATCTGTTTCAATAGAGTTTGAAAGTTAAAGGTCACGCAGCGAGCTTCCGGAACCCTCGAGCGGTCCTCCTATATATGGGGATTTTACGCTGGACCGTCCTATCACGTTCGACAATCATGTTGGGGTTTTACCTTTGTCTTCCTCAAGTAATATTTAGGAAAAGTTAAATTGAGATATGTAAAAAACGAATTTTCGTAGCGACCTTTCACTTCTGGCGATATCGTACCTAGGTCTCCATGTTCATGCACGTTTGTTTTCACTGCCCGTGCTTACGTGAAAACGAGATTATGCAACGTTGCAAAGATTTACCTACTTGCAGTCGGTGGGTTCATATTCTGTTGTTGACATCATGCAGTTGTTGTCAGCAAAGGTTAGATAAAAGATTAGAATCTTTCGTATTTGAAGTAGAATATTGCTTTAGATTTACTACTTATAAATTATAAGCCTGTTTAAAATATTTAGATCTGTTTTTATTTCGGTTTTTACCGACGGACTACCATGAAATTTCAAACCGTAAATATTCAACTGTGTACGAAACTGGCGCATTGCACTGTTCTTTATGTATTTTAGATTTTCGGAAGTGATGGGTCAATTTTTGGCAGGATATTGTTTGGATTTTTTAAGAAGTAGCTGGACGAAAAAATATTACAAATTCTAAAATCTTTGCACTTTTTTTCCTATCCAAGGGTTCCAGAGGCGCGTCATCACGGGTCAACTTTCAGGCTCTATTCTGTTTTCATAGAGTTACTACTAAATAATGGCATGAACTCAACCTCCTGTAAATCTAGAATTTGACCTTTTATATTCCAGTTGAATGCAAATTGCAAAAGTTTATGCTCGTCAAAATTTAATCTCTAGTTATCTGAAAGGCAATTCTAATAAACTTTATCCGTCCTTACCAATCATCCAATAGGGGACCGTGACAAGAATCAATGGAAGCAGAATTATGTGGACCGGAATCTACAGAGAACAACAAACGAGCAAACAAAAACAGTCATTAAAAACAAAATCTCGTGGAGTTAACGCAAATTGAAATAAAACGACCAGAGTGACGAATGCTTGAATTGATCAGTCATCTTAAGTTTACAGTCAAATTTCATCGCAATAACTTTTGATCTCCACAATCAGATTTGAAAATTAGCAGGTTAAAAGGCAAATTTGGTTAGAACAAACGCTTTTCCTATTTTATTTTTCCATTTTTTTAATATCTGAATATGCCATTTCTGATGCTTCATCTTTGTACTGAGACATTTTTAGGGAAGAAACGAAAGGTCCATGTACCTCTGTGACGAACTTGGCAAGGAACCAGGCGTCCACCCTGTACATGCCACTGTAATGCTCTCTCTTCAGCAGGGCAATTTCGTTGGGTATCACCTGAAACGTAAAGATGACCACTAACATTCTGAGACTCGGTCCTGCGGATTTTTTCTGTTAGACTTTCCAAACATCGTCAAAAATAAATAGGACATCCAATGAGCCTAAAGCGCGACAAAGAGAGGACGCAGGTTTCCTAATTGTAACGAAGTCTCCTTTGGTATAGGAAGTGCGCTTCCACTGGTTCGCAAACGGTTATTGCGTTGCGCGGTTGCGGTCGTGTAACTACTAACAAAAATGAATACATGTACTCCCGACTAATATTATGGCTCATTTTCAGCCGATTAGGGTGTGCTTCTGCTCTAGGTAGATTGACGGGTAAACAAAAAAACAATGTCGGTAGGCATTATCACAAAGGTATTGACATTTGAGACAAATGTGTGTGGAACGTTTGAACCAAATTTGAATCGTGTGACATCTCGGTGTATAACTTTAAGCATTCTAAACCGTCTAAAACGTCTTCAGCTAAAGGTTAACAATGGATATGCCCTCCAACCTTTTTTGGACATACCTGGACTGTCGTGAAAGTGTTAGCAAATGCCGAGTTGGACACCAGCAGAAACAGGACACCGGTGATATTCTGAACACCGTCCTGGTCAATCTTCTCTTGGAGGAACACAAGGCCTAGTATGAGTCCAAGGGCCTCAAGGAGGGGAACAGAAAACAAGTGAAGGGGACAGACAACAAGTGAGGGCAGTTTGTATTGAAATGAATAAATCAATCAAATTGACAAATCACAGTGACTTGTGTCAAAATGTCAGGCCAGGGCAAAAATTAACTCTCGTCGCGCTCAGACCCGTATACGTACTGCCTTGCGATAAGGTAAAAGGGTGTCAATATGCCTTTTTTCGACACAGAGTGGTTAAACACCATAACGTTTGATACACATGTAGCTGTAGCAATTAATTGCGATGTATACTTACGATTGTCTGCACAAAACGGATCTTTGACATCAGAGGCTCCCGCTTGTTGCCCAGGTAAGCTCTCTTAACGCAAGCTGTAAATTGGCGCCACCAAGAAGCCTTGTATCTGCGACCAAAGCATCGAATTGAATACAAGCCCAAAGAGTACCTGTTAAGGTTTAAAAGTGACTATGATATCAAAACACGTGCTCTGACTTGCAAAGATTTTCTACTCAATTGACAAGTATTGTCTTATTTCAACCGATAATCAGATGAAAGCTCCCAATCAATTGAATGCTTCACACTATTGTACTTACGGAGAGTGGGTGGCAATAAGCGCAGATTTATCTTGCTTCTGTATAAAATAGTACACAAATACATCATTCATAATTGTACTTATGAAGGGTATTAATTTGTAAATTTGTTTTGGCAGACGTCTATTGAATTGTAATTTATCCTTCTGGAGGATTTGCTGCCAACACGAAATAAAATATTTTACCTCGTTTAAATGACTTAGTACGAGATAATTATCTACATGTACGTCATTTAAACGAGATACTAGGTCGTTTAAATGAGACGGCTGTATTGTTTAAACGGGCTTCTAAGTCGTTTAAACAAGATACTATAAGTCGTATAAATGCGGTAACTATGTCGTTTAAACGAGTTTTTTTAAAATCGCGTTGGTAGCAATATGCTTCCGAAGTATACCGTCTTGACATTATGCTACAAGTTTAAATGAGTTCCTAACCACTTTCCGGTGTACATCCGGAAATGATGTTAGACCCATTATGAAAGGATTCATACACATGTAACATAATGGCGTCACGCTCTTTTTACATGCACGTTTTCCTCTGGCAGTGAGGTGCAATACAATCCATCGAGTTTCCATATACAGGAAAGTGTAAGTGTAAAACGAGTGACGTCATGTTTTACATATATTGGTAATTGAACCGGGATTCTGAGGCCTCGTGAAGTAAAAAAAAAAACGCTTAACGACTCTTCTATAGAAAAGACACTAATGGTATGTATGTTAATATCGACAGCCGTCATACCGGGTTCTGAGTGCAGTACTGCAAGATTTTCTCTTTAAGGGCGTCATTATACGGCGACTTCAAGAAAGCTGCCGTTACTTCCTGTAGGAATAAATTGTAGTTTTCTAAAAAGTAACAATTTCATTGGTATTCTTAATGCAATAGGTAAAATTTGAAATTGCAAGAAAGCCACAGTTCTGTTAATTTTGCAAGACATCTGAACATTGATATGTTTTGTAAAACGTTGTACCTGGACTCTCCGCCGACACTCCTCCTCATCTGAAGGTTTAATCGCAAGGGTCTTGATGAAGAAGTCGGCAGGACTGTAATTTGGTGGACACGAATAGCCCAGGCTGAAAGTGCAAGGTACGATATTACAATCAAAGCGAGAGTGGGTTCCAAACACACTCACAGGCTGTAAACTAATAAATGAATCCAGGCATTTGTGGGTTCTTAAATACAACATTCTTCTCGGATCACAATATGGTAACTCAGGATTGATTTCAAGCTGCTCTTTTAGTGCTGTACATTACAAAATTAATATAATGGATACTGTAACAATTTAAGTTAAAAAATCACACATTACTAATCGTACCTACCATTCAAAAAAGGAAACGGCGTCCTTAGGGCTTCCTTGAAATGCAACGGCACCTTCAGCAAGTAGAATCAATCTAATATTCAAAACATGAACACAATGTTTAATGACTACCTAAGCAACACATGAATCGTACATAGTGTATGGCTTTAGAAATTGCTCTCTGCTGAAACGAAGAAAGTGTACTTCCACCATAAATAAGGCTAACCTGTCGAACAGGCGGTACGTCGCCGACGCGGGCTGGTGTATGGTGCACATCACCGTGCGACCCTCCCTGGCCAAACGCGTCAATGTTGACACTACGCTGTGAGCCATGTAGGAGTCTAGTCCGGTAGTGGGCTCGTCACAGAACAACAGGGACGGGTTGGTTAACACCTGAGAGGTACAAAAAACCTGATTACTTCGATCCAATAAAGATTCCTCCGCGAAAGTGTAAAGTAAGGGAACAAAATGCATTGATAATTCAGAATAGCAAGACTACAGTCTCTGTAGGAATATGCTAGAAGCTAAAGATTTAAATTGGGACGCTATAGAACAGTAAGTTCCAAGGAATGGAAAGTACTTAATTGAAGATGAGAATATCCTCATGGAGCACAAGAAAAAAAATAGTAACTTGACTGCATGTTCTTTTGTTGTAAACATTTACAATAAATTCTGTACAAAACGAAGCAATGAGTGGACGGCAGGCTCTACATTAGTTTATAATCATTTACACCGTAAGGTGAATCTTCTGACTTGAATTTTTCATAAGAATGAGGCTCAAAATCCTCACACTACGTACCTCAGAGGCAAAGGCAAGTCGTTTTCTTTCGCCTCCTGAAATTCCGCTTATACTGCGTTGTGCGTTGCCGATGACAGTGTCAGAACACCCGCCCAGACCGACCTAATGAAATGGATAAATCACAGCTTTTTGCCGGCAATGAAAAGTCAAAAACTCTTCCTGATCGCCCTAATTTTACGTTATAATTAATTGTAATCCCGGCAACTCATGTGAGGAATCAGTAAAGTGCATGAGCATTTTCTACAACTGAAAACATGACTCAGCATTCATAAAACGTCTGCGACCGTAACTGCAGATTTCTGTCGTCATTCCTTGTGTTGATAACTTGACCCCGTAAGTAGGCTCACCAAGCGAATAACTTCGGTCACACGTTGCCGGCGCTCTTCTGTTGAGAGCGACTTATCCATTCTAACCGAAGCCTGTAAAACACCAAAATAAAAACTACACTGTGTATACATACGTGTACTGAAACCTGTTAAAACCATTCAAGAAGTGCATGCACTTGCCGAATACAATGTACAAGTTAATTCTTCAAATGACTCGAAATGGATTCTACTAGCTACTTATATAGCACTGTTACAAAATCCTGTTAATTTATGGTATACCTGGCAACCATGAGTGCAAACATTTTTTTCAATATAAAATGTACGGGCAGGTGAGAGCAAGTCAACGGTTTCCTCGTAAATACGCGCGTTTTACAATAGTGGGCCCTCAGGAATTTGCAACGCGTTGGCCAATCACAATGCGCGAAATCTGTCTACCAAGGGCGTTTATGAAACGAGTGGCTCAGGCTTAGTTTTTGCTGGCTCCAGCCATTTGAGGAGACTCCATCCATGCCTACTGCCGCCAGTGTGCGTTTGGAAATAGCCGACAAATTTCCCGCGTTGTGATAGGCTAACGCGTTGCAAAATCTTGGAGGCGCACTAGGGTGAATCGGCCCTATTACTTTATTTGAACTTGCCCATTATACGGCCCTTTCACAAAAGTGCGCCACCAAGAGTTTGCAACGCGTTGGCCAATCACAATGCACGAAATTTGTCGACCCAATGCTCGTTTGGATAGGGTCGACAAATTTCGCGCGTTATGATTGGCCAACGCGTTGCAAACTCTTGGTGACGCATTATTGTGAATCGCCCGTATTAAAATTCATTCGTAATTACGAAGGCCGCCAAGCTATTTTTGTAAATTTAAATTTTAATGAGGCTCTTACCGTAAAACACACTGAAAAAAGTTTATTTGTTTAGAGGACTGACAACCACCCCACGGTGACCATTATATGTCCTACATTACCTGAAAAGTTAGGTGTTCCTTGACCGTCAGCCATTCCTGGAAGAGGTCATGCTGCTGGACGTAGGCCGAGATTCTAGCCAGAGAATTGTCTGCCTCGACGCCGTTGACTAGAATCTGGCCGGTCAGGGTCAAGAAGCCCGCATTACGACAGTTCAAGGCATTCAGGAGGGACGATTTGCCGCACCCACTGAATAGCGCGTGGAAAGGAATCTTTTTTACAAACTGTAAGAAAGTGTTCTGTCCCATTTGTCTGAACTCTAAAGGCTAAATTCACCTTTGACCTCTACATGTTGAGTTTTGGAATAAAAAAACCCAAATCACAAGAAAGACAGTTTTTCTTAATAGAATTAAATATTCTACGGGAACCCGAACAGTATGAATACGAACCATCTTCAAGAAGTTACAAATCTAACTTAAAGTTGAGAATTCTGTTTATTAGCTGAAATCTATAGAAATTATTTCAGTAGATGAGCAAAATCTTTACAATAAATGTGGTAAAAATCTTCACAATCTCCCTTAAGGCAGGCCTGCATTTCTTCCACGAACGTTCAAAGTTAGGTCAAATCAACAATCAGCTTTTTTTCCCTATCAAAAATAGATATTTCTCTGCTGATCCTGGACCTACCTGGCACCCATGATCGCCGTTAACGTTCCCGGCTCAGCAACACCAGATACTGCAGGAAAATTACCAAAATTAATTGCAAATACGAAAAAATGAAACAGAGAAAATTGACAATTCCCGTATCGAGAAGGGTCAACATGAGTAGTTATGCATAGTCTGATAGTTGATTGTCTGATTTTCGCAACACTTACGGTCCCTCAGGATGACCTTGGCCCGCTCCTCCGGCTTCGCGCTACCCATGAGCCACTTGCATTGCTTCGGTGCTGGTTCAGCAGTCACAGTGATGCTGGACCAGACTAGTGTAACCGGTGCTGTCACGCCGGGCAGGGGACCCCGGGTTTCTGATGCAACGCGGATCTCGCCCGGCAGATCTGTCTCTGTGATCGCTGAGTATCCCCTTGACGAAGAGGCAGCAGCACTCGAAGCCAAACCCAACCCGGTATTCTCGAAGTCTGCCCCTCTGCGTGAAAAAAGAAATCATTGAATTCTATCAAACTGTTGATTGTTTAGTGAAAGAAGCCACCGGTTCACGGTTGACCGATGAAGGTCCACCTGTCATGGTGATGGTCCAGCGCAAAATTTGGATGACACTCCTCCCTGAGTTGGACCAAGAGATCTCCTCCTTTGATTTGCCCTTCGCTGTTTGACAAAAGACAATGAAATGCACGCGTTGTTTCTAACAAAATGAACACTCTTCACCAACATTGCACTTTCAACCGATGAAGGGGTGCTTCTGTATACTGACCCAAGTGGGCATTAATTCAGCCATTGATACTCATAATGGCTACTGAACTGATCCAGTAGCCATTGGCATGGGTCCTTGTGTGACTTCGTTTGGGTGATATCGTCCTGGGGACTTAGTTGAGCTTGGTTTGCCAGCGTGTTTTTCGTGCTCAGACAAGCGGAAAAGCTCTAGCGTTTCGGCCAGTAAAACACTCCTACAAGAATGCAGTACCCCTCCCCGAAAACTGTTTTGGGAAAAGTTCAGCAAAATTCTCCCCCAAAATGACTACGATTGCTACCTCATGGTGCAGTGACTGTGGTGAAAATTCATTTCAAGGCAATGTAAAGATCGATAATAATGACACAACTGAATGCAAGGTGCTTTTATGAGATTAATTTGTATGTGGTTATTTGCATATAAGCAGCTTGATCCAAGGCCACACACTGAGCAGAGGATGCCCCCAATTCAAATACCATTTCGATTACTTTCGGTGACCAGTCAACTATTTTCTGTGGAGAGACGGTAGCGATAAATTTATAAGTGGAGTGATCATGGAGACCGGGACAGGACTTTCACTCTGCCCGCTCCGCAATCGCCCGGACCTGGTCGACTCCTGTGCCAAGCTCCTGAACAGCATCTGGCCATGCTGCCGGACGGATCGAATGCGGCGACTCGTGGCCGAAGAATCAGGCGACTTGCCTCGTATCTTGGTCCTCGTCGAACGTCTGGAGAGTGCTCCGGACTTAGTCATCGCGCACTCTCGGCTGATTCCCGTGACCTACCCCGACTCGCCTGCCAGCATCCTTCTGGAAGCGCTGTGCGCCCTCCAGTCGAAGCGAGGCTTGGGACTCAGTGAGCAATACACGGCCGAAACGTCGGGCTTCGAGCAAATCTTCCTGATGTGTTACGAATCGTCCCGGGGTTTCTTCGAGCGGTTGTCGTACCAGGAATACCCGGTTCTGACGCTGAAGACGGTCGGCGCGAACGTCATGGCGCACTGTGACTTTGCCGCGAGCTGGTTCGGAAACAGCCTGCCGCCCGGCTGGGAGTCTGTGTATGATGCTGGCCCCAGTACCAATTAAAAAAAACGAGTAAAAAGGGTCAGAATAAGGTCACAGTATATTTTTATGTAGTAAAGGGGGGGCACCAAGTCAACAATGTGACACCCCCCACAACATGAAACAACCCAGACAGCTGTCTAGACAGCTCAGAGACCATCAGGGAGACCAACAATTGGTATATGGCAGGCTCTGGTTGGCCAGGGTAGCCTTTGTGTAAATAACCCCATAGGGCCACGTGGCAGAGAGATTAGTACGTATTCCCATGGGACCTAGCAAGAGGCTGGCTCTGGTGAAACTGATAACAGCCGAGGGGAGGTCCCTACCTCCAAGGCGACTAAATTAGGTTATTCAGCAGCGGGAGAGGGATGTAAGGTCTTCGCATTTGGCCGTAAAAATAATAATAATTGAAAAAAAATTACAAATGGCCTTCATTTGTTGACTGCCCAAGGACCTTTCACATTTGGCGATATCGTACCCTTGGTCTCCTTGTTTTTGCCGCGCTTTCTTGAAAACGAGATTGTACAACCTTGCAAAGATTTACCTACAAGCAGTCGATGGGTTCCAGATTCCGTTGATTTGACATCACGCAGTTTTTGTCAGCAAAGATTGGATAGAATATTAGAATCTCTTGTAAAAGTATAATATTGCTTTAATTTTACCGCCTTATAAATTATCAAAATGTGTAAGAAAAATTGATCTGTTGTTATTTTGCTTTTTACCCTCAGAATACCATAAAATTTCAAACCGTAAATTATTCATCCGCGCACGAGACTGCCGTGGTGCACTGTTCTTCACGTATATTAGATTTTCGGAAGTGAAGGGTCAGTGTTTGGCAGGATATTTCTCTTATAGGTCAGGTAATTTTTCAGTTTCTATTAATTGATATACATGTACTAGCAAATATTTTTCAAAGCCCTTTTTCCAAGTTGGATTTTTTAAGGAAAAACTAACGAAAAATTATTACACATTCTAAAATCCTTGAACGTTATTTTTCCTTTCCCAGGGTTCCGGAAGCGCGCCGTCAGAGGTCAACTTTCATGCTCTTTAATTGTATTTCAATATATTGTGACATTATACATCTTTATCTACCTTATGTAACGAATGTATTAATGAAAACGATATTAATTTTTCAAATTCAATACATATAGATATGAAATATCACCATTTCACGTTTACATTCCTAGTCATATTACGTATTTGTGGAAAGAATCAATATATGGACGCCTCTAGTATTTCCTAGTAGTGACCAATTACCCGTCTGAAAGCAATAAAAGGTTAAATTGCGCAGTAAAAAAACCGAGGTCTTCACTTGGAACACAGTCAGGATTTTTCCAGACCATGCCTCATAGGGTTTATGCGCAGGATGTCAAGTGGCGTTGTGTCTGTGTACCGTAACTCTTACCTATTTTGTAACCCCTTCCCTGATATCACGAATGACTCCAGGTTTTTACTTCGTGAGAATAAAGGGTGAAAAATGGGCTTTCGAGAAATAGCACATTATTCTTACTCCATCCCAAAAACATGCTTAGAAATCCACAATTTAATACACTGTACAGAGCTTTCTGGCGAAAACTAATCAACCAATGGAAATATGTGACACTTTATGGAGATCCAAAATTGTAAAATAAACTAAAGATTCGATTTTCAAAACAAATCGATTGTGTTCTTCAGGTCGCGATTGCGCAGTTTCAACTTTTCGGTGACAATAATTATTGCCATTTTAACCACGGAAGGTCAATAATTGAAGTGCCGAAGCTGGACACAAATACGTTGTAACGCTGAGAAAACACTCTTCTGTGGAATTTCCAACGGCTAAACGTAGACCAGTTCCAAGAACCCGTCAACAGTCTATTACAGATACCAGATCGACGGGTGTAATCGAAACCTTCCATACATACCAACAATGAATTCCAGGTACCATAACGCTGTCTGTGAGCATCGGTCTCTGCCTTGGAATCCTATTTTAAAATCGCAGCATGATTGCTAGCCTAAGAAAATCCTTCGGTGCCATCCAGTAAATATTTTCAATAAATTAGATAAGTTTTCTTCGAAAACCATTTCACGAAATATATATTTGAGACCTTTTTACGAGATTTATTTTTCCCAACAATTCTCCAGTTTTTTCTTAGATACATTATTTCAATTTTTGGAAAACAAATCATTTTTACGAGATATATTTTGGATTCTGTTTGTTATTTAGACACATTTTTTCAACAACTTAGTTTTGAAAAGATTTTTTTCAAGTCGACGAACCTCACAAAAATATAAATCCAGCAAAAGTAGCCTCAAAAGTATGTCTCATGAAACGGGCTTGGAAAATAAGATTCGCTTTTTGATAATAATGTATTTGATTGCACTACAGGGCTTTTGTACTTGCCGTGTAAAAAGTTTAATACCCGTTTTGAGGAAAATACGCTAGCTGTTAAAATTGCAATCTTACCCATTGTTGGATGTGAAGCGCGGAACACTGTTGTCTTTCTTGACGAGCGGTCTCGTTTCATTAGAAGCCATTTCGTTAGAAGCTATTAATTTTGAAGTAATTTGTTGTACATCTCTTGGTAATACACGGGGTAAAGGCCTTGGTCCAGGCTCAAGTGGAATTCCCAACTTGCCACAAGTCTCTTCAAAATTAAAAATCGAAAATGAAACGTTGGCTTACAACCTTCATCCACAGCGCCTAATTTGTCCCGTTGGTTTAACGCTGGTGTTTCTTCTGTTCGTGTCCGTAATGCCATAATAAAAGGCTTGTATGCCATGAGTAAATGAACAGAATTGTGCGGGTCCATCATGTTCAGTTCAATGAAAACCACCCCTATCTGATAATGTCGATTAATCTTGATAATGGCATCAAGTTCCTGGTTGTGACTGGGACATGACATTTTAAAGACTGTGCACGCAATTGTTGAAGGAGATGTTTGGTCCAGCCCCATTGAAAGTTTGAGAGTCCGCTGCTACTCTCTAAGTGTCTCATGTAAAATGTTATCAAAAGAAGAAGAAAAGAATTGCCTTCTGTTCAAGATGCGATGTTCCCGCGTAGTTTTTACAGCATGGTGTTTTCTTTTGGTGGAGGGGGTGATTTTTCGACTCACCGATTAATTGTAAATTTCATAAAGTTTAAGGTGAAACTTTGATAATTATTAAATTGGAGTGAAATACGTGTATGAAATACTTATTTGATACTGTGACGCCGCGTCCTCCTCCTCGAGGCGCAGCGCGTAGGGCGGTACTCTGGAGAGTCCCTTAGCGGCCAGGGGACTCTCCACAGTATACCGTCCCCCAAGAAAGTTGGTCTTCGTCGAGATGATGGCTAATCTGATGGGTTGAAATTTAATGACGTAACCCGGACAGACCTGACTTGACATAAACTTCGCCTGGAAACCTGACTTATATACAACAATTAACAAGCGGCTGGTTTATTCATCAACGCACTCAACCAATACACCAGTAGAGGGTGTTATTGACGGGGAGACTGTGTGATTATACGTGACCGGACTTCGCCCAGAGCAGCGAACACCACAATTAGTTGTGGGCATCCAGTGCCGAATCAGGGACCTTGGCAAGTCTACGGGGCTTATTGTCAGGGCTGGGCTACACGCAGCTCACGTCACGAGATAGCAATCCACCCTTGCATCGACCGCAAGCTCCTACCAGGAACTACACCACACCACCAATTAGCCCCTCAACCTACCGAGCCCCTCAACAATACACGCACCACTCGGACTTCGGCACATCCACACTAGGCTAGGTGACTTCGACCCTTGCACAGGATTCTCTACCCTTACCTGTACCTCAGGATCAGCCCTTGATCAGGACGACTAGGCCTAACCTGCGCGCACCTTTTATAGCTTCTGCGCTGCTCTGACCACGCCCGCGCACGCGCTCACGTGACCTGGCAGCGACTTCTGCTGCCATATTGCACAACGCACAAGGCGGAGCCTATGCGCTGCGTTTGCTTAACACACAGCTATGTGCGCCTAACTCCGCCTCTGTTACTGGGCAGAGCGCCATCTATAACTTTGCACCGTGCCTAGTGACTTGCGCCCTCTGTCACGTCACAATACTTCAAGTTTCATCATCTTCCAACGAAATTTCTGGCTTGCCTGAAAAGCGACCCCCCCTCCTGAATTTACCCTAAAATGACTAGCCTCTTATGGGTCCCACTGTCACCATTTGATGATGGACGTTGTCACTGATAAATTCATAATTATGCACGCAAGCGAACAAATGGCCTTGATGACAAAAAGTATGAGCAGGCCATTGAGAAGGTACAGGGTTGCGACTTTGATGATCATTTTCTCTCAGGTTTTCTGGCTTTGTTCATTTTTTTCTTCAGAAAATCCCTTCAAATCATTTCAGATATAGTTTGTAATCTAAGCAGAATTTTAGTGCTCTGTAAAAAGACTATATAATCGTGATTCTTCCAGTGCGAATGAGATAGCCGTTTCAGCGTTGCTAGGCCTCGTATTTTGTTCCCAAACGTGATCCAGCAATTTCGAAAGAGGGCGCCCTCTGCGTTTATGAATTATTCATATTTTTTACCATTACCTTTGGTTACATAATAAGATATAAAAGTGAATATATTGGTTTAAGTTTGGTTTTCTTCAGGTTAATGCATTTTGTATGGGTGGTCCTAAACTTTTGCAAATGACTGTACAGTAATAGCAATTATGTAATCTTGAATTTCCCGTGAAGAAAACGGAGGCCATCATCTTCCCTGGAGTCAACAGACGGCGCGCTATTTCGGTCGGATTTTGCACTGTTTTCTATGGCCGCGTATGTGGTGTACCGGGTCCGACAGTTCCGACGTACCATCACTTACGGGCATAGTCCTCTCAGTAGATAGTTTCCTTGGAAAAACAAATTACTTGAACACGTACCCCTACCAAAATCAGTGTGGAGCAGCAAACCTTTATAAAAATATGTCTCCATAGTTCTGTTAGAGTTATATGAATGCTTAAGACAGCCTTTAATTTTGAATATTTCATCAGGAAATTTATCTTCATGCAATAAGGTCCGTTTTCCAGTACTCAACTTCATCTCCGTCTCAGGCTTTGTGTAGGAAACCAATGCCCGATTGTGGGCCTGATGAAGCGTTTAAATTAAATTGAAATAGTTTAATGTTCGGCTCTTTTGCATCTTACTTGGTGTTTTGTGGCACTATCCGACTTACTATTGCACTTACAACCTCAAAGTCAGGAATTAAAATAAAAACACTTGAAGCCTGGGACGGAGCCCAAGTCGAGTATTGGAAAACGGTCCAGGGTGAGAAAGTTCTGGTTTTCTGATTGACGTTCTTAGCACTGTTTTGACTGTTGCCAAGTGGGCCATTGTGACTCTAAGTTTTCACGGGTAGGACTACTTTTTACCCAATTTTTCACCGGCTTTACTGAAAAAAATCTGGAAATGACAGACTTATGCCAAGCATTTACATGATTCTAAACACAACTGGAAAGTTGTTTTCTAAAATTCTGGTGTTCCTGACCAATTCTGGTGGGGGTATTAATTAAAGTAAAATTTTTCCTTTCCTTATTGTTGAATCTGTGCCATCAAAAAGATGACGGTATGCAGCTGCGGCCTGAGGCATAATTAACACCATTGTCACGTCTGCGGGTAGGCCTACGTGTATGTCTGGCGTTCAGAAACCACATCTCTATCTATCGGCTTTACAGACAATAAGCCCAACGCTAGTATCAGGAAGAAGGCCTTTGCCCTATGCAAACAGACTTTTTTGCACAGATTTTGTACAGTCATCGTATGATTACAGTCCCGATTCCACAGTCCACGCACAGTGAGTGCAAACTTGTTGAACGGTTCTTTACCAGTCACTTTGGTAGTGGCACCTACACATGTGATCACAAACAAATGTCGGGAATTCAAACAAAAACATGAGAAGTAATATGTAAATTCATAATACTTAGCTGGGATAATGTATTGGTGTTGCGATGCAAAGGCTTTTTTGGTGCGTCATGTCCAGTACCGCGCCATGACCCATGACCCACATGCCTTGCAGTACAAAGTTGATGATGCTCCTCAAACTTATGAGTGAAAAGTAAAGTGGATATGATGGAAAAAATATTTGAACATGGCTTACGTTTCTTCTGCAGGGCCTCAGTGTGCCAAAAGAAGCCTTTTTGATCTCTGCATATACCCAAAAAGAAAATAAATTATGCAACCAAAGTATGTTCAACCTTCCTTTTTTTAATTTTTGTGATGTGATAGACACTTAGTAACGTTGTCTTTCTTGGCGAGCGGTCTCTTTTCGTTAGGATCCATCAACTTTGCTGTCTGTTGCCGCAAGCCCAGGCAGCCACTGGTTTATACTCCACACAGGGTAGGCGCAGGACATGTAGAAAGAATTGCGACGGATGCGATTCAAAATGAGACTCAAACAAGAGAAATTGCAACCTTGATCAGGACTATTGTCCCAATAAGCCTATTGATTAAATAGTGCGTTCTTGTTTTTGTGTCAAAATAGGACAGTTGGTATCTTATCTTGAGTGACTAAACAGAATATTCTGCTGGCACTATTGAAAGTTTCGTCTTCTGTGTCCACCTTTATCTGATAATGTTATTTCACTATTTGCATAAAGTTGCAAAATCATGGTTACGACCTGGAAATTAGAGTTAAAGATCACGTGTCGGCAGTTTCTTGGGTACATCTACTGTAATATTTGGCCCAACACCCAGAAATCGCTCCTCTCTAACGGTTTGTAGGACAGATTGACCAAATTTGCTGCAGTGTTCACTAGGAAAATCTTGTGTTTTATTTTGGTCATCATAAAAGCACCGTAGTTAATAAATCCGGACTCGCATAATGTGCTGCAGTAGTAATTTCCTTTCCTTGGATGACGTTTCACTGATTCACTGTAGGCCTATTTATATAAAACTTTACGGAATAATTTAAGTATCACAGGCTTCAAGAAAAAATAGATGAAGCTTGCAAGTTTTGTAATAATTTTTTTCAGACGCAGAGATATTTTTGCTTGCTTTAAAAGCGAGCATCGTTCTTCCACAAGTAAGGTTGCTGTGTCTTACGCAGTGTTCGTAGTTCTACCACGGACGTCATATAAAAAAATCTGGACTCGCAATGAAGCTGATTGGCTGCATTGCGAGTCCAGATTTTTTTATATGACGTCCGTGAGTTCTACATGTACATGTACATGTACATGTACATGTACATATGAACAGTACTTGCCTGCTTTGATTAGCGGAGTGGGCGGTGCTACACTTTTTTGACCCCGCCCCTTTAATGTGTTTTCGTCTTTAAACAAACTCATGGTGGCGCTCGATTATGCGCGATATACATGTATGTCATGTCTAACCTCTGGACTCGGGTACGGGTACGGGGCCGGGGGTCACGATTAAGTCAACTTCCTTCCTTATCGCTAAATAATCAAACATATAATATGTTGCTATCATCGTCGTTGTGGTCCATAATAATTAACGCTGGGGTCACGTCCTTAGGAACGTGTATATCTGGCGTTCAGATATCGTGTAGCAATCAGTTCAAGACAATAATAAAGTCCTTAGTCGTATGCTCTTGTGAAGAAAAAAAAAACACTTCACAGTCACCTGTCCAGGTCACTTGCCTTTTGTACTCGTCGTAAGATTGTAGAATGCAAACTGACGGCATTCACTCTACAGTAGGGACACCACCGGGAGATCGCAAACTTATAGGTTACGTGTGAAGGTCAGGATTTCAAACAGAAATATGACAAAAGTAACTTGTCTAATGATGAAAAAGTTCCATATCCTGACATCATGTGCACAAACTCAGCTGAGACTGGTTTGATAAATTCCACCAAGTGTTTTTCTATTTTATTAGTATTTTTTTCCAAAGTAAATTTCTCATTAGACTTTATAAGACATGCAATCACTTTCTGATGGCTAGTACACGTAAACCACTGTGAGGGAAAATTAGCGATGTCCGTAACATACAATGTACATGTAGGCCTAGGCATATGGAACCCTGATCATCACGATTATTTGCTGTGCTAACGTATCGTGTCATAGTGCACCTTCATAGGTGAGTTGTACTATGTCCTGTACTGCACCATGACCCATAACCTACTTACATGGGACATCACAGGCAATACTAATAGAAGTATAGCTAGTTCAAAGTTGCAGATGCTCAAGCATTGTCAAGCTTTGCTGCTCAGTAGGTATTTATGAAAAATGTAGTAGGCCTAGCCTAGCCATGGTAGGTAGGAAAAAAATAGTTTCTTTAAAATCAAAAGTAGCTGAGATTGTTGGACAGTGTTCTGCCACAGTTTCTCTGGCTTATATGGCTAATGTTTTGGCTGATGTTGAATTGTGAGTTATGGAAGGTTGTGCCAGTGTATTACATGTAGGCCTAAGTTTTGCATTTGTTTACCTGGTGAGTTGATTATGCCAAGTTCAACCATCAGTGATTGTACATTCCTGTCAGGATGCATACATATATTTTGTAAAATTATCCTTTTTCAGGTTGGTTTGCTTAGTCCACAACCACGGTATTCAAAATGACCCAACTGTCAACTGTAGGAAATGTTGGGGTGATAAGAATGAACTCACCCCCTGTCAATGCACTAGGGTAAGTTGAACAGAATTTTCTTTTGGTAGCAGGATAACATTGGGCTTTAGACTAGAGCCTGCAGAATAGAGTTGGAATGAATACAGAATTAGTGTCCTGTCTTGTTGGGCTTTATCTGCATGATCAACTGATCCTTGCACAATATTGTGGCATAATCTGTAGATTCTTCTGCCATAGGACAGTCACTTTTTCCCATCTGTTTCACGGTCTTGGAAGATTTTGAATAGGGCGAGAAAAGATTTCCCACCGGTACGTGATTCACAGATTGTGCTACTATCTAGTCTGAGTCGAGCTTGCAAATTACGACCAACTTCTTGATTTAATCATACTTCAAAGCCATCTTTCCAAGGCCCAGCCATGTTTGAGGATTTCCCACCCAAAAGTGGAGGGATCTGCACCTGAGGTGCTTTATTCTCTGTCCATGTTTTATCCGGCATTTAATTTTGTAAGTTTGGGAGACATTCATTAATTTCCAAGAGCAATTATGTAACTCAAATTGATTGCCAAACAAATAAAAATTGTTTGAGGTAAACTTTAGGGATATATTCTGTGTCAAATTTCATGGGTCAGGTGTAATAAGGACAGAAAATGTCACATGTCGGACCACAGATTGTGGAATGAGCCACCTCTGAGCACCCTGGGTATAGTGCTGCATCACCCTGCTTTGTTTTGAAATGGGCACAAGAGCTACATGTAGATAGCATGATTGGATGAAGGGAGTCTAAAGTTGAGATCTCATTCTCTTCAGATTGGGCCTTGCAGTGGAAATGGAGTCACCCAATTCTTGATTCCAAACACCCCCCTTCCCCCCCCAAAAAAATCTGCCTAAATTAAAAAAAAAAGTCCAAATAAAAGAATTTGCTTTCATCCCTCGCATACTTGATCTATGCAATGGTCAAACAGGAACATTTGCAAGATACATACAGTTTGGGATTTCATCGCTGCATGAAAGTGCCGTTAAGTGGTCAATTTACATCCTTTTGTCTGTAGAATTCGCCTCCGAAAGGACATCATGGATTGCTTGAAGGTAAGCATGGCAAATTGAAATTTTTTGTGTTGTAGACTAATCAGATTTGACGCCATAACTGCGGTGGCACCGCACTCACATGCACATTCTTTGGCCTGACGTACTCGTGCATGTGGCAAATCACAACCATCTGACCACGAGTGTGAATTGTGCCACCGCATTAATGGCTTCTAATTCTGGTAGTCAATTTACAGTATACAAAATGTAACGTGTTTGAGGGTGGCTTGTGGATTGTAGCTCCACTTGTGGAAGATAATTTTCTGGAAAATTTTAAATGACAGTTACCCAAAACTGCCTTTGGTCACAGATAATTGTGATTCATTGGCTTATGATAGCTGTGGGTGGCAATGTGTGCACCAATGATTCTACTCCATCATGCACTGCCATTAAAACTGACAGCACATCATCAGTAACCAGGGCTATTGCATGCTGTTGTTGATATGTTGCTTATCACAGGAATATTTCCCACTCTTTTGACCGGAACAGGACATTATTTACAGGAGATACTGTACTTATCAATGGTCAAATGCTGTGCCATAGTTTGATTATTAATTGCTTTATCTCATCCAGAGAGCTGAAAGTGATCCGTCCATCCAGGCCATAGTCCTATGCAGCGATTGCGAAATATTCTCAGGCGGGGCGGACATCACAGAGTTCGGCACCCCAAAAGCTGCAGTTGGTATGAGTAGCGTGTGCAAGAACAGGGGAGCTGGGCGGGGTTTATTGGAAGGAGGGTTGGAGGAATTGGAAGTATCAAAGCAGTCAAACCAAAATTCGCAGTTCCACATTACCTCAGTGCAGTGGCAACCTAACGTTTTTGAAAGAGGGTGTCGACGTTTGGGCTGGGGAAAAATGCCTGTTAACCCCTTATACTTTTGCTGGCAGACCCCAAATGTTCTACATAGAGGTATAGAGTTGGTAGCAAGTCATGTTTTTCATGTCCTAAGTCGAGGCGCAAGTCAACACAAGGCAGTCCACAGATCTAACACAAGGCAGTCCACAGATCTCTTTGTCTGGTTCCAAGTCAAGTCATACATTGTTTGACTGTAACAAACAAACATATGCAGGTGCCAACTTATGAGTTATTAGTTTCGGAGTATTGAACTGACACTTTGTTCTTCAATAACCACATTGATAGGCCTAACTTGAAAGGTTATTCCGAGTAGCTTCTAACATGTGTTGGTGTAGAAGTCATACATGTAATTTATGCTCGTCAAGTCTAGTCACAAATCAAAGCTTGTAGTTACGAGTCAAGTTGCAACATTAATGACTTGAACCTGACTCGAGTCCAAGTCGCATGACTTGATTCTGTAACTCTAAAATGTAGCAACATAGTTTAATATTACGTATATATACAATGTAGCTGCAAGAAGCTATGATCACATGCTGAAGGCTGGCATGTGCATAAAGTGAAACTCTTTGAGGCTGAGTAGGATACATGTACATGTAGGTGCCATCAAGCTCATCACACATGTTTACAGTTGGCATCACGCATAGCAGATGGCCCCTGCAAACTTGTCTTGTGGTGAGCACTTGATTTGCTGGTGTTAAAGACAGGAGAGTTTCTGTGTACTTTCTCAGAACCCCACCTGATCGAATTACTCCACACCATCGAAGCAGCTGAGAAGCCTGTAGTGGCTGCGATCCACGGTGTGGCGCTGGGGGGAGCCCTGGAGCTGTCCCTTGGATGCCACTATCGGATCATCAAGAAGAATGGGAGGTAATTTTAATGCCCTCGCCCCTCCCCTCTTCAAAGACCCAGTGTAAGAAAGTCCCTCACTGTTGGATGACCGGGCAGTAATCAGTAGGGTGCCCTCAGTAGTTTGCTCATTTTCACACCATATATTCTGTTCTGGAATCAGGTTTTCCAAACACATTTCCAACCAGAGTACCTCTAAATTTTGCCCGTACCATACGTTACTGACAATTGTGACTACAGCTGTATTTTCTTTAGTGTTTATAGCTCAAGATTGTATAGTGATTCTTGTGTTAGTATCTAAATAGAGGCATTTGGGGTACAAACTTTAGCCTTAATCAGGGATAACTGTTGCAACAGTACGTGTACATTTAAGCTTTCGTCCAGTGGGCACATGTATACATATTCCAATAAATTAGTTGTGTTTTACTTTCCATTTATTTCCCACTCACAATGGTTTTGTGTTCCACATATTCCCAAGATGTAACCATCGATTTCAGCTCCACCCCTTCATTAACTAAATCAGAATTTCTCTAATATTGCCATCCTGATACTCTGTTCAATTGCAAGTTATCAATCCCCTGGTTTTTCTGATTATCTGGGCATCATATACAGACAGTTGTCTTCATTAAACCATCCTGTTCTTCAGTTTATTCACTGCCATAGAGTTGTTACCCTTCCAAGCTACGCCTCCCTTTCCAACTGAACCCAGTCACTTCTTCACACCCAGCTTGAATTTTCCCTTGTGCATCATCCCCCAATTTTGTTTATATTCATTGGTGTTGTAGTCGAGTCACAAGTGTTGAGTCTGGACATGCCCGAGTCATAAGCCTTGAGTCTGAGTCTAGAGTCATAAGCTTTGATGAGTCTCAATCTTGAGTCACACTCCTCAAGTCTGTTTCTGAGCCTCAAGTCAAATGCCTCAAGTCCGAGTCAAAGTCCACGCCTCAAGTAACAAGCTTCGAGATTGTGTTTGTTAATTTATTACTTTCCAAAGAGCTTTGGTTCATATGAAATGCAGAGCAAGCATTGATAAAAAAGTTCCACCATTCTAATGATACGTTTCTCACACAAATATGTACATGTAATTTTTTTTTTAATGAGGAGATGTGATTTAAGTCACAAGTCACCAAGCTCAAATCACATACATGGTCGAGTTCAAGTCCAAGTAATTTCCATTGGAACTTGAGTGTAGTCCGAGGCACAGAAAATGTGGCTCGAGTCAAGACTCAAGTCCAGGTCCTGGACTCCAACTCAAAAACACTGCTTTTCAGAGACCCCAAACTTAAGCTAAGGTCATTCAAATGGCTTGAACAAGTCTAAGATACTGTACTTTGAAATCGTGTCCTCTTTTGGTTTTTAATTGTTTCTCCAATTTTCAACGTTCTTTGCCGTAGTTATTATTTAAACTTTGGGGTCTGTCAAATTTGCCTTTAAAGTCAAATGTCATGCCTGAAAAAGTCTGTGCACACAGCACAGTATCTGCCACTTGATTAAGCAGGAAACAGTTTTTGCTATGAATTCATAATGTAAAATTCAGATTCACTGCTCTGGTGTTTAACACTTGACACTTATAGAGTTGGTTTCCCTGAGGTGACCATCGGTATCTTACCGGGGGGTACAGGGACACAGCGATTGCCCCGGGTGGCTGGTGTAGTAGCCGCCCTGGAGATCATCACGTCGGGGAAGCCACTTTCTGCCCAAGTGGCCTGTGCTAAGGGAATCGTCGATAAGGTCAGTAAGGCTGAGAGGATAATTGTTGCAAACAGTTGTGAAATCATTTCTGAAAGACTTCTGCTAAAGGTGTTCTCAGGCCATTGGTTGGGAAAATTTGTCAAAATTGGAGTGTTTAATTTCATTTTAGAAAATTGAAGTCCACAAGAGGTTCTTGAATTTGCTTTTCTTGTCTTCCGTGCGAGCTGCAGAAGTATAGAATTCTTTCATGTATGTACCCTGTTCAAGGCCAGATCTTACTAAGCGTGAGAGCAAATGAGCACATTTTGTGACGTCCGAGAGCAAATACTCGAGCTGCTAGTTCCCAAATGTTGATCACATATGGGTATCCAACTCAAGTAGACTTTGTCATGAAAATGGTTGTAATTGCAGAATCGCTTGAATTTCGCATTCTCCGAGCACAAATGGAATAACCGCTGACACCTTGCAATGTAGGCATGCCATTCTTGATTCGTATAATGCAGGTTGTGGAAGGTGACATCGTCAAAGAAGGTATCGCTTTTGCCCAGTCCGTGGTCGGCAAACCCCTCGGCCCCAGGCGCATCAGTCAGATGAAGGTCAAGGCCCCTCCAAACGTTCACCAGGTCTTTGAGGGTGAGCATTTCAGTTGCTCACCATTGTCCAAACAATTCTATTATGTACTCCAAAACTCGTAGCCACCTTTCCCAAGAACCACCCTGAATTACCTTGAGCATGCGCAATTCCATCATGAACCCCAACGTCAAGAACATCTTTCCCAAGAACGTTCCCCAGTTTCCATTAGCTGAAGGTTTGTGGGTACACCATGGAAACTCTTCAGACAAGGTGTGATTCTGAGAACACCCAATGAGTATTAACTCAAAGTTTCTGCCATGATAGCTTTCTGAGCTGAAACGTTGAGTTAATACTCACCGGTTCTTCTCAGAACCACACCTCTCCTGAAGAGGTGTACCCACATAACCTACAGCTCATGTAACTTCCACCATGCAAAGCCTCAAATCTTACTTACCAGTTGCTATCGTTACATGTTGCCAAAGCAATTTCATTATGAACCCTAAGTCCTGTGAGGGCACTTCATTAATTAGAAATAATGGATAATTAGAAATAAAATTTAGAAACAATAAACAACAAAGAAAGCTCCTCCCTTTGGCAAAGATTGCTTAAGTCTTTTCTTTGTTACTCTGTTTTTGCCCCTCAGAGTGGAGGGCCAAGCTGAAGAAGTCGTCTCGTGGAGCTATTGCACCTCTGACATGCCTGGAGTCCATCGAAAATGCTGTCACCTCTCCGAGTTACAGCGAGGGTCTTCGCAAGTAAGTTCAGTGGCAGTGAATTATGTTATAACTACTAAAATGCAGGGACAGGGACAGATCTGAAGATGGAAGTATAATTGAACTTTTCTTGAATATATTTATATATATAGCACCAACACTTCTGCAGCCTTCTAGCTAGCGACAGTGACCTATAACACAAATCAAAACAGTTGGAGGGTCTGTCATACTCGTAGAATCTTTCACAAAGCAAAATGACAATTGTCACTTTGTCATTGTCAATATTGTTAGTTGCCATTTTACCAGTGAGAAAGATTCTGCTCAGGTCGAAACATCAGACTTGCCAACTTTTTTTAAATTATTCATGATTTGTCATCACAAACTTATACAGACCAACCACGTTGGCCTTGTTATAACTAAACAATATTATAAAATCAAAGTTAATGGGATTCAAGAGATTTGGAAGTTAACAATTAACTGTACCATACTTAGCCATAGCTCAACATAAATGAAACCTATTAGAAGTGCACAAAGCTGGGGCTGCTAGCTTCCCTAGACACTAGCTTCCCAATACAATCTAGCTGTTGTTGAGTAATTTCTATGTGCAGCTAGCCTCGAAATACGAATTGGAATTTAATCTTCCTGACAAGAGTAACAGCGTTACATGCTGTGAGCCCTCTATGCAGCATTCATCATTGGAGCATTCAAAAAGCTAATCAGCAAAGGGCAGGTTCGAGCATGACCATTTGTCGAGCAGTGAGGGCTCCCTCAGATTTAATAACAGAATTATAATAAATGTACAGTCTATAGTACCGGCTTTGAAAATCTTCATTTTTTAGTCCTAGAAAGGCCTAAAAAAGTCATGGAATTGTTTTGAGATTTTTGTGGGAACCCTGGTCTTTCTAATTGACCCTAACTCTCAATCCTCCAAAATCCTTCAGGTGGTTTTGGAGTATTTTGGAGGATTGAGGGTGAATGGCAAAAGTGCATGACTGATTGCAAAGGATTCCATGCGTGAAGGTCATGGGTTAGACCTTGTGTTGTTTTTGCCTAGTCAGGCTCAAGTATGCTTTTGAATCAACTGCACAGCTCAAGAATGCCATTAGCACTGTCTTAACATAATGACAGAAATTGTCGGAGGATTTTGAAGGATTGAAGCAGTAGGCACACCTCCAAGTAACATTTTCAGGAAATGTTGGAGGATTGAGGCTGAATGCAAGTTTTTCAAGTTGAAAATCGGAGGATTTTGGAAGATGGAGGATGGTTCCTACAGTATTAAAAAGGCCTAGGGGGTTCAAGTCAAAGTTAAGTTGGAGGGGCATCAGGTGGTAGTGGGGAGCACTCATTTGACTTGTCAGAAGACTGTGGTCGTTCGTCGTAGCTAATTGTGACTAGTCTTATGATGTGACTTGTATTCAGTTGTGGATGCTTTGCTAGTTATCTTGCATGTGCTATTTTTTCCCTGTGTGCCCATTAGGGAGAATGAGCTGATGATGATGTTGATAATGTCGGAGCAATCTGCAGCATTGCGGTATGCCTTCTTTGCCGAGCGTGTCATTTCCAGGGTAAGTGCATTTTAGGCAATAAGCTATTTTCTCTGAAACCAAGTCTCGGTTTTGTAACTGTGCTAGATTCCGTACAAATAGTTTGAAGTGGAGACGCCAACTTGGCATTTTGACTGAGTGAATTACACGTGGCATGTGTGCCCAAAAGCTGGACATACATGCATGTGCACATGACATGCCCAGCTTGAACATGCGTTGGAGAGAACTATGTGTTATTATTTTCCCACCTGCAGAGTGGGCGAGGCTTACTGGGTTAGTCTTTTAGAGGGATGTAATCTGCAAGACCAACAAACCCCGCCCACTTGTGTCTGTTGGCGTGAACCAAAGAACTATTCTTTGTTATGTCAATTCTGTGAAGTTCTAGAAAGAGGTAATGTTGACCAGGCACTTTCATTGGCCCATTGTGGTTTTGTACATATTCTGTTTTTTTTTTCTACAGTGGGAGGTGCCAAGTCGCAAAGTCAGCCACAAGACTGCTAAACCGCTGGCCGTCAAATCAGCTGCTGTAATTGGCGGAGGGACAATGGGAGCTGGTATTGCCATGGCCCTGATATCCATTGGTATCCCAACCTTCATGATAGAGCAAGATGATAAGGTAAACTCTGTGCAAAAATACTGTTTTGGAACATCAGCGTTACAGTCTAATAATAATTTCTCCTAGTTGTGATGTAAACAATCTTATTGCTAGCTAAAATGCAAAGAAGACTTGCTGTGCATTATCCATTAATTACTGAATAGAAAATCTTAACCAACCAGTACAAAAAGGGATATTTTTTTTAACTGTATTCTGGGATAGGTTGTGGTTCGTTTGCGTTACTGTCTCTCACGATAGACTTGTGCTAATTTCAATGTGAGTAGGTGTGACAAAAGTTTGACAAGACCTTCAGTGACGAGAAATTTGACTTCAACCCGAGTTCTTTGATCTGTTACGGTCACAGTTCCTGCAGCGTGGTGTCGAGACGGTTAAAGGTTATGTGGGCCAGAATGTGGTCAAGGGCAGGGTCACCACTGTCCAGGCTCAAAAGCTCCAGTCCCTACTCAAGCCCACATTGAACTACGCCGACCTGAAGAATGTGGACATCGTTATTGAGGCCGTCTTTGAGAACATGAAGGTCAAGAAGGAGGTGTTCGGCAAGCTGGACGCCGTCTGCAAGCCATTGGCCATCTTGGCCAGCAATACGTCTGGCCTGAATATTGATGAGGTACATTTAGTTCTGTAGTCCAACCTCTGATGTACTTCTAAGTCCTTTGAATGTACATTATCAGTCCTTACGAATCAGTCGTATATGTCTTCAAAAAAGTCTGTCACAATTTTTTTCTCAAGTTCATAAAAAGTCTCCATAAGTCAATCTCAAGTCCTCACAATCGAAGCCAGCAGTTTTGAAGCCCACTTTGAGACCTTGATATCAATAATAAGTCCTCACATCCATAAAGTCATCCAGTCTTAAGTCACATGCTTGTTAAATGAATTGTGACAGAGTTATATTCCTTCTCATCTCATTTTTCACCTCCTGAGCTTCTGTTATTGTATGTGTCATGAGATATAAGGTGAACTTGATCACAATTTTGGTGCTCATCATATTTCAGAAAGATAAATTTTCTGGCATGAAAATGTCATTTCCTGTCATCAGACCACTTCATTCTCATCCGCCCATTAAACCTGTACTATTGAAAGAGTTAAGAACTAAAAACCGAAACAGAAAAACAAAAATTGTCTTTGTACTTGAACAAGCATGAGATATCAATCCACACCTTATTGCCTGGCTCCTGGATCACTCTATCTTTCCAAATTGTGGTATCAAATCAAATCAAATCAAATCAAATCATGGAATCAAGTCAAATCAAATCTGGGAATCATCTCAGATCAAATCATGCATTCCAATCAGATCAGACTATGCATTCACATCAGATCAAATTATGCATTCAAATCAGATCAAATCATGCATTCAAGTAAGATCAAATCATGCGTTTCAAATCAATTCGTTATGAAAAAGAAATCTTTCATTCGCACTCTCAGATGGCATCTGCAACCAAGCGGCCTGAGAGCGTAATAGGCATGCACTTCTTTGCTCCTGCCCACATCATGAGACTTGTGGAGAACATCCACGGCAAGCAGACATCGGCGGTTGCCATGGCAACTGTCATGGAGCTGACCAAGAAGATGGGCAAGGTAAAAATCTTATTTCAGTGTTCTCCACGGGCTGTTTTAGCAGGGTGGATCGCCCTGCTAAGATTTTGGGCCGCCCCACTAAAATTTTGCCGCCCTGCTAAAATTTGTGCCGCCGTGCTCTTTTTTTGAGTAGTGCAGTTTTCCCTGAATTTCTACTTTCTCAAGATTTTAATAAAAAGAGGTTTACCGCAGTTTGTTGATCGAGTTTGAATTTACCGACGATACTTATGATGTACTGTGGTGATCGTTGGCTGCCTACCATTAGGCATAGTCAGCCTCGTGTCCCGAAAAACCACCGCGTATGTTTTGTACATGTACGCGTACATTGTATTGCGCAAGCATGTACATGTACACGCAGTGCATGTGACTGGTACCCGCAGCACAACATTGTTTTCCAGAGTGTGCGCGGGCACCAGTTGAAAGACCATGCCATGCCTGAGCAGCCCCCACGCTCTGCTCCGATGGAGGGGTTGCTTCATTTTTATGACGAGCTGGAAATTGTAAACTTATCTTTGCCTGAACATATTTCTTTTGTCCTTTCTTATTCAAGAGGGCATTTCGAGTCTTGTTTTTACTCTGCCTTTTCACAGTCAACTGATCATTGAGAAAACCGCATGCTAGGCTCATCTCAAGCATGTCTCGAGTCACTAACATGAGGTTCTGCTAAAAATGCTCCGGAAATTAAAATAATTTCGTCATCAAATCTTTCGATGAAGAAACTCCTCCTGAAGAATATCCTAGCCAATATTTCACGTTGTAAACGCAATCAGATTTTGGGGCCAAATTACAGACGAAAGTGGACTGGAAATTGCCCCAGAATGCACCACAGAGCATCTAGAATCCAAAATTTTCCGGACCCTACGCAGTAAGGGCTTCGTGCTCGCAATTTTGTCCACCACCCTGCCAAAATTTTCGGCCGTGGAGAACACTGTTATTTGTGTGTACCCTTGACATCTCACAAAGTAAGAATTCTGAGAAGGTTTTGCTTTATTATTGCATGCAAAAGTAGAAATCCAAAATAACAAATTTCATCACTCCTTGAAGACTTGGTGGTTCGGGTGGTTAATCAATGTCAGTCATTAATGTGCTGTGCTCTCAAAAAAAAAAGAAATAAAAAAAGTGCTCTAGTCTTTTTGATTGCAGAACTGAATGTTCACGCACCAAGTTCAGTTCCAATTTCATTTATGCAAGGTTGTGCAACTCTTTTTCTGAACGATGTTCTGGGTGCTTTTTTTTGTGTGTTCAATTTATCAAGCTTTTTGTTATCCACTCGTGTGGCAAACGAGAATTTGTTCATATGGATACCTTATGTAAATGAAAATACTCATTTTATCTCACAATTGTCAAAACTAGACTCAGAGGATTATCCCAATGGCTATGACTATTACTAATCTTTTGTCCCGCAGGTTGGAGTGCTCGTAGGTAACTGTCCTGGTTTTGTTGGCAACCGAATGCTTCGTTCATATGGTACAGAAGTAAGTACAAATATTTTCCTCATAGTAAAAAAAAGAATTAAAATTAGAATTATTTTATTTATTTCTTATATTTATCCAGGGTGTAACTTATTCAAAGTGACATAAACTAAAGCTTTATTAATTGTTCATGCAAAACATAAAAAGAATCAGAATAAGATTGAAAATTTAGTATACCAATACCATTGGAAAAAAGACAAAAAGGAATTGAAGGAAAATCAAATCAAAGTCAAAGGAAATTAAAGTAAAGTTCACTTTAAAAAGTAATACAGAAAACATGTGAAATAAAAAGTATATGAAATCGAGTTCAAATACGGAAAGAAAACACTTAAAATGAAATTCTTGAAGAGCTGCTTTTAGGATTTGTTTAGGGAATGGAAGTGAAAAAATTAAAAGAAATTGAAGTAAGGTTCACTTTAAAAAATGACACACACAAAAACATGTAAAATAAATAGTATATGAAAACGAGCTCAAATATGGAAAGAAAAAAAAACACTTAAGATTAAATTAAAAATCAAAATTCTTGAAGAGCTGCTTTTAAGATCAATTTAAAACTGTAAAGTGATGGTGGAGATTTAAAAGATTGGTGGAGACAATATTTCTACTATAGAAGGGGCTGTGCTTTAGGCAATAGGTTTTGGATTTTTGAGCCACCAGTGAATGCATAGCATGTGGTGTGTTGTGAATCTGGTTTATGTAGAAAATTGTCGGCCAATTACTCGGGAGGCAAATTGTTCATGCATTTATGTATTAATATGGCCCGGTGGTAAACAAACCGTTGCTTTTAATAAAGACGTCCATTTCAAATCATGAAATACTTTTGTGGACGGGGTGTACTATTTCTTATTATTATTAAGGATAATTTTAGCAGCCCGTTTCTGAAGTTTCTCAAGTTTACATGTTTGCATGTGGAATCTGTTAGACCAAATCTCTGCACAGGAGTCAAAATGGGGTTGAATAAATGAACTGTAGATTTGCCTCAGACAGTCAGAAGGAACATACGGTTTCACCCTTCGGGGCATGCCTATCTTTGATTGACGTGTACATTCCACTTCAAATTCTCATCTACATGTATCAGCCATCCAAGGCACTTAGCAACCCTGACTTGCTTTGATATATTACCACTAGTGGTCACATTAAAATTGTCGATACAACTTACTTTAGCTTTAGAACCAACTACTATTACTGTGGTCTTATCAAGGTTAAGTGCAAGACAATTTACTTTCATCCATTTCATAACTTGAGCCACACCAGTGGACAGTTTTCAATTTCATCAATGTCCGTGCCGCTCACAGTTAATGTGGTATCATGTCAGTTACACCATCTCTTACAGAAGTAGGCAAGTTGTTTTCTAAACAGAAAAAAGAAGTGGTTTCAAAATAGAACCCTGTGGAACTCCAGTGCAAACATTTAATGCAGACGAATTTTGCACCTTTGAAGGAAACTCGTTGTGTGCGATAGGTACGACATGAACTATTTGATGGATTGATTAGAGCACCCCAAAGAGCTTAGTTTGGTTAACAACAATTTGTAGTTGACCGTATCGGAAGCTTTTCACAAGTCACTAAATCCAGCCCTGGTTAATTTGTTCTCATCTATGTTCTTAGACCAAAAGTAAACCAATTTAGCTAGAGCAGTCATAGTGGAATGTAAACGGCTAAGACCAGAAATGACTGGGATGCAAGAAGTTGTAATCAGAAATGAACTGGGAAAGTTGGGTATACACAGCCCTTTCAAGGATTTTACTAAGAGTAGCTAACAAAGAAATTGGTCTAGAATTACTGAGACATAATGTATTGCCTGATTTATACAATGGCAAGACCTTGGTACTTTTCCACAAAATGGGAACATACCCACTGACAATAGATTGATTCAAAATCTTAGTCAAGGAATGGACAACTACGTGACAAGCTGATTTGAGAAGGTGGCAGCTTTAAACCATCATCTCCTGTGGCCTTTCTAGAGTTCATAATGCTTTTTTCCTCAAATTTAAACTCAGCAGTGACTGCCTGATGATGCAACACTGCATCAGAATTATTGGTGATATTAGAATCCTGATCAGTGCCCACCAGAATCAAAACGATGGAGCATCATTAATGATTAATGAAGAAAAAAAGTACTTGTTAAAAGCCTCAGCTGTGACAGGTGATGATGTACAGTCCTTATCATTGACTGTCATTAGTTAAGGCAGGGTTTCTTGGAACCAGGATCAATTTGCTTGAGAGAGTTCCAAACTATTTTCCTTTTGATAGATCAATCACGAATTAGCCCACGGTAGTACTCAGATGTTTGTTTACCTTACAATGAAGCCTTTTGTGTTCGTTACACATGGAAACCTCATTACGTATAACTTCAGCCTTGTGAATACAGTCTTGTTCCATCGTCACTTGTACAGTTTCCTTTGTAATCCAGGGGCAACTATTTTTAAGAACTTTCCTTTTATGTAGTGGGACATGATTGTTGATTATAGCCATAAGAACAGTATTCCAGCTATCAAGTGCCACATCCGAATCATCAGTATCAATAACTGCATCCCAAGGCACCTCACTTACATGTAAATCTTCTCTGAATCTATGCTCATCCAGATGCTTAAAAGAACAGTGCTCGATGCAATTATTACACGGATCATTAATCTTATTAAAATCTCTCACTGCGTAAGTTAAAAAAATGATCACTGATGCTTGTAGGGAATTCGCCATAATCACGATAAAGCTCAGAGTTGTTAACAAAAATCAAATCAGTGATGGTTCCACTGTGATTGGTGAACCTTATACATGTTGAAGCCTTAGTCAGCTGTGTGAAGCAACAGGAGACATATGGAAAAGTAAATTACAGCATTGAAAATCTCTCACTGGAAGTGTCAAAGTTAAAACTACCCAGTATAAAACACACCATTTCGGTTTCCAAAACACAGTGAACATTTTTCTCAAACTCAGAGATAAAAACCATACATGTAGGTTGTGCTAGTGGCCCGTAGAATGAACCCATGCACTAGGCAGGGAGATTTATGCAGATATCAAATTTCAAGCCAAATATTTTCTTATATCTCTGATTCTAAATCCTACCCATGCTTGTTGTGTAACATATCGCTTTACATTGCTCTGCAAAGAGCTCGATATCGCTTATTTAATAGAGCTATCAGACACAAATGCAGGCTTCAAAGCTGAACCTCAGTCCAATCAATTTCTTTGTTTATCCTAGTCAAATACGTATATAGTTTGCCTTTGCCAACTGAATTCACCGAGGACCTGTGTGCTCGCACTGCTCATTTCTTCAGACTTCTGGCTTGGTTGGGTCTTGGACACATCACCTAATTAGTTTCCTTGTGTGGCCCCAAATCGGATAACCTGCACTACTTAACAAAAACCAACCCAAAATTTAATCAAGAAAGTGAAATGGTAAGTCACACTGGTGGAGTGATGTCTAGAGGGATGCTAGTGACTCTCACATTGCACTTCCGGAGACCAAGGTTCAACTTCCAGTTGATGAATGGCATGGAATGGTCTGGTGGTTTGCTTCTTGATCAAGTGGTTGCTCAGCAATTGTGGCTTCCGCGCAGTTTAATACAAAACCTCAATCAATCATTTCTGCAGGGGATGTTTCTGCTGGAGGAAGGCTGCCTGCCCTACGAGGTGGACCAGGCCCTCCAAGACTTTGGACTGTCCATGGGCATATTTCAAATGTCCGACCTCTCCGGTATGATATATATTTTAGATATTCACTGCTGCATTTACTTCCCCGCAAGAAGAACAGTTTCCTTCACAAAAGATATGCTTTCTGCACAAATCTGGAGGGATTTGGGGCATATATCGGCCCACTTTTGAGGTGGGGGGATTGGCTATTGAATTATGGGCCTGCAACCTTTTTGTGGTGAGCAAAATTCAACAGATTGTGCAGAATTCTTCAGACTATTAATTATTAATATGTTAATTCCCCCAGTATCGTGTCATGTGGTGTCAACCTCCTACCCACAAATCCCCACCCCCATTCCACCGATTACTGTCACAAATTTACTCCACTGGCACTTTTAATATCTTTTGTATCATATTTGAATCTGTAACCCCTAGCTACAGCTGCAGGATGTTAGGTCACCTAGTTTCCAACTCAATGCGCCTTGTGCTTTTTTTTTTTATTTTACCTTCTGCATGTGTTAAGTCCTTAGGGAAAAGTCTTGATAAACTTGTGTGCATAAGTACATGTACCGTACATATGAAATTTTGCTTCAGGATTGGATATTGGGTACACGGCACGTAAAGAGCGTGGAATAGTTGACACAGATAGTACCAAGCCAGCCCGATTCCGAGAGGGGGAGCGATATTGTCCCCTGGCAGACATTCTAGTCGAGAAAGGTCACTTGGGCCAAAAATCAGGTAGTGTACTGTAAATTGTTTTCAGTTTCGTAGTTAAAACCCTAACATGACTCTGGCTGTTTTGGAGAGTTTACATCTTGGGGGGGGGGTTGTTTCCTGTCTTCAGACTCTGATGCTGTAGCCAAGGCCTTCTCAAGACCAGGGACTCAAAAACCAGTGACGAGTGCCAGGGTCAACAGTGACTAATTAAAGGACTTACTTTGTTTACTGTCCATTTAGGTCTGAACCTACTAGCATCAGGAAGGCAATAAATCCTTTTTACTGATTTTTTTTTCCCTGATTGGATATGTGTATTGTGGTGATAATACTGTAAATTGTTTAATTTTAACATATTGTAATAGTTTCTAATGTGTTTGTATTTTATCTCTTTTACCCGTGTGTCTTTGGCTTGCTTGCAAGAGTTAGTTGGTCGGTTTATTTATTTCCATACATCACAATAAGATTGTAAAAGAAACACAGTTATTTAAAGAATGAAATAGGGGATGATGAGTGATGGATACCGGGCAGAAACCAAACGCTTGTTCATGGCCTGTTTCCTTGTTTGTCAAAATAATATCCATATTGGGCTATAATAACAATGTAGAGGACTGAGAGAGTAAAAAAAAAATAACTGAAGGTACCGATACAGCTGAACATCAGAATTAAGCAAAGATCCTCAAACTCAGTGCAATACATAAACATAAGATTGCTTAATTATTATAGGTGTAAATGTACAAATAGAAATATGATAGGTGTATACAGAATACAATACAGGGTGAATAAATTATGTTACACTGGAAAGGAGGATATTCTTCAAATACTTTAGAGCAAAGGGCCTTGATGTCTGTTTTAAGAAAAAGTCACTCTTGTTTTTTACTGCTTGATGCCAGGAAAGGGCTATTATAACTATGGTAAGCCGGGCGGTCGCACTCCGCAGCGAGACCCGGAAGTAGAGCAACTCATCATAGACTTCTCTAAGAAACACGGCATCAAACGCAGAAAGATCTCCGCAGAGGTAACGTATCACACTCATCGATGAAAGGCCGCTGAAATCTCCTTTTGAGAATCTGGGCACCCATGGTGAACTCTTTAAAAAATTCATGTGCCTCCCTTAAACCCGGCAATACCCAGTTATAGCTTTTAAGGTGGCAGTACCTAGAGACAATTTGAGGTATAAATTACACCTAGTGGTACTCATCAGCCACCCATGCTCAACCACGGGTAATCCAGGACAACCATTGGTACTTAAAATGCACTCATTGATTACTGATAGTAGACTGACCTGAACCCATGCAGCACCTAGTGATAGACATTACCTGGAAGTGGGTAATGGAGTCGCTTTCCGGCAGTCATGGAAAATCCTGGGGAAAAAATTGTCCTGGAACATTATGGAAAGTTCAGATTGTTCAAATTGGCTATTAATGCAGTCCTGTTATCAGAGGGCAAGTCATGGAAAAACCTATGGAAATCAAGATCTTGCAAGGGTTATTTTTGATTGGCAATTTTGATGCGATACAAGAATACAATACATTGACTGTCCTTTGCAGTATGGGATAGTGGCTACAGCAGTCTTATGGTTCATGAAACCAAACAACTGTCCCTGCAAACCTGCTTTAAATGTCATGAAAAATGGTCTTCATTTTATCATGGAAAGTCCCATTGAGAAAGTGATAAGATGTGTTTTTACAGATTTCAGTGGGCACTTTCCAGAGTTGCAGAAGTACATCTGCTCTCCTAAAGGGCACCCACTTGACGTCTTTGTGCTGTAAGCACCTAAACCTCATTGTACCCAGTCAATACCCAGTTATACCCACTTGACCCCATTTTTCCCTGCAGGAAATTATCGAGCGGTGCCTGTATCCCCTCATCAACGAGGGCTTCAAAATCCTGCAGGAAGGCATTGCATCGAAGATGGAAGAAATCGACATCATATGGTCAGTTGATTCTCCTTAGAACACCCTGCCCTTTATACCCAGTGATACCCATTATCTTTTTGGGTTCATGGACACCCAGTTTTACCCATTGGTTCATGTAAGGGTTGCAGAAAGTTCTATAATTCTACCAGGAGTCTGTTCATGTGTGGTTAACTGATCAGTCTGCCTCAGAATTGAGAGGTACTCTTATTTCATGTGTAATACTAGTTTGTGTCCTATGGACAGGAAAACAAGGTACTTGTAGAGGTTTCATGTGCAGCCATTCATGAGGTTCATGTTTGAGGTTCTTTATTATCCATGCATCAACAGGAGGTTCGTTACATCTTAGGATGTACAGTGCACCATTTAGTGTAGGAACTGTAACGGTATCTTTATATGATCCTGGTCTTGTATGTTACCATGAGGGTTGTACAGAATCATGCAATGTTCAACATGATATGTCAGTGTCTGTCTAATCTTTGCTGGTAGGTTGTATGGCTACGGTTGGCCAAGACACACTGGCGGTCCCATGTACTATGCCAAGCAAGTGGGTCTGGAGGTTGTGTATGAACGCCTCCAGCACTACCAAAAAGAATTCCGTAAGTACTCTCAACCACCCTGGGTATCCTTTGACTAGCAATGTTTGTCGCAGAAAGTGTGCAACAAAGCCTGTAATATGCCATGTCATGATGAATGACAGAATTGAAAGAGGGTGATATGTCCAGTCTTCAGGTATAAGTATCTTTTAATTGTTAGTGTTTAGTTGAAATTGGAAATCTTCTGTCAATCTGAACGGGTAATGAACACGTGATAGGTTCCAAATATTTGACTAAATCAACTTGACACGCTTAACGATACCTTGGCTGTATTTTGAAACGAACCTAGTCTGTTTGCTGTCATTCATTTAAAGACTGTTGTGAATTTACACAGTCTGAGATGAGTGATTTTGAATAACAGATGTATCAAAAAAAGCGTCAAGAAACAGCCTTGTTTTTTTTAGAAGATTTAACCACTGGATGCCGGATGACGTGTAAACATACATTATAGTCCTTAGTTGTTCCACGGAGAACGTGTACACTTGTTTAAGAATTCTTTTTTCATTTCCACGGACAACGTATTAACACATTGTGCTTTGGTTGGATCAACTTGCGATTGCAATGTTGAAAAATTTGCGGTCAGAAAAACCTGCCCCCAACAGCTTTTCGAGTAATAAAATCCGACGTTAACTGGAAATAAAATTCCCCCTTCAGATATCAGCCAGGAATTACTTTTGCCCCCCTTTCTTTGACAGCTTACAGCAAGCACTGGCGTCCCGCCGAGCTGCTTCGGAAGATGGCCACTGAGCCGGACCACAAGCTGTGAAACCCACAGACAAGACATGCCCCTGAGCAGTTGGAGACCAAAGGAATAAAGAAAAACCTTGGAATATTCCAAATCAGTCTTGTCAAAGTATTCTCCATTCGATTTGGAATCTTTAGCTCTGATATACAGTATATGTGCATGGCTCGAAAATGAGTTTTTACATTTCTGCCTGATTTTCCTTTGGCGGATTTCTCCCAATAGCAAACCACCTTTTAAAGAGAAAAAGTTAAGATATGAATTATAGTGGGTTATCTAGAAATGATCTCCATTGTGTGCTTTGTGCAAGGATAACCTTACATTTGAAATTATGTGCAGGGTGGTCATAATTAACTACAGAAATGGAGATAGCAGCCTCCTGTTATACCAAAATTAAGTGCTGCTTGAAAACCAAGTTATTGCATTGTGTTCTCAGCAGCAGGCCATTACAACTTTTTTGTAAAGTGGTCCTTGTCTCGGAATGCTTTGTTAGAGAAGCCACGAGACTTTAAAGGTGTGAATTCATAAAAAAAAAATCTTCGAGAACAGAGCTTGTTGCACTTTGCTTATGACTGCCTAATTATTAGAAATCATGTTGGTTATTGTGAAGTGGAGAAAACTTTTGAATTCATGGATTATCCGAACAATGTAGTAAGCATACAAGATATACAGGTCAGTTCACTATTTTGACTTCTGTAGTGGTTTTTGTTGGAGAAATGGCATTGATTTTCACATTAAGACGGGCAGGTATGTTTGGCTTGCCGCGATTACAGCGTTATATTTTTAAGTGCATAGCGAGGGCGCGGCGTTTCTGTATTTTGCTTTTTTTCATCTTGTCTTTTAAAACCGAGTAGGTGGGATTTGACGGACCGTCTCACAGGGAGGTCGTTATGGTCTGTGAAAGTTTAGGCCCGCCCGTAGTGATCACATGGCTTGCTAGAAAGGTAGCATTTTGGTCGACCATCTCGAAAAAATGTTCATTTTGCACGACCGTGTCGTATTCCATTTTATGTCAAAAGATTTTTATTTCAATTGACTTGAAAAGATCTGATGGAGCATGTCAGCGATAATGCATTTTGATATAGGAGAAAAAAAAGTTACTTTTTCAATCGCCAAGTGTAGCTATTGTCGTCATCGGACCAAGTTGCAAAGAATCGTCCAAAATAGGTTCAAGCCAGCTTCAGTTAAACGTTTGCAATGATCAGGGGCGATTTTTTTTTCATAAAACTCAAAGATGTTGCCTTTGCACGAGGCAAATTTTTCTATATCCAAACATTTGTAACAGAGACAAGGCCTAATTGCAACAAGACACGAGCTATAAAAAGACAAGAAGTCATTTTTAAGATCCACAAGATTCTTTTTTGTAGGAAATAGTGTTTATTTTCCATTAGTTACTCAATCTGAAGATATTCAGTGAACTGATGATTTGAATTCAAAATTGTTTTTTTTTATTACAAAATGCATGGCAGTCAATTAATAGTTTTAGTTCCTTTCATTTCCTTTGAAAACTGAATACTTCATAAATAGAAACGTTTCGAAGGCAAATTTGAAAACCATTGCTTGAATTTGAGCATTTTGTGTCGTTAAGGTTTGAGTCTTCTTTACTTGCGAGATAAATCTATCATAATGCTTCAGAAATTTAATAAATAAATATAAACATGCTGCGAGATGTTGGAGCTATTTTTTATCACTATTTGATGGATACATTTGACGCTTGTTCGTAAATTAATGAATAAATGTAGAAAGTTTTGAGTGAAATTATATTTTACTAATTTTCATTTTGGTCTACGTTGGTCTGGGAGTCGTTTCCAGTGTTTCGTTTCGTGGCTTTAACTTCCACTCTCGCATTCTCTCGCAGCTTCTCGTATGCCCTCACGAAGTTTCGCTTGCGGCTTGTGTCCTCAGCAGTCGCACCAGAGGATCTGTCAGTCGAAGAATCGTTTGCTGTGCGAAAAAAAAATAATCGATAGTAGAGCAACCGCAGCAAAATTAGATCGAAATAATAGACATACATGCTACTGGACATGAATACACCATGTGAAAATACTTTATAAAATGTAGGATGTTTTGAATCTTTAAAACAATGAATTTATTTTTAGACTCAATGGAACAATGGACTCAACGGTATTTACTGCAAAATGTTGTGGGGCAAATGATATGTGGCAATATACTTTTTAAATAAGAGTTGAAGGAGCAATACGCGCATGTACATTCGTGTCCATGAGCAGTGTAATTTTCTAAATCAGTTAATTGTAGTCCAATGTATTAGATCAATATTTGGCTAGTTGCAGCTGGAAACAGCCCAAAAAAGCTCTCCTTGGTTCGGGGCGCTGGTGTCAACCACTGATGAAGCCGACGATGAACTGTCAGCAAACAAAATTTACCTGTTCGATTGAGGGCGCCTTCAATGGACGACAGCTTATCCTCCAGCGACTGCAGTGTTTGGCCCAGACTGCGCACCACACCTGTATAGTCGGAAGATTGATTTGAGTGGTTCACACTTCGTTTGGAAAAGACAGCAAGATCAAAGCAAGGTTTAGACGATCTTGAGTTGTAGATACTTGAAGTGAATTCATTCGTATGCATATTTTCGAATACTTTTCAAACAGTTTCAGTTGGCTCTGGAATTCGGATTAACCCAATGAAAGGTTCCAAAATTTGGAGCCCGTTGTCCCAACTTGGTACTCCAGACGACAAACGGGACAAGGCTGTGTTCAGTTTTGCAGAGTACATACTAGCAAATGACAGTTTAATGTATTCACAGTATTTGTCGTGCAGAATTGAATTGTTTTACTATTTGAACTTGACTTGAACTTTACAAATTGGGAAGAGTTTGAACCTCTTAATTGTAAAAATACATACTACCAAAAGTACCTTCTTAAAAATAATTTTACATTGTTTTCGTTGATATCAGCCTTTATTTATATTACGATTCAGTCGACTGGCGTTTCAGATTTTTTTTTTGGAAAACCACCTTCATGGTTGTCGATGCACAGTCTCTCGTCCTCGCCAGATGGGCAGTCCGGTATACTGTCACATTTCTGGCTCCTGTACAAACACGACCCATCGTAGCAGGCGAACTCGTAGTTGGGGTCACACTGATCTGAAAAAGAAAACCAATCATACACAATACTGAGTACTTCAATAGCCAGGACACCCAAAAGTGGACTAGCAAACAAAATTATCATCGTGAGCTGCTACAGGTAGACCAGGTATCCAATCCTTACCAAGCTAAGCACTGTTGCAATTTCACAAACACACAACGCACGTTAACCAGTCCCATATGGGTCACCCACGTGGGCACATGTTCTTAATGCCATACCAGGTTCCAGCCTCGTGCATCATTACACACGTATGCGTGTCGGACACAAATCACGGCTATGGTTGCTTAGAGCACAATAGGCAAGGCTTAACGGATCGCCGAGTGACAGTTCAGTGGTTAAGTAAGGTAAACTTCAGTTTACCACCAATAACCCCTTTAGAGATTTATAAGCAGCATATCTTGTTGACATTACTGAAAACGGGCTTGCATGTGTAGAGTCAATGAGATTCACATCAGGGTAAAAACGGAGATACCGCTCAAAACGAAACAATAATCAGCATGCCCTTCGGACAACTGACCCACAAAATGGTACGTGATTTAAAACACATTTCAATGAAACCAGGTCTAAAATAATTATTAGAGTCAGAAACTAAAACGAACGTTTCCATTTTTCCCACGAGTGGCACTTCTTTTATGCTCTGAATTTACCATTAGTAGGAACGCGTAGGATGTTTGGGTGCGGCTTGAGACTACATGAAGAAGCTATGGGAAAGGCATTGAGCCGCTTGCCGGCGTCTTTCTCTTCTGTAGTTTCCTGTCTTATTTGCAGCCGTAGTCATTAATTAAGCAATCAGGACACGTCTTACTTTTACTGGAAATTGTTGTATTCTGTAAATTGTTGAAGGAGTCAAATTTCACTATGGAGACGCGATCATCGCTTTAGACTCACCGAGGTTCAAGAACTCGTTGCAGTTAGCTTGAATTTCGTCCTCCCCGGCCGCACAGTCGTTAACGCCGTCGCACATCTGTCTGCTAGTCACGCACCTGTCCCCGCACTGTATATAGACAGGAAGAAACCAGTAACTTTCTGCAAATGTCTGCCATTATCTTACAGTAAAAATGGTTTTATCAAAGGAATACGTGTAGATTTGCATTTCAGTTGCGTTGAAGTTGCAGAAAATGAATTGTAAGAACATTGAAAATAAGCAAGAGCATCGAAATCAAATGAATTTAATGTCATCAGAAAGCATCCAAGTTTTAAGCTTTGTGCACCTCTTGCGTCATCTTTCGTCGAAGGAATTGGAGACGGATTTGGTCATTACCTTGAACTGGTACGCCCCACATTTGACAGGGCAGTTCTCCTCGTCCTCTCCGGACGGGCAGTCCTTGTACAATCCGTCACACCGGTCGGTGGCCGGGATGCACACGCCCACCTGGCAGCGGAACTCGTCCACCATGCAGGGCGGGGGCACTCCGGGGCAGTTCTGCTCGTCCTCACCGTGCAGGCAGTCGAGGAAGCGGTGGTCGCAACGCCAAGAGACCGGAATACACGAGCCGTCGTCGCACTGCAAATATCAAAATAATGGGGATTTGGGGAGAATTCTTTTCCTACAGGAAACTTCCTGGATTCTCTGAAATTGATTGGAAAAGTGGCACATTTCATGAAAAAAGTCAACCGTCTGTCTAGGTAAAAGAAATTTGATAGCCGATCCTAACATTTCCGAATCCTCCAATTTCAGTATGACTGTACACGCACCCTAGGGGCCACGGGTTTGATAAAATTCTGTAAACGCATTTAAGTGCAAGTAATAAAATCTTAACGATATACCATTTTTTTCTGCATTTCAGACGGTAAATCAGTTAAATTCAGTAACAAAGTTTGCCTTACTCCGTTAATTTATTTCGGACTAGGATGGAGATGGTTGTTGCATGCTACTTACCCTAAACTGGTCCCGAAGACAGTGGTTAGTTGGAGGGCAATTCACTTCATCATCTCCTGCCAGGCAATCCTGTCTCCCGTCACACACGGCGCTGCTGGGGATGCAAGTACCGCTCCTGCACTGAAACTGGTTCTCTTGGCAGCCGCGGCTCGGGCAATCCAGCTCGTCCTCTTCCGAGCTGCCGCCGCAGTTGAACCGTCCGTTACACACCAGGCTGCTAGAGATGCAGGTGCCGTCGTTGCAGCGGAATTGCCTGGCGCCACACTCTGGGCGCGGGCAGCCCAGCTCGTCCTGCCCCCCAGGGCAGTCCGCCACGCCATCACAGGCCAGGACGGCGGCGATGCACCCGCCCAGGCCTCCGCAGCTGAAGTGGCCGAGGCAGGTGTCGCGGTCACAGCCATGCTCGTCCCTCCCATTGAGGCAGTCCTGGCGTCCGTCGCAGATCAGGCCCGGGCTAATGCAGTAGCCGTCACCGCAGGAGAAGAGCAGACGGCATGGGTCGACAGTGCACCCCAGCTCGTCCACGCCGCCGTAGCAGTCCAACCACCCGTTGCAGCGAGATTCCATTGGAATGCACTGATCCGTATTACACTGGTATCCGTTGCAGGGCTCTGGTTCCCCACCGCAGCTCCTCTCGTCATCCCCTAGGCGGCAGTCCCACGTGCCGTCGCACAGCTGAGAGAGCTTCAGACACGACCCGTCCTGACAAGCGAACCTACCCAGGCACTGGAACACGGTACAGCCCTCCTCGTCTTCACCCCGGGTACAGTCGTTGCGACCGTTGCAGACGAACCCGGATCGGACGCAGTTGCCCGAGGAACAGCGGAACTCGTTGTTATCGCAGCTGCCCTGGAGGGAGCATTCCAGCTCGTCTTCGCCTCGCGGACAGTCGATGACTTTGTCGCAGACCTTGTCCAGGGTGATGCAGGCACCGCTCAGGCATGTGTACTGCTTCGGGCACCGATCTGGTGGGACGCATTCTGCCTCTTCCTCTCCGGTTGGGCAGTGCTTCTTCCCATCGCACACCAGGGACGCCTTGATGCAGGTGCCGTCGTTGCATCGGAACTGGTTGGGCATACAGCTGGGCTCTTCTGGGCAGTCGACCTCGTCCTCTCCCTGGGTACAGTGGGTTTGTTGGTCGCACACCAGACGTGACGAAATACACCGGCCGTCGTTACACTCAAACTGGTTCAGGTCGCACACGGGGCCGGGGCAGAGGTGCTCGTCTTCCCCGTCGGTGCAGTCCACAACCCGGTCGCAGACTTTGGTCGCAGATATGCAGCTGTCATCGTCGCACGTGAACTGGTTGTCAAGACACCCTCGACTGGGACAGTTTGCCTCGTCTTCCGCTGTCGGACAGTCGTTGACACCGTTGCATACTTGGTCCAAAGCGAGGCATGTGCGGTCGTGGCACTCAAACTGGTTGGCGAGGCAGCCGACAGTAGCACATTCATGCTCGTCTTCACCGAGTGAGCAATCGACGAAGCGATCACAGACTTGACTGGACATGATGCATCTCCCGTTGTTGCAGCGGAACTCGTTAACCAAACACACCCGGCAGTTCTGCTCGTCTTCTCCACCGGAACAGTCATGCCGTCTGTCGCACTTCTGAGCCACTGGGATGCACCGGCCGTCGTTGCATTGGAATTGGTTTACCAGGCAGCCCGGCCCTGGGCAATTACTCTCGTCCTCCCCACCTGGGCAGTTGTGCTGGCGGTCGCAGACCATCGCCGAGGAGATGCACTGCCCATCCTGGCACTGGAATTGGTCCACCAGGCAGGTTGGAGGCGGACAGTTGCGTTCATCCTCGGCAGCCGCGCAGTCCACATGCCCGTCGCATACCTGACCGTCGTCGATACATGTACCGTCGCTGCACCTGATCTGGTCGGGTAAACACAGACAGCCCCGCTCGTCTTCGCCCTCTTGGCAATCCACACGGCCGTTGCAGACGCGGTCGGTTGCGATGCACGAGCCGTCTTGGCATCGAAACTGATGAGCCGTGCACGGACTGTTTGGACAGTTTGACTCGTCGTCCCCATCGCGGCAGTCCACCACGCCGTCGCAAACGCCCCTTTGTGGGATGCAGTAGCTGTTCAGGCACCGGTACTCTCCTTGGTCGCACGGCTGTCTCCTGTGGCAACCCACCTCCTCCTCGCCCTGCGGACAGTCGCTGACGTCGTCGCAGACAGAGCTCGGCGGTATGCATCTTCCGTTGCCACACCGGAAGCCCTGCTGGCAGCTCGGGCAATCCATCTCGTCACTCCCCGTGTGAACGCAGTCCACTTGGCCATCGCACCGCTGGCTCAGGTCAACGCACTGCCGGTTACCGCAGTGGAATCTGCCCTCGCAGGCGCCAGGACAGTTGGCCTCGTCGACGCCACCGGGGCAGTCTACCCGGCCGTCGCAGACCCGCCGGTTGGAGATGCAATGCGTCCCACAGTTGAACTGGCCCCGGCAAGGTGCGCAACCCCGCTCGTCTTCACCCCGAGTGCAGTCCAGGACGCCATCGCACAGGTACTCTCGGCTCAAACACTTGCCGCCCTCGCAGCGAAACTGTTGACTCGTGCACGGTCTGGGACACGAAGCCTCGTCATCCCCCTGGGCACAATGCTGCCGACCGTCGCACACCCTGTGGTGCGGTATGCATTGGCCGTCGGTGCACTCGTACTGGTTGGGGCACCTGTCTGGGCAGTTTACCTCGTCCTCACCTGACGCACAATCGCTTGCACCGTTACAGACAGCTATCTGAGGGATGCAGTTTCCTCTGTTGCATTGGAACTGTCCCGGGCAGTGGTCTGGACAGAGTGATTCGTCTTCACCAGAAGGGCAGTCATTAATTCGATCGCACTGCTTGTTCTGTTGAGTAGGAACAGGAAACATTTTTTACTACCAGTGAAACACGCATACACCACAATATTTAGGTCTGTAACGTTACCTTTGAACACCCGACTTCCTAACGCAAGTAAATCGAGAATCTGTTTTCGAATGAAATGTTTTGAAACTCATTTGTTTCTCAATCAATCCTTATCCCCAAAGGAATAACTGCACAGCTGCCAGTGAGTGAAATTCATGAAAGTAGGACCTAATGATTTAATATGAAATGGTGGGATTATGACGACACCTTACGCATGCACACAAGCTTCGAACAAACTCTCGTTATCACCAAAGCGGTAGGAGTTTGAACCGATATGGACCCCTCCCAACACAGATCGACAGGTGCATGTGATTGACCACTGCTCATTGCTGATGGGTCCGTGATGAGGGCTGGTATGTTTCGCTTCCACAAAGCGTCATAAGTCCATGTTCATGTCACCCACCTGGGGCAAACATTGACCGTTGTTGCAGCGGAACTCGCCGCTTCGACACGGGCCTCCGACGATGTTACAAGGCGGCGCCTCGTCTTCGCCCTCCGAACAGTCCACTTCTCCGTCGCACCTAAAAGACAATGGCAAGCAGGCGCCTGGAGGTATAAAAAACAGTATCGTAAGAAATTCGTGCAAGTCTTTATTGGCAAGGCGACATTGGGAATGATACTATTTTATTGTATTTGCTGAGTAATCAAAGTTGATAATGCGCACGTTGAAAATGTGTTGCTCTTTCCCCTCCGGATTTGTAACAGCGTACCTGAATTGCACTGGAACTTCGTAGCTGCACAAACCCTAGTCTGGCAATCGATCTGCTCGTCCTTCCCGTCTGGGCAGTCATTGCTGAGGTCGCAAATCCAGTAGTCTGGAATGCATTTGCCGCTGGAGCAGCGGTACTGGTCCAGCCTGCAAATGTGTCTGTCGCAGTTCCGTTCGTCCTGAGAATGTTTAGAAAAGTCCACGCTGTGAATTTTACTTGAGAATATTTTTGATGCAGCTTTCTCCTCTTTAAAATGTCGTTTTCAGTAACTCAGAGAAATTCACTTTCCCTGAGCTTTTTGTTCTAATTGTGAAGCCAAGTCAACTCAGAATTTTGGTCTTTGACTTCTACCATGAACTGAAACAGCAAACTATCAAAACAAACTTTACGATTGCAAATGTCCCAATTACTGGAAAATTTTAGCGCAGAATTTCTGCCTTAGATGGCATCACACTGTTGCTCCTGAATGTGAAATTCACGTCAACATTGACCAGTTGACTGCGTATCGTTGGGGAATTACTTATGAAATAAAATTTTCTGTAGAAGATTGTTAATAACCATAAAGGGAACCTTTGAGTTTAAAATCTTTACAGCAAGTATTTGCCTGAAATAACAGAACTGTCTTGAGGATATGTAGCCTCAAATCCACTGTTTTTTTACACATCTTGTTTCCTTTCCTGTACAAACTGTTTTTAGTACAGACAGAAAATTCCACGGGACCCTTAATCAAGTAACCATTCACATCAGAAAAAATTGCAAGAGTCATGATTCATTTTGATTATTCCCAAATAGTGGAAGTGTTAATCCCTGTTCAAACGAATCTACCATTCTAATAACGATCCGTTAAATAAACTTGTCTCAATGCACAATTTGTTGTCCATACACGGCCGACATGTGGACTAACCTCGCCCCCAGGGCAATCGTTGCTGTGGCCATCACACACGTAGGTGAAGGGGATGCACTGCCCGTCATCGCATTCGTACTGGGTGGCTGAGCACAGCGGGAGGTGACTGCGTTTCGTCCTCCTTCCAGCTTTGAAACAAATAATAACGAATGAAGGACTATATGAAGGACACAATACGTGACTGATTTAAAACTAAGGAACCAACCACTGGGTAAAATACTTGGTAGCAATTTGTTGTTCAGAGGTATAAAATCGCAAAATTGTCCTAGTGAAGTGCATTAAGGCTGATTGACGGGTAAAAGTTGAAGACTTGCCGTTGGATTTATCCATGATACAACTGCACCGGAATACTTCAAATGATTAGACGGCATCTCTTTTTTGACCCACAAGAATTATTCTTCTACCAACTGCTTTATCTTTCTAAAGTGTGCTCATTTCTTGCAGAATGTATTATTTTTTGAAAATATAACGTAAATAAAATCATTTTTTGGTTATGCTGATTCATACCGAAAAAAAGAACCGGAGCAAAGCTATGCTGAAACCATTTTGGGAAGAGTTCCATGTACGGACATCACATTTTATCAACAGAGGTACATGGCAGCCATCAGAAGGTGTCATGTCCTTAAGAGTCGAATTTAGCAAGGAAAAAATTGATGGACTTCCTTAAAAATACTCAAGAATCTTTAAGACCAATCTCATACAGTTTGTGCAGAGGGGGTCAAAGGATGTGTCCTTGAATGCAGCTCTTTCCAAGCTTTCGTTGGGGTCAAAATCGTTTACCTTCTGTATCTGATTGGATTCCATCCCAGCTTCTTTCAAATTTCGGCACGCGGTGCAAGAGCCCAGGTACCTGTAGGGTTAACAATGGAATGTCAATTTTTCAGAACAGAGACAAAAGTTGGCATAGATTTTAGTTTGCCTAAGAAATCTTTCAATTTCGAAGAAAGGAGTAACACTTTCCTACACAGCAGTAACAATGACAAATTCGCCTGACAATTTTCCACCTGCCTACGGTGTCTCATCCCAATATGTGTCGTTGTTTCTGCATTACTCTTGTCCTTGTCTCTTTTGCAAAATTTTACTCAACCAATGCCGAAAACATACATACGATCTTTTCAAGTTTGATAGGATGAGTTTTCAAGTGGAGTTCATGAATATATTTCCGTATTTAAAAAATAAAAACATGGATGCCTATGGAGTAAAATAAAACAAACGACGGAGTCGAAAACCAGAGCAAAGACTTGGAATAGCGATTGGAAAATGTAGAAAGGACAACTGCGGGAGGGAGAATCGATATCAAGGCTGCAACAAATATAGAGAGTGGACCACGATACATCATGTCCTAACTTGCAAAGAATGCAACATGTTGAGAGTAAAATAGTGGTAATACATGATAAAGAATACTGGACAATATCCGAATATACGACATTGAATTGATCTCGTTCACAAGTCCACGACGTTGGATTGAAAGCGAGGTCAACTGTTTTATTTTGGGAACCCGAGAATTAAAAATGGAAACGATGAAAAAATATCTTTACGGTGCTGAATAATTTTAAATATTGGACTTGTTATCTAAATGTTTTCAGCATCATTTTCAAAATATGAATTGAGGCATGGAACCCATGATAGTCTGACACCACCCATTTAACAGATTGCATTGCATTAGATGGATTCAGGGAACATGACACAAATGGCTTTCGTTGTAAACAACGCCTTTTGAGGAAAACGGTTGGTATGTAGAGATACTCGACCAATTAATCAATGACATGAACAACATACTCTGTAACAATGACGCTACGTCGCGGGGACTTTGAGGTTCAGATATTGCTGAAGGACACAACGTCCGTGACCATATTAGTCGCCATATCCCTTATTTCGCCGCTTGTAAAATCTAATTGGTTTTCACAGTGAGTGGCGAAACAAGGGACCTGGCGACAGTAAAGTCACCGCCGTTAATCATCAGATACAGGATGAAGAACAAGTGGTAGTTTTTAAAATAGTCACTTATACTGTTACCTGTGTTGTCACTAAACTTACACGATTAGACATGTTAGCAGAATGTCAAACATGGGTATAGAGTGACAGCTTTCATTCATTTCCAATCTTTCAAAGCATTTTCTCCATGCTTAATTGTAACAAGCCTGGGTGTCAATTCGTGAAAACCAAAAAATGCATCCATTTCGCTGTCGGATGTGCGCGCGCACTACTGGGTGCTGGTTTGTGAAACCGAAACTGTTGATCGCGCAGTTTTTACGAACCGATACCCACTTAAGTGTCCGTGATGATTTATTTGATAGGTTTTCTTTAACATATTGCAAATTGTTTCTTTGCCTTTAACTGATAGCCACAGACAAAACGAAGGTCTAAAGTTGATTACAAAGGTCTGGATGCCCACTTCTATTTACCTGCCAAGTCTCTTCTTGGGATGATGCTCTGAGCGCCGAAGCCAGCACCAAGACAGCAGCAAGCAAGCGGCGCAGGGGAGCTGCAGACACAATCGACGGGAATTGGCGTATCATGTTGTACCTGACCCTGACGAGTTGAGGCCCGTTGCAGATGGCGGCGATGCCCCGTCCAAAATGGGCGAGGCCCCGATCCCAGCCTGATTTATACCCTGTCTTGTCGAGCGCGTTTGGAATGTTGGAATGTGAAATTGCACATAAGTCATGAATAATAATTCGGTCTTTAGTCTGCGGCTTCCGGCAAGCAGCGTCAACAGAAGTTGATTTGAATAATAAATATTCATTTGACTGACGAAGCGTTCTTCAGAGGAATGCACTTGGGTGAGGTAGCACCACGCATTCCGATGACTCCTACATTTTTCCTGGCGCCATGGCTCGCTCCCCTGGTCTTGCTGTGGGCATGCTTGTAACGGTTTCATGTCTTCTCGTTCAAAGTATCCCCTTCGGGGCAAAGAATGTCGACGATGAAGCCTCAGCTACGAAAATATCGGTAAGCAAAGACTAATGTTACAAAATCACAGTCGTGGTGGGCCCAGTCCTCACTAAGTTAAATATGTACAAAAAGGTTATTATTATCATTATTACTATTTTTATTATTTAATTATATTTTTGGTAATGACACCAAAGATTCCTCAAAAGTGCCCTTGACACTGTAGCTCGCACGCCCGAAGAAACCTGTTGGGAGGGGACAATGAGAAGCAGTTACAGTTTGGAGATGGGAGGGAAAACCCCAGAAAAATATTCTGGGTATTAACCCACGGAATCGGGTAGGGACTGAAAACCTAGGTTTCTATGGGCGGATCCTAGCATATTTCTGGAGGAGGGGAGACTTGTTCGTGCGGTATAATTATTCAGTATACTTTTGAAGGAAAGTATTATGTATATCGATATTCCGATAGCTCATTTTGGATCTGAGGTCCGAGAAACAAATGTGGCTTGGAATGCTTTTCAGAGTGACGACTTTACCAAGACTCTGTACAATCAACTGATTGGAGTCTGAGTATACTTTTGTTTCAATAATTAAATTCGTAGGGTTTTCATTTATTAAGTGATTCTTTTAGGCCATTGATAAAAAATGGCATAAATTTCTGTCCGGTCTTTCTGACAAGACCCATCAAGACTGTTTTACTTTAAAAATGACAATATATATAAAAAAAAAAAACACGACAGGAGTCTGTCCGACACCACGTGCTCCAGGTGAAACAGCAGAGATTATCTAGATCACCGACAGACGTGCATTCAGCCTCGACCCCACCCGCTTCATCGCCCTCTCTCTTGCAGCCAACCACCCCTGAGGACGTTGCGTCTCACGTGAAAACCAACGAGGCAAACGGGAAACAAGCCTCTACTCATGGTATTAGATTCCGATTTCTTCAATGCCTACCACCGCTTTGGGGGAAGAGTCCCATGTACGGACGCCAGTAATTATTCCCCACGGTAACCTTTTAGCCATCAGAAAGCAAAAACATGTCCAGAAAAGTTCAATTTAGGAGGGAAAACACAAATCGTTTACTTAGAAAACACTTGGAACTTTTAGACCAGTTTCACAGCGTTTGTGCATGTTGTGTCGAGTGGCATCCGTTATATGGAATTCTTTCCCAGATTTGGACTCCTAGCGGGATAGTCGGGATACTACCCGTTGCAAGGATTTTAGTTTTATACCCCCACCAGAATTAGTCTGCAACACCAAACCTTTGAAAAGAACTATCCAGTTGCATTCAGAACTGTATAAATGCTCAGCACAATCTATTGTTCCCAGATTTATTTCAATAAAACCGGTGAATATCTGGGCAGAAGGTAGGCTCACTCGGCCCCTGAAGACTTTGAGTCGCCGTACAGTGCCAAGAACATCTAACACTGAAAACAGGAATTTTCTTCCCCTGTACTGCATGAAGAAAGCCTGATGAAAGTCTTAAAATTGAAGGTCGTACAGAACACAACTGGATAGCTATTTGGGAAGATTTTTCAGTTCCAGTGTGGTTTTGGGAGAGGTATTGAAGTAAAATCTTTGCTATCCGTTCGTGGTGGCATGCACACCCAACGAATACTTGACATGTTTCACACTGTTGACGGCGCTCTGTACGCAAGTAGAGTCAATGCTGAGAAAGGACACTACAACTGCGGATTGGTTAGAAGATAATCAGAAAAACCCTGCAGCGGATGCTGGCTGCTTTGTCTCATAAAGGATATGACTTAATTTAAGAACTGTATTTCGGATGTCGAGAATCTTGAGACAATCAAAGCGCACAACGCGTGGCAAAGAGTGGCACTCAAAATAACCAAACCAACACTTTTGTACTGCAATTGCAAAGTGATTAAATTTATGTCAAAGGAAACAAATCTGGTGTATAGTCTCTATTCTAGTACAGTCTTTTGTCCCAGTATCAACGCTTTTTTTGACGTGGGGTTTGCGCCGATTTACTATTGCTGATGTCTAATCCTTTGAACTGAACTGCCGGTTAAAAAAAATAAAAACACTATCTTATGAGAATCAAATTCAAAATTTTGTTGGATTTTTTCGGTTGTTATAGAGCTAACTTAATTTCAATATTGTTGCCATTACTAACCGCTTTTCATTTCTGATCATCATTTCCAAATATGTTGTGTCCCTCACTTTTTGTTATCTAATAAAGGTTAATCTTCGTAGTCTTCATCTTGAGACTGTTTCTCCCTACATAATTTAGTATGCACACTTGACGGCACGACGGGTTTCCAGTGCCACAACAGCAGCGTCTGTCTGCTTCTGGAACGAGTCTGCGACGGCACTCCAGACTGCGCAGGTGCGGAGGACGAGGCCCCCGAACGCTGCCTATGTGACGGCATGTTCTGCAACATCACCAACCAGTGTGTACCAAGCCTGTACATATGCAACGGGGATCCTCGCGACTGTGACGGTCAGGTTAGATTAAGTTTAAGGTCAATTAAAATATTTCTCCTGACTCCTTTGCCGATACGTTTGTGTCTTGAGTAAATGACCCTTATCCCCATCAAACGGGTTGCACCTCGATTTCATCGTTACACATCGTTGTTAGAAACAAATTGTGAAAATTCATTGGAAATGTCACAAAAAAGGAACGACAACTAAAACAAAAAGGTACGAAAGGGGAAAAGGCAGTTGTAAACTAGAAACTACCTCAATTTTCTTGTTCAAAAAGTTTCCATGCACCGGGTAGGCAAAATATCGAAAATGTGCTCGTGTGCTCGTATGCAGGCTTAATAGCAGGGGCGTAGCCAGGGAAGGGGCTGGTGGGGCACGTGCCCGTCCAAAGATTCATGGTACCCCGCATGTGCCCCATACTAAAAAGAAACGGGTGAAGGGATATTGAACAAGGCTAACGAAAGCTTGCCCACCAAAAACCACACCACTGAAAGCTGATGCCCACCATTAAGATGTTGGTGCCCCCCAGTAAAATCCTAGCTACGACACTGCTTCACAGACGAGACCTCTCTGGAGCACCGGTAAATTATCAAACCAGCCCATGTAGCATTTATCTAGATGAATGGACTGGAAGGGTTGAAAGCCCCAGATGAAGATGCTATCAACATTATGACATAGGTGAAAAGCTTTGATCCTCTATCGAGAAATAATTAAGAAATAATAATATTGATTGGCCTCTGTCTCCGTGATTGCTATTTAGGTTTCCATTGGCTTTAATCGTAAGTTTCTTCGTTAAACCTACAGTCCTTTCCATGATTCATGTTTGTCCCTTCAAGACATTTATGTTTACAAGTCTATTTAAATTAAACAGTGACCTGTTGGTGACAGAATTAAAAGTTTCTGGACCCATTTTCAGGAAGAAACTACATCTACCCATTTAGAATTCGCGATAAATTTTGTCTGTGAACGTTACTATCGAGTTCGTTGTTGGTTCACAAATAATCACTAGCTCTTGTCGACGCACAAGCCCAGTGCCACAAGGATAAAATGCCATTGTAAGACTTGGAATTCTAAATTAAAACATCTTAAAACCCCAAGTTCACCCACTACACTTTGCTATGTTCAAAACTGATACTCCTTGTTAACACTTGGAAACAATTGCCAACGTATTCTCCGCTGGATTTGCGAATTACAGGTTTTACCATTATTCCTCACATAAACACACCTTTTGATATTTGTTTGTGAACTGAAGGATGAGCAGGGATGTCCGGAGGTCCGCCAGGGTTACTGCCTCACCGACGAGTTCCGCTGTCCGACTGGCCAGTGCATCCCAGACTACTGGCACTGCGACGGGCACAGCGACTGCCCGGGCGGCAGCGACGAGTCGCGGTGCGCCTCGAAGACGTGCACAGTGGGCTACTTCAGATGCGACTCTGGGGCGTGTGTCAAGCAGTCTTGGGTAGGGAATTATGTAACCTATGAAGAAAGATATAACCATAAATGGGCGTGAGAAAAATAAAATCTGTCTTCCAAAATATTTGTCGTCCCACTATTAGCAGCCAAAATCGGCCCAGGTTTTTTAGGATCGTCTTAGTGGTATGGGGTTCTTGGCTCGTTTGATCATAAATACCATTTAGTTGTCAAAATTCAACATTATCCATGAGGTTTGAACAGCTTCCTGTGTTGCTTAAAGTAAATTTGTTTAGCACATGAAAATTTTGCTTAGCAGGGCTGCCCACTTCAAACATGTTATTTGATGTCTTTTGCTTGGTACTGAATTCCTATTGAGCTGTTTCCTTCACACACTAATTTACTAACCACCAATTTCAGCTCCATGAATTAACACCTTGCCAACACTCTCAACATTGATTCTTTCATTGGTAGGTGTGCGACGGGCAGGAAGATTGTTTGGACGGGTCGGACGAGAGGGCTCCGCTGTGCCTTCCGCAGTGCGGTCTGACGGAGTACACCTGCCAGGACAAGCTGTGCATTGCCCGGAGTGCGGTATGCGATGGGAAGTACGACTGCAGCGAGGGGGAGGATGAAGGTGCGCAATGCAGATGCAGTCCGCAGCAGTTCGAGTGCACACCCGGGACGTGCATATCAAAGTCTCAGGTACGTGACCTTGTCTATTTTCCACCTCATGCCAACAAGTATGTACGATTGCTTCGTATTGTTCAACCTCTTCAGTTCGATAGGTCAGCGCAATGCACCTCAGCATTTTTCTGTAAATCCTTCCGAGCAGCTTTTGTTTTCTGAAAAACAGTATTCTCCCACAGACGTATGTCGCTTATAAAAAGATCAAGCCTGAAGTTTTTGGTTTAAGAGTAGGTAGGTCAAAGATAAAATCTACTGATTGTGAACGTTAGAGGTTCAACGTTTCCGTGACACTAGCTGTCATTGATGTTTTTATTCTTGGAGAAAGATCTGCTTGACTGCTGTATACGGTCAAAGTTCAAGGTTAAATGACACGTCACTGTATTTGGAAATAGGAGATTCCACAGAGGGGAATTTCTTAAGCCTCTATTTGCATCTGTCCACAGAGATGTGACGGCCAACGAAACTGTATCAACGGGAACGACGAACTCAACTGTAATGTCGTCGAGACTTGTCGGTCTGGCGAGTTTAAATGTCCCGGGCCGGTTCACAAGTGCCTCCCTTCGAGTTTTGTTTGTGATGGCAAGTTTTCGGACTGCCCCAACGGGGAAGATGAGGAGAATTGTGGGTGCGGGTAAGTGCCGTATTCAGGGATTTTGTTTCGTTTTGAAATCCAGCTTAGAAGGCATTGACTGATCATTTTAGGCCGTCAATGCATAATTCACCCGTACTGCAGTCGAGTTGTGATCCCTGCAGAAATACACTTATGTGGTGTGCAGTTTACACACATCATATCGAAATAAAGTGAAAGTTAGAATGAGAAGCGTGACACTAAAATGGCTAAATTTTAGTAAATGGAACGCAAGCTGACTTTACCAAAATGCTTTGAAGATTCTGAGCATTACTTTGTTTCTTCTGACTCCTTCCGTGACAACAAGCCAGACTACTAGACACAGTTTTCCGGTTTTCCTGAGCTGAAATTCCAACTTAACCGTATTTATTGTATGGAAAATATAACACTGTATTTGTGCATTCATAACTGCAACTGCAGCGTCCAAGCTGAATAAAGGCACTGGTTGAAACTCAAAGCGACACAGCATTAAATGCAGGTAGCAAATTAACAGTATGGCCCCTTACTTTAGAACTGACGAAGTTGAGTGTTTAGACGGTACAACGTGCATCAGGGAGAGCCAGGTGTGTGACAGGGTCCCAGACTGTCCATCGGGAGAGGACGAAAAAGGCTGTGAGTGCGCACTGATTGAGCACGAATGCCCAGGTAAGACATTGGGGTGTCCGAGTAGTACAACCGTTTTCGGGTCGTGTTTGAGCTGTCGCTGATGGTATCCAGCTTAAAACCGATATCCTTGTTGGATTGTACGGATATTTCCCTTGAAAATTAAAATGAAGGGCATATGGATGAAACTTTAAAACAGTTCGCTCTTCAAGAACCATTTTGTGGTTATTTCTGCTTGTTCTTAAAAAGTTGATGATTCCATTTCTTTCAGATCCTTCAACTATGCAGTCTTAAATGAAAATTAATAAGCGGTCTGGACTGACGCCACACAGTTACGATACTCTTTGAGCTGCCATCTTTGAAAACATTGTTATGGCACCGTAGTTGTATTGTTACGACCACGTCTAAGTTCTGTGACAGGGGAACTGTAAAATCAGACTAGCCGTAGCCACTCCGACATAACCTGAAATCAAAGGTGGTAGACCGCAAAAGGCTCGATACGTGGGAGCGGTGACGCTGGTTACAAATAATAAAAGGAAGAAACTGCCATTTCCAAAGACATTTTTGTTCATCAGTCAACCTTGTACAGAAAGTTAGCTTCGATGGGAGCGTCTTGAGAACCACCTTGTAGGCTGTTTGTTAACAATTACTTTAATTTGACTGCCATTGCGTTGTGATGCATTTTAGATGGGTCTTGTGTACCAGAGTCTGCCTTGTGCAACGGCGTGGACGACTGCCCCGACGCGTCGGACGAGGAGGGCTGCAGCACCCCGCCCCCTGCCTGCGGCCCGCCTGCGAATTTCCGGTGCCCGAACGGAGAATGTATCGCGAGCGGGCAGGTGTGCGACGGCAGGAATCATTGCAGTAGGGGCGAGGATGAGGTTGACTGCCCAGCATGCCTTGCAACCGAGTTTGAGGTTTGAAACGCTAAAATAATACGTTCCGACCCATGGGTCTTCTGAAAAACTAAATTTCGCTACATTGCAAATGCAGTAATAACTAATACATGTATATGTCAATGACCACACTACTTCGCGTTAGCTCATATAGTAGGCTCAGTTTCGATCATAATAATGAGGCTCTATTAAAGTTGGCGTGCATTTACAGGAACATCTCAGACTTGACCAGCTTGAAAGATGTTCCAGTCCACTTCCGGGCAACAGAATATGCCTAAGGCTGCGAACAAGTCCATTGACAGTCCCTGCTAATCAATCACAAGTCTTTCAGGCTTCAACCATGACACAAATCATCAGAAGGGACTGTGACATAAACATTCTAATACTTCTGCTCAATGTTGAAGGATTTAATCCTTGAAACACAGGTGATAAGGCTATACTACAGCCCAGTTAAATATGCTACATCAAACAGAATTATCTCGTCCTCCCTTGTTAGAATTTATTTTATCCTTACTTGAGCTTTATTCCGTACCTCATTCCTCTCACCTTGATGTTTTAAGTGCGAGTCAGGAGAATGCATCAGCCTGTCCAAGCTCTGTGACTTCACCGTGGACTGTCTCTCTGGGAGGGATGACGAAAGGGTGGACCGATGCGGGCCAAGTAAGTGTTTACAACTTTACAGTTTACTTCTTGTGCTGCGTCAAAATAATTAGAAAACAACAAGTTTCCCCTTAAAGTTTTGAATGGGTCCATTGCATTCCATATTCATTCCTCTTGATCCCTCGTGACCCGTCATATAGGCTAGCCTGTTTGATGTCAAGTGATTTACTGAATCGGGTATCATGTCCCGATCGATTCGATCGTTGCACGTTTACCCTTCTTTATGACAGCATGACCTGAAAAACACTAGGGCTGTCCTTTCTGAATCTTCATTTTGACCAACAAGAAACAACTTGTCCAACATTGTACAAAATATCTCTCAACTTTCAGCACGTTTGATGAATTCTCTTAGCTAACAAACTATTCGGTGTAACCTTCTTTTCGCACATTATTATCATTGCGGGGGTTTTAAATAGTCTTGCTTTACAGAATAATTATGCGGTAAAAATTCTCTTTTCTCTCTACCTACTCTTTTCTCGAATCTTTTCGTGAGGTCTGTGCAACACCGATGAACTAGGCTTCGTTTGCAGCTCCGGTAAATGTATTGCAATCTCTGAGATCTGTGACGGCACTAGTGACTGCCCAGACGCTGAAGACGAAGTGGAATGTTTCACTCCTAGACCCACAGGTAAAAAAGGTGTTTTAGAGCGAAAAGATTAAAATTGCCTGGATCGACACACATTTTAGCGATGGGTGCTTTTCGGGGTTACGAAAAGGACGCCAGTGGACGCTAGTATGACCACTGAGCTCTGTATTTCATTTAGTGAAAGGCTCATGATTGAATGGTGCTCGTTAATTAGTATGACGCCATTAGGCTCTTGGTGGTCAGAACTACACTTCGAGAGAGTTGCGACATGAGAGTGTCACCTCTTGGAGCCAAAATGATGGCTTAATGCGCCAATGGACATGGACAGTAAGCACACAATAGCTACATGCTGCACTGCACGTACGATGATCAGCCACTTTCGTTCCAAAGTAAGTTGGTGCTGCTCTCTCCTTATATACAGCTCTTTGGGTGGTAGGCTTAATACGCCCTCTTTGTTCAGGCATGGAGTCCCTTTTTTTTAAATCTTGGCTTCGTTGCCATTTCGTGACCTCTCAGTTTCATTTATAATTTACTGAATTAGAACCCACGAAACGTTTTTACCCTCTTAAGTGCACTGGATATTTGGGGCGGGAAATTGAGTTTCACTTCATTTAATGGTCTCAACATCGCAAACCGGAGTAAAACCTTATGTCCGTTTCGGAATAGATTAGAAGAATGCGATATGCGAACTCCTGGTACATTTGGATTGGGGCATTGTTTAAATATTTGACTGAAAGTTCGTTTCTGTTTGTACAGTGAATGTTGGAGAAGAAATTGACCAACTGAAGGTTGGCGTGGGACAGTTACAAGAACAATTCGTGTTTGTAAACGAAAAAGGTACGCTTTGAGACTACCGTCTCGACTTACATTAAACATATGCAGAACCGACTCGCTTATTAGATTAGAATACAGCTGAATACGCGGAACTTTGGCTTTCTCTGTCTCTGTATTCTTGTATCTCAATGGACCTACTTCAACTGCTATTTGTAAAAATATGATGATTTCTACTCAGTATAGAAGATGTGTAACCAACAGTCCTGATCAAATTCCTCAACAGTTTGGGATTCAGGACTGGGGGAGGTTATAATGGACCCTTGGCTCTTATTGTGTTCATCTTGAAAAACCAAAACTGTATTAGTCTCGACCACGCATGCATGTGTTATGGAGGATATATGTTAGGGCATTTTTCCGGACAGCCGATTTTTGCTTTATGTGTACTGTTAAAAGCTAAGTTATATAACACTGTTCCTATGGGCAATACTCACCAATTTAACTCAAGGTCACTGGTACGGACATGAGGTGATGCAGTTCTTAAATTAAGATGCATGCTTGTCACAAGCTGAATGACGACCAAATAGCGCCCTTAAGGGATCTTGCAGGGCAACTTGTTAAAATTGAATAATGTAACGCTAAATAGTAACACGTTGATACACTATCTTATTTGCTGTATAGTTGATGAATTTGGGAGAAACATAGCCGCTTTTGACGACGAACTCAACGCCTTTGGGCAAGATCTTAACTCGCTCACTAATGAAGTCGACGAAGTAAGAGAAGAGATGGAGAAAATAAAGGAGCCCACTCCTAGCTCTGGAGGGCGCCCTGGAGTCGGACCTGGCGGAGGTGGAGGGGGGCGCCCCAATGCTCGACCTGGAGGGAGACCATCAACGAGACCCGGGAACAGACCGTCCGACGGTGTCGGACAGCCGTATCGCCCTGGGGGTAGACCATTCCAAGATAACGGTCGTCCGCCGCAACAGCAGGGGGCCTCGTCGCAAGGTTCCAGTAGGTAATCTCAGCGACCAATGGTAGAGCATAACTTAGGGAGCATGAAAACCTCGGAAAAATTAACATAATTTTTTTTCATGTTCTACAGCAGGGGAAAACAAAATTTAAAAAATAAAATTCAGTTATCCTATGTGTGATAGAAAAGAGGTTGTAAACAGAGACACTTATTAATATATGACAAATTGTAACAATGAAATTGATTTGCTGGATCTATTGGCTTTTTGTGTTTCTTTTTTGTTTCACTGGACGAAAATATCTGTCGAAGTTACAGATAAAAACAATCATTGTAATAAGAGTTATGTAAATCATTATCTATTAAATGTGGCTAAGTATTAGAATATACTCTTATACACGTAGTTCCTTTTCGCTTTTATGTTTTTAGTTTCTTTATGCATTTTCAGAATAAGCAGGATCCTTCTCAATGGACATTTATTTGGAAAAACACAGTAGTCACGTGGCGCTTGTTTTCTAACAGTAACTCCCATATGTTAAACACATAATTGTGAATTAATCCTTTGATAACATTCAGCATCTACATGTTTGGAAAAGCACCGCTAGGCCCATGGGATCAACCAGATTGCAATTGTTAAAACACTAATGATGACCAAGTCTCGTAATAACATTGATTGTGTTGATGCACTTTTCCCCACTTGCCCAAAATTACTGGAAGAAGGAATAAAAACCCTGAATGTCAAGATTTAAGATGTCTATATGCATATTGGTTAAATCATTTTGGAAAGGATTTTGTTTTTGTAAAAGTGAAGATTGTCGAGAACAGGAGTTGTACATTTGCATTTTTTCCTCTAGTGCATAGGTGTTTATCATATATGTGTTTTTTTGATAACTTCACCTCTCAAAAATATCTGGAACTGACTGGAGTTAGGTTTTCCCAGTGATGGCGTGCCATTGTGGCCACATTTGCCAAAAAGGGCTTTTATTTTTGGAAATGATTGCATTCATGTGATACATGAGAAACCACTCTAAAGGGTCCAATGAATGGAAAAAAAAGTCCAATACATGCTGGTCGTTTGTGTTCATCACTCATTAAAAAGGGAGAAATATTGCTTTGGGGAAATTTTCTCACAACATTCATTCATCAACTAATGGACTCTTCCGAAAGAGACTATTGTCGTCTTGGCTCCATTTATTTCAGAATGTTTCTAGCTGTGCCCGGGACATGCACTCAAATGGCCGCTTTTCCTGGAGGGACCGACCGCCATGCATAAAACAAACCGTAGAAACACCTGCCGTTAAAACCTGGGCGACCTAACTGCCTAAGATATTTATGAATGGCTTGTCGGGCAAACTGACATAGTCAGGAAGAACATGATGAAATGCGGCGCCAACAAAGTCAGTACAAAGTTATTCACCCGAGATCGACATGTGCGTTTTCTTTTGAACTCTTAGTGCTTTTAAATTTAGTGTCTTTCCAGCGAGGAAATGATGCCCATAAGCAACTTCGTTCCAAAGGCGTTGGTGAATGTCGAATATCAAACTGAACCCACATGTTGCCTGAGCAAACCGAGGTGAGTATACAACTGAACTCAATACACTTCCGCATTCTTTGTAGATTAAAATCATTGAGAATGTCAAATATTTAACCCACCCAGATCAGAAATGGAATATCCAACAGACTGTTGTGCGTCATTCAAACATAGCCTTATTTACGAGAGTCTTGCCTGATAGACGTTTGCTGCTACGTCTTAAGCCTTGTCACGTTGATCACGTCACAATAGCCATATACAAAAATACCTCAGTCCGTAATATCACGGCCACCACTGCATATCAAGGAATCTGGATCCGCAATGTCCTTAACCCTAACAGCCCTGAATCCTCCAATTTTAATATGATTTTGCACACACCCTAGGGTGTTAGGGTTTTAATCAAGCACACCGGGGTCTCTGAAACTACTTGAGGCCATCTGACCGTGCTGAATACAAAGATCATACAAAGGATTGCCCGCATTTTATGTTAATGAAATAAGCCTTTTGTAAGTTAAGTTCTTACATTTCACATAAATATGATTTAAATTCTCCACACTGAAGACACTGCAACCATAACTCGTGATTCATGGCAAGCTTTTGTTTAGTTGCATAAGAATTGCACTGCAGCAATACACCATTCTCAATAGATAAGAACGGCACAAGGGCACCAGTCCATTCCAGAGATGGTAATCGCTATGCAAATGCTTTCCCGCATCACGGTATAGCAAGAGTGTCTTTTCTCTGGGTGTGTACCAGATTTTATTCCAATTCAACTCGCAAAAGGATCACCTGAGGCATTGCAGCTTTTGTGCCCTCACAGACTGAGGTGCACGGTCCCTTTCCCACCTGAAGCAGGCCTGTTCCTGCGCATTTTGTCCTAATCCAGAAAGTCGACCAGTTCATTTGTATCCTTTCAGTTGTTTATCGCCCCTTTCAAGTTTCATATCCCTAATACCCTCCAAGTCTCAAGCATAAGTTGAATTTCGTTCTATATAACATTGTCAAACCCTTGCAAAAATCTGGCGAACAACCTTTCAAAAACCCACCAGGGGAGCCGAACGTTCTGCATATTAAAATACAACTTAGCACAAGACGGGCGAAAGATAATCCTGTCAAGGCACAGGGGAAATATTGGAGGTTGGTATGGTTCTATTCCGATCAGCGTTCTCCTCTAACGGGCAAAGTAAATGGTTGCACAACTGATCAAATTTCTGCTCCTTCTTTGTTCATTTCCTCAAAGGCAGCTGCAACATTCTGTGACGGGCCTGTCAGCAAAAGTACGGTTTGAAGTTCCAACCTAATGCTAATTATGTTATAGATGGAATATGAATGGGCTATGCAACGGCTTGTGTCATCTGGTACCGCAGCATAAAGTGCAATCATTACAGTGGTATGCTCCGTCCAATTACATGTTCAAGGACATTGTATGTTAAATCTACATACGATCCGAGTCATTGAATATCTGCAGTGTCTTTTCTGCACTGAGCGTATTATAACAAAAGACAGCACTTGTTTTTTTTTTCAAAACCATCTCAGAGCTTGTGGTATACGCACTCCCCTGAGATCTCAATTACCGCTTGCGTTTTATTGAAACCTGTCGTAAACTTTAATAAATCTGATATGTTTCATCTCAGGTACAACATTCTGTGACGATTGGTCAGTTTTGTGTGGTTCAGCACTTTCTATCTGCGTGGTCAATGAACAACATTTTATTCGGCAAGACACCGAATCAGGACTTGTGTGCGTTCTTCCCCCTCGAAGTGCCCCTGCGGATTCTTAACAGTAGAGGTTCACAGCTTCGAAAAAGAAACTGAGCGTGAATTTCTTGTGATAATGAAGCAAAATTGGGACCTTGCAGTGCCTGTATTCGGGAAAAAAATGGGAGGTCATTGTTCAACATGGCGATGGGGAGATGAAATACATGTATGTCGTCATTTTAAAGGGATACTTGTGGTCTTAAGGGACGGATTAAACCCTGGCCAACAAAACCTCCAAATAAAGAGGTACATGGTTAATCAAATGTTAATGTGCATTTAAACTACCTGAGAGGATTTTTGCTGTGCCGTAGGGTGCCATAATCGTGATTGCCGATCCGCAACGAAGAGCGAAATGGATCGCTGCAATTCGACGCGAAAACTGGACTCCAAACTCGCACGCGCGACTCTGCAGTGCGTACTTCATTGCGGGTAGGCCATGTAGTTCCCTAACGTGGTGCACGTTGGACTTTCTGCTGATTTTCGCCTCACAGTTCTGCCAAACCTTGAACTATATCATGCTCTGTGAACACCATCCAACTTATAAGCAATGTCAGATAATTCTTGAATGGGATTCGTTATTTTCTTCTTGAACATAGATCCAAATTGTTACGATTTGGCTTGACGGCTGAGTTGGCAGGCAAGTCGAAAGTCACGTAACAACGTGACATCGGTGAATAACCCATACAGTCACCAAATATCTGTTCCATCCTCTCCCGTCTTTAGGCTCCGGGAAGACCCACACGCAACCGATGACGTATTCCTCAACGCGATCCCTACTCCTCCTGCTCAGCTTTACTGTGTGATTGATATGCAAATAGCGCCTCCTCAACTGCTGCTAATTTAACTGTCAAAGCTGCCACCGGGGCGCTTTATTACTTTTATCTAAACAGAGGAAGAGCGAGAAAAGAAATATCTCACGCTGTTTGGAAAAGGGCAGGGTTTGGGATCCCGCGTGTCACCCGACCAGCAAAACCCGGCCCGCTGAAGGATATTGATAGCCCTGGTGCTGTCAGGATGGAGAGGGTTATCTGGGTCCGATACGCTGGTCACAATACAAGTTCGGCGCAGACGACTGACCGGCCTCGTAAAATGCGGTTTTTTTTTAGGTAGCAGGGAATCTGGGGATTGGGTAAATAAATCAAACAAAGGTACACGCCGATTGAAATTGTCTTTGCAGCCAGGTAGGGTGTGCACCAGGAAGCGGCATGGCGCGCAGTAGTACATTCTTGGTGGTCTGATGGCAAAACCTCGCAGTAAATCAGCTGCTGTGGGCGGCAAATCCACGCTCCTATTAATATACGATATATACCCGACCCATCAGTGGCGCGGTATAAATCCCTACTGAAGGCAACACAAACGCCTCGGACAAAAAATTCCGGAAGGGAAGTAGAGGGAACTCAGCCCTTGATAACTTTTGCGGTTACTGATCACTTAAAAATGAGAGCGAGATGGGCCTTTTTTTCTAATGTGGAATTGATAACGTATTTCCAAGTTTTCTGTGAATAAGCTTTAAACCTGCTGTTTAGTATCGCTGTAGGTTGTGTAGTTGTTAAAAGATACTAGAATCTCAAGCACCTGTGGTCCTACGTCAGCATCGTGCAGGGATATTTATTCGCAAATCATTGTGAAATGTGGAAAAAAAATTCTCTTACGTCGTCTTGATTCATCTTATAAGGCCACTTAAAGAAAAAGATAGTTTAGCATCAGTTGTATTTACCAAAATCGAGGAGGGGGGAGTTTTTTTTGTTTTTTTAATACGTGAACTTTGGTATGCATGCTGATCTGGACTGCTGCTAGCACGGAATGAAAGCGCCATGTTCACTTCAGACTCGGGCACAGAAGTGCACATGACTGTACGCAGGTTGCATGTTGTGCCTGCCCGAGGTTATGTGGGCGTTGTAGACAATTTTTAAAGAAAAAAAAACCACGCAGCAAGATTTTCTGAGGCGGGCGCTGATGCTAAATTAATTATCTTTTTTTTTTCATGTGGCCTTATACGTCTGCAAAGCGTAGACTATTACACTACAGGAGATTATCCACTCCACCAGAAAGGGCTATACATCCTCGTGAACATGAGTGTCGGAAGGGGGCCAGGGGATTCTCTCCTTCTGGGGAGGCTATAGGATTAATAAAAAAAATAGATAAAAAGGAGAGAAACAGAAAAGGACTGTATCACTGTCGTAGTTTATAATTTAGATAATCGGAACGGCGCCCCCAACCGTCATGGTCCAGCCTTCTTCATTTAATTGCAGCCATTTGTCGCTCTATTCTCCTCTCCCCCTCCGCTGGAAAGATTCCCGTGCGAAGGCAATGCTATGGATAGAACAGAACCAGGTTCTGATGAATACCATTGTTTTAAAACTGCTGTTTATCGGCTCTTCCCAGCTGCCAACGTTAATTCCCAAACTGCTTTCTAACTGTCATCGTTCGATGACACGCTGACTTCCAAAACGATTTGTAT